TAGGGCTAGGGCTAGGGCTAGGGCTAGGGCTAGGGCTAGGGCTTGGGCTTGGCCAAAACTCAAAGAGGATGAGCAGCCGTTGAAGCGGAGCATGATATGGTGTGATGCTTCAAGACGATGGTGTGTTTGGGCTGTCGTTGGACACGGGGGCCGGGTTGTGCTTTTGAATACGAACGACCTTGGGGTTCAAAAGGTCATCAACGGGATCCATGTACATTCCCAATCCGGCAAAAGCCATGAGGGACAACTAGGGAGCGGATGGCGGCATCAACAACAGCTCGAGGTGAGATTTGGTGCTGTTCAAGCAAGTCAAAGGCCAAACATTGGATGGAGCGAGGAGCAAGGTTACCAACGCCAAAAGCAATCCGCATCCGTGGCGAAACATTCTTGTACTGCTGCCACAAAGACGCCATCTCCGCGCTTGAACACCGCCCACACACCAAAGGCAAGAAAAAAAATACGCGAGAGAGAGTTTGCGAGAGCGAAAGAGTTTGCGAGAGAGAGAGCTTGAGAGAGAGAGAGCTTGAGAGAGAGAGCTTGAGAGAGAGAGAGAGAGCTTGAGAGAGAGAGAGAGAGAGAGAGAGCTTGAGAGAGAGAGAGAGAGAGAGAGAGAGAGAGAGAGAGAGAGAGAGAGAGAGAGAGAGAGAGAGAGAGAGAGAGAGAGAGAGAGAGAGAGAGAGAGAGATTGAATTGGTTTGGTCGGTTTGAGAAAGAGAGAGTTTGAGAGAGAGTTTGAGAGAGAGAGAGAGAGTTTGAGAAAGAGAGAGTTTGAGAGTTTGAGAGAGAGTTTGAGAGAGAGTTTGAGAGAGAGTTTGAGAGAGAGTTTGAGAGAGAGAGAGTTTGAGAGAGAGAGAGAGAGTTTGAGAGAGAGAGTTTGATTGAGCGTGTATCGGAACACATTATTTTGGATGGTTTGCTTGTGTAGTTGGATGTCGTCGTCGTCGGGCTTGGTAAGTTGCTGTGGCGTATTGGCTGCAGGTGCGGGGCGTGGTCGGTGGTGTGGCGTCGTGCTGGGCGTTGTGCTGGGCGTTGTGCTGGCTGGTTGTGCGGGTGGGGTTTCTCACTGACGGCTTTTTGCAGTGCTGCTGAAATCAGCTCCGCTGCAAACGCGCAAGCTCCTCGGGGGTTGACTCGTACGAGCACCGGGCAGTCTCTCCATCACACACCGTCACCATGGCCATGAACATGGGGGGTGAGTGCCGGCTAAGTCACTCATGGTCGACGCTTGTCTTGTGCGCACGCGATCCTTTTCTGCTCTGCTCGTTCGCTGATGACCTCCAGCAGTTGGTTGCATTGCCGCTCACTGTACTTGATGTGCTTGCGCGGACGCTCCCCATCATGAACGTTGGCGTCCCAGTCATCTGTGGCCTATCATTCTTCTTCACAATGGGCATCCTCATGCTGGTCTTGGCCTGTGCCTTGCCCGACTATGAGTGCGTCTGAGCTTTCGAGTACCCCACCGCATCTCTGCGCCGCCTGTCGCTTGCTCATGGCATCGCCATTGCCCCGCCATTTTTGCTTCGGCACAACCGCTTCGTGCGCTCATGCACGCTTCTCGTGTGCGATATCCTTCTGGTCTGGCAGCAACTACTACCCCATGTTTGTCCGTAAGATGCCTCGAGCCTCTCCCTGTACCAGCTCTCCTCCTGGGCCTTGGTGACGTGGTATCCACACTCACGCTGCTGCACTTTATGGCTGGCCATAGTTTTTACCTACGTCTTGGTTCCCATCCCCACCCTCCTCGCAAAGCGGGCATCGGGAGGCTACAGTCTCTCCGGAGGCTCAGAGTACGGATGACTAACCACCTCGCACCCGAATTGACCTGTTTCTCATCGGCACCACGTTGCCACGTTGCCACGCCTGAGTTTGACGGCGCGCCTGTGGAATGCCGCGACTCGTAGATGGCACACGGACGTGGCGCAATTCTTCACCGCCGCCTTTGTCGTCTCTGGCTTTGGTATGGCGCTGTTGCCGCGTGTTCACATTGCGCAGGCCGCCCAGTCTCTGCTCCAGGCCCACACGCCCGACACTCACCGCATCGTTGTTCGTGCTGCCCGATAGGCATCCCGCTCGTCCTCTTTCATCACGGCACGGTATGCGCAGCTGTGGTCGAGCTCGTGCCGTTGGCGATTGTCCGCCCTTTCCACACTCACATTGCATGTCCTTTCGCCATTATCAACAACATGTTTTGGCAGATTGCTTTGGGTGCCGCCTGCTTGGTGTGCGGGGGAAATGCCATCATCTTTTTGACGACAGGCGCTTGTACGTGTCCTCATGCCGTGGCCGCACAAATCCCTTCTGTTCTTCTCCCCATCCACCTCACCGGGTCTACCACCTTGCCACACAGTATTCTACCTCTCAAGCGATGACTACGGCCTGTAAAAGCATCCGAGTCCGTCCCTCGCATTTGGCCAACGGGCCCTCGCGCTGGTCGCGCCCCATCTGGTCATCTCCCGCTGCCATCTCGTTCACCATCTATGTGTGTATGTGTGTATGTGTGTGTGTGTGTGTGTGTGTGTGTGTGTGTGTGTGTGTGTGTGTGTGTGTGTGTGTGTGTGTGTGTGTGTGTGTGCGTGTTTCTGCCTTTTTGCAAAGCCAGTCAGCCATGCATTGCCCTGGCGCATATCTCTCAACCCCCTCGTTTCCTGTATTTGAATCATTTCCAACAATGAACAGACCAAAAGAAAAAACACAAACGAACAAAAAAATCAAAACTTGTTCAGACTTGTTTTCAAGCATCGCACAGTTGTGTGCCGTTATTTTTTCTCATTTTTTATTTTTTATTATTCGCATGACACTTGTGCCGGCGGAGGAGCGACCTCGGCGGCTTGTGGCAGGGGCAGTGCTGGTGGCAGGGGTTGGGCGAGTATTGGCGCGGGCGCGGGAGTAGGGAGGTTGTTTATCCGGTTCCAGCCCCGTCTTGAGGGCCGAGCTGGCGAGATGGCAAGCATTTCGCAGACGCTTGAAAGCCAGGCCGACTATGCCTTTGTGGCCAAGACCCGCAACATTCGTTCCTTTAGTACGTTGAGCCTGCCCACCAAGTCCAAGGCTGCCCACTGGCCTCGGCCTGCTTTGAGATCTGACTTTATCTTGAATGCACTCTGGCTGTTGTTGCCAGTTCAAACGATCCGGGCCATCAACTTTGGGGAGCAGTCCCGCTTTGGCGTGGATCGCAACGGGCTCAAACTGGCCGTTGATCGCAGCGGCGTCATTCAAGCCCGCGCCTACTTTCCCTGCATCAACTTTGTGGAATATCGGTGCGTGCTCCAGCGACCTGTCAGTCCCCTGTTCAGCCGGACACCGCCTTGAACAATGCCACGTGCTCCCTCGATCATCAGGCTTCGGTGTTCAGAGGACAGTGCCGAGCAGGAGGATCTCGAGTTCCGTGTTGACCTCGAGAGTCTTCTCAATTGCCTGTCTGTGTTTGGAGCCGGAGACAACGTTACCATGCGCTTTGCCTATCGAGGCTATGGCCATCCTCTGACTGTCATGTGGGTGCCGGCAGCCTGCTCGTCTCTTGCCGCACCTCTACTTAATACCCCTTTTCCGCTGTAGCAACTTGCTCTGCAGCCGGCTCGGGCTCTGGTTTTGGGTTTGCCGCCTTGACCCTGGGTCCTGCTTTTGCGTGCAGTTTGGAGGAAGAAGGCGTTGTGACCGATTGTGCCATCAAGACGCTGGAGCTCACTGAGTTTGACTTGCTGACTGTTGAAATCAATTCACCCACGTGCATTACCATGCAGGTAAGGGCCTGCGCCTTCGATCCTGGTCCTCGGGACCCGTGGCCCCTTGCTTCATCTCGCGCACACCGACCTCTGATCAGGCTTGGCGTCTCGTAGAGTGGTTGGTTCAAGAGCGTTTTTCAGGAGCTGGACGCATCCAGCCAATTTATTGAGTTTCTCGTGTCCAACGACGCACCCAATTTCAAAATCACAACCTCGGGCGACGCTGGCCACACGGAGGTAAGCGCCTATCGTCTGTTGTTCTTGCATGCCAAGCCATTCTCTCAACAAAAGTTGCTGTCGCGCTGTCTCTACTTGAACAGGTGGTTTGCCCCAGCCAATCCAACGTGATCGAGGACTTTCGCTGCGAACAAACCGTCCGCGCTCGGTCAGACTGCTCGCACACAAATGCATTTCTGAGCTGCTTGTGCTATCGCCTCTCATGCCGCAACGACTGAATGGCAGGTACCGCGCACGTTCCATCAAGTTTACACAAAAGATTTTGGAGGAATCCAACAAAACGATGGTGCGTTCATTCGTCTAAAGACACGTTCTCCTCCTCCTCGTCGCGCGAACCACTTCATTCACCATTGCCCTGACGGCGTGTAATCCATGTCCAGCTGCGCATCAATGAGGAGGGCACGCTCTCGCTGCAATTTCAAATTGTGCCCGAAGAGCATGACAACATTTACGTCGAATTTCTGGTGCGGCATATCTTTAAACCTCGCGACGTTTCAACAACACACGTGCTCATTGATGTGTGTGCGCACGCTTGTTTGTATGTCTGTCTGTGTGCTTTCCGACAGTGTGTGGCGGAGGAAGATTTAAACTAGTGGCCACAACCCCAATCGATATTTTACGCCTGTCGAGCCCGGTTTTGGCAAGCCACAGCCACCAAGTGCTGCGAGACCTCAACGTTTCAATTCGATTCTGACCCTTTGTCTCTTATGCTTCTCTGCTTTAACCTCACAGTGCATGCTGCGCAGTCCCATCAACTTGGACACCATCTCCAAGCCGCCACAAAACACAAACCCCGAAGAAGCACTACGTTGCACATCACACCACCACCGAAAAAAAAACAAAGAAACAAAAAAAAAAAAAAAAAACTGTCACACACTTTCTTTTTTTCTTTCACACAACGACAGCAACAGCAACAGCAGCAAGAACATCAGTACGCAACGCAAGAGGAAACGGCAGCGGCAGTCGGCTCTTGCTGTTGTGTGCGGTGATAGGGCGGCTGGTTCTGTGATAGGTGGTTAGAAACGGGCGATGTCTGCGGTGGGGCCCTTTGACTGTTGCTCTGGGAGTTGATGGGCAGTGGGAAGCGCCTCCCTTGACGCAGCCCAAGTGTCTGGCCCTCCCTTCTCGGCCATCGTACTGACACGGTTAAGTGTGGGTGGGCTTGTTCGAGTCGTGTGACTTCATGGCCGCTCCGCGTGCCACAGGGTCTAGCCCTGAGGTGGGGCGAGGCCGCTCCTCGAGCCCCTTACGCCCGGCAAAGGTTTATCCCCTCGCGCCTCGCTCGCAGCCGTCCATCACGCCTGGCGTGGTCACTCCCGCCCGATCGACCCCAGTGCCCTTGAATGCCATGCCGGCCCCGCTAGCAGAGCAAGCACCCGCGCCCTACTCAATCATGGGTAATCCCGGTGACTTGGCCTTGCTCGGGCATACCAAGCATCACTCTGCCTTGGCCCGTCGTCGACGCAACTCCAGCAGGACCACGTCGGAAGGCTCGGCAGCGCTGACGCCTGCCGCTCATCCTGAGCCGCGCACATCGAGCCCGGGTAGCCCAGCCAGCCCTGAATCTTTCATGACGGCCCAACGAGGCCGCTCGCGTACTGTTGGCGCGCTTCCCGACGTATTCGTGTGGCTCAACCAGCACGGCACCACGGACAGCGAGGATGAGAGCGAGCCACACGCTGAAGACACGGGCGTGGTCGGCCATGCTGATGGTAGTGCGAGCACGAGCCCCGCGACAGGCCCCACAACGCTCGCGGGCATGGGTCGCTGCGGCACGGGCACCAGTGTGCGCGCGCTCAGCCCCCCACACTCCATTTCGCAGCGCAGCTCCATCGCCTCCATCCCCGAGCATGCTGTGGCGCCCAGCCACTCTAGCGGAAATCCACCGCAGCGCCACCCCAAAGGCTTGCCGCGCCGAGTTCGTGGGGCCAGCGATTTGGCTGAAACAAACCCGCCCTTCGCCTCCGACTCGGCTCCTAGTTCCATTCTAAGACCAGCTAGCAACGCCCGCTTCAGTCATTCCTCAGTCCAGTCGCGGCCGCCCAGCCTGTCGCATTCGCGGCCCATCAGTCTTTCACACTCACGACCCGTGAGCGTGGCATCCATGAGCAGCGTTTTGAGCCCAGGCCGTCCATTCTCACGTACCATGAGCCACGCTGCGGATGAGCCCCCACCATCCCCCAATCGGATGCTCCGGGACAATGCCTCCATGCCCAACTACATTCACACCGATGTCGGCCCGGCCCTGGTCGTGGCCCCGGAAGAGGATCTTGATCCCCTGCTGTCCAAACGCGCCTCCCGCATTGTCTCTCTTGTCAGCGATGACGCCAACGGCATGCTGGTGGCTCCGCTCATGACCTCCCGCTTTGCGCGTCTGCGCATCGTCGACGCGCGCAGCGAGCTCCGCCACTCTTGGCCTCTGTGCCTCACCCGTGGAATCAACCAAGCTCGTGCGTGTCGATGTGCCCAAACCCGACGTCCAAATCTTTTCGTGCTAGCCTCACAGTCGCTCTGCCCTATCCGGCTTCCTCCTTCACGCTCTTCATCAGGTGAAGCAGCCGGTGCGGCCGAGGCTGACCTGACCATTGCTTCGCGCCACTTGCGCCTGGACGACATCGAGTGGCTTGGCGTCATTGGCGAAGGTACATCTTTGGCCACCCTTTGCACATCTCGTTATTCTTGACACGCTTTCCGTTGCCCCTTGTCATCCCTCATGGTGGGGACATGGTATTTTGACAGGGTTTTACGGTCGAGTATACAAGGCGCGTCACATTAGTTCAGACCGCCCCATCGTCCTCAAGGAGCTCAAGCGCTCGCATGATGACCGCGAGGCCTTTATCCGTGAAATGAAGCTTCTCAAAACTCTGGGACACCCTCACATCCTCGAGTATATTGGTTCGTGTCTTGGGCCACAAGAGCCCCAGGCAGCGGCCCACTGTTTTGTACCAGCTGCACACGTGTGAAACTGTGACTAAGCTGGCACACTTTAATGTCTTTAGGTATCTTTTGTAAAGCCCGCCAGCTCTTCTTGGTCACCGAGTTTGTGTCGGGTGGCACGCTGCAAGATTGGGTCTTGGACCTTGAGCGCCCGATGTCTTGGCACCTTCGCTGTAAGCTTGCCGTTGAGATTGCAAGTGGAGGCGCGTACATCCACGCACGCAATATCATCCATCGCGATCTTAAGGTGCGCCGCGCCTCGCTGGCTCTTCTGTTGATGCCTCGGCTAGCCTCATGCCGTTTTGATGCCGATCAGCCGGAGAACATCATGATTCGAGCCGAGGACTGCACTGCCGTTATTGTTGACTTTGGCCTCGCTCGCACCATGCCTGGTGTGTATGGTGGCGACCGACACCGAACAAGCGGTCGCCTTCATGCGGCGCCCCGTGCGCCTTTATGGTCATAGGGCCTGGGTTTTCATGCTGATGATGGCTTGCGACGCCTTTAGGAATGGTCGAGGTGTCGGGCCGTTCACCTTTCCTCATGCGCAAGACGGGAACCCGGCGTTACTCAAGCCACGAGCTGTCTCTTTTTCGTGAACGGTAGGTCTTATCCTTCTTTTGCGAGCGTGTTGGGCGTGGTGCGCAGCAGAGCGTGTTTCTGACAACTCGGTCCTTCTAGATTCAGCGCAGCAGTTGCGGCTGCACCACGTCGGGCATCTGCTTTGCCAGCGTCCTCGACGTCTGTGCCCCGGGCCTCATCACCCTTGAAAGCAGCCCCGGCCCCCAGAGCCGCAAGTGATGATAAAATCTCCATGGTGCGTCGGTGCCGCGGTCGCGTTGGTTGTCAGCCATTGTATGATTTCGAGTGGCAGTGTGCACTTGCACCCAGTTCACTGACGACTGGACTGTAGTCAATTGTCGGCTCGCCGTTCTGGATGGCCCCCGAGGTCATGAAGGGCAAGTATGGTCTTGCGGCTGACGTTTTCAGCTTTGGAATCGTTCTCGCCGAGCTGATCTCGCGCGTCTCGGCGGACCCCGACCACATGCCGCGCACCAACGCCTTTGGGGTCAGTTTGCGATGAGCGAGGCTTGGTTCCGGGATGGCTACGTATGCGGGGCCACAATGTGGTGGAGGTGGTGGTGGTGGTGGTGTGTGTGTGTGTGTGTAGTCGCTCAGCGGTTGTGCCTGCACATGTTCGCAACCCTCAAACATCTGTAGGTCGATGAGGGGCGGTTTGTGGAGCAATATGCAGCGGGTTGTCCCGATCTGCTATTACGCACCGCGCTCAACTGTGCGCAAGTGGCTTCGGAACATCGACCTACCTTTGCTGAAGCCGAAGCCAAGTTGCGTGCTCAAGTCATGTTACTCAACGAGGGCACATATGGAGAGGTGTGTATCTTTTGCACTTCAGTCAAATGCGCGAATGTATCGTGTACTGTTGTTGACTGATGGTTGCGACAATATCTCCCAGGTTTTGGCAGACGTTGCGTCAGACGGAGATCTGCTGAGAGAAATAGAGGTGTAGCACTTGTAGGATAGGAGCACTCTGTACATGCGGATGTTAACAATTATTTTTTCTTCTTGTCACTTAGTCGCCAAATGTGCAATGAGGACAATATTTATTGCACTATTTCTCTTCAGCGTGCATCAGAAAAACTTCAATGACAAAGCTAAGAATCGATTCAGTGTATCGTGCACAGCACGTGACCTCTCATTTCCAAGGGTTGGGATAACAATGTGAATAATAAAAACAAGATCAACGACTCAACCTGGGCTCGAGCCGCAGGGAATCATGTGTACATCACGACTTGGGTGGTGATGGGGCGCTCAGCGCCAATACACACACACACACACACACAAGAAAAAAAAAAAAAATTAGTGACCCACAGTATCAACCAAGGCCAACAACTTTTGCAAGTTGTGGCGCAAGGCGTGACGAAAGAACAAACGCCAGTCGTCAGCCAGCGAGGGTGGGGCTCCTTCGAGACTGAGGCTGCTCAAGTCGGGCAAAGGCTCACCAGCAGCCATGTCCGAAGGCTCGCGTAAGAGACCAAAAACGGCAGATGTAAGAGATTTGGCAAGTTCGCCGACATTGGCCATGTCGTCACCATAGAGCTCCTCAACAAAGGCATCCACACGCGATTGAACATCCATGACGCCGTCGAGCAAGTTCTTTTCAACGGGCAGAGAAGCGGCCTCATCCCAACGTCCGATATCAATGCGAATCTTGTGGAAAGCTTTGTGTACAGCTCTGAGGAGTCCGAGAGCTGCCTTAGCCAAGGGAAGCTCCTCCGCGCCAAACGTCGGCATATTGCCCATCAAGTCGTCGGCATCAGGCAAGTCATTCTGTCCGGCGTCATCGTCCTCCAGATTGTCCTCAGCATCAGCAATACCCTCGGCAAACTCTTCACATGCGTCCAAGACAAGAGCCTCACGCTCGGCAACACGGAGTTGTAGGGCAGCCATCAAACTCCAAGGGGCTGCACTCACGTGCTCTGCCGCTTGCACAATTTTGGCTACGCCTTGCGTGTAAGTGGGTGCACCAGCCTCGCCCCGGCCTTCCACAAGACTGACGGCCAATTCATGATTGGCAATAAGGATACGCCGCACACGACCGAGCACGTCTTCTGAGAGGCATTTGCCATAGAGTGGCGAAAGCTTCAAAGTATGATTCCCCAAATCGAGCACGGAGCCCTGGAGCGACTCGATGCAGGCACGCGCGGCATCCAGGCGAATAGGGTCTGAGCCAAAGCACATGGCTATTTTGGTAGCATTGTGGGCAGCAATGACGCAGCGGTCTTGGATGCCCTGAATCAGCTCGTTTGTTGCGGCCTCTCGCTGAACCAGGGGAGCGCCTATGTGGTCAAGATCAACAATAAGTGAATGTATGCCAAGCTTTTGCAAGCCAAAATACTCCAAGCATTGAAGAAAAAAGAGGAAAAGGAAATTTGCAACACGCCAGGTCAACATCAGGTCATGGCATAAATGCTATTTGACATTGGTTTTAACGGTTACAAGGGATGTTCAGTCCCCCGGTACCGCGCCCATAATGTTGGCGGTTTGCGTTCCTCCATGGATTACCGCGCTGGCAGTAATCCCGGAAAAGAACGGTCCCCAAACCAACGAGCATCGGCCCGATTTAATCTTGGCAACGGGAACGAAACGATGGTGATTGCGACACCAAGGCTCAGATAGGTTGCCCAATGGTTATAAAAAGCACGTGCTTTTTCATAGCCCGTACATTAAAAAAACGTCAAAAAATTCACTGATAGAATCATTTCCCACACAAGCTTACCACGGGAAAAGAGCGCCTCGGCTTGAGCAGCATCAGCTTCATAACTACTCAGTAGCTGAAAAAGTTCTGGTGCTGATGAACTCATTGTGCAAGGTCGATGGCCAACGCTATTTGGTTCTTCTGATGTATTTGAGGCAAGTAGAAAAGTGACTTTTGTGAGCCATTTTCGCGCCAAGGAACAAGGTTTACGCCCGCTTCAAATCACGACACCACGCCTCCCCCGCACACCGTAGCACACGGGGGAGGAACAAGATGCCGAGGAAAACTACGAGCATCGGTCTTCGAGCAGAGGAATGCGCACCCCACATAGGAAATAGATGGGATCCGGTTGTTTGCTCGATATGGCAGAGAAACAACGACAAGAGACAGCAGAACAAGGCTCAGCGCTCCGAGCGCACTTAACATACCTGAATGGATGCGGTGCGGGGTGGCAGGGCTCAACCACGCACCGCCGCGCCGGCGTTGGGGCCGTACAGTTCAAGGCCCAACACACCCGTCGAAAAATGCCAGTGATGCCATGAGCAAACCAATATGTTCAAGGTATTGAGGCGGGTGCTGAGAGGTGCGGTGCTGATGGGCAAACGAACCACGGGGTTGAACGTGTAAAGTTGAAGCCAGTTCAGAGACGCGGTGGTGGGGGAAGCAGAAGCCAGCCACACGTGGCCAGTGCATGACAAGTTTGACAATTGTGATCGATAAGATCCAACACGAGGTCATTTTCGATCATTTATTGAATCTGAATATTCAGGGCGTCGATTATATTGTCAGACATTGTAGCTTCCGTCTGACAAACTCCGAGAAGAATGCCATGTTATGTCAAAGGTCGGGTGGAGGCGCCCCATCTGCCGTCGGTGCTCCGCCAGGTAGTGCTGCCGGGGCCGCTTGGTGCGACGAGCGATTCTATGTACAACCGGTTGACGTCCGTGGAGTTCCAAGGCCCTCGGTCCAACCTGCTCTCGACCCCTGCTCCACCCCCTGTCGTCTTGGCCAACTCAATTCGAGTTGGCCATGCTGGGGATGCCGACGAAGAACTGCCGTGTGATTAGGTAGCTGGGTGTCTTGTGGACATAGCAGGTGTAAGGCCACCAGGTTTGCACGGCCACGGCGTGCTCGAGGTCAGAGCAGTCGGCAGTTTTAAAACCCCAGAGCTGGCGGATGCCCTTCCCTCGGTCATACTCGTAGGTCCAGAAGCGATGGCCCCAGGGCCGGCATATGTTCTGCAAAAACTGGTAGCCAAACGTGTAGTTTGCATCACAGGCTGTGGTTGCATAGTAGATACCATAGGCCACGGTGTGGGCTGGAGCGCCAGTCAGCACGTCCAATTGGACCCCTGCACTACACTGGCCCGTTGTGTAGTTGGTGTCAACAAACTTCAAGGAGCCCATGATGTGGAAAAATAGGGTAAGCTTTGAAGCCCAGCCAATTGGGGTCGGTCAGCGAGCACAGGCGACAGCGACGAAAAACACCTACGTTGCCACTGCAGTTGACACCTGTTGTAAAGCGACGCGATATAATCTGGCCAATCCACCCCGGCAAGCACACGCCGCAAATGTGTGTGCGTGCACAACACGAAAAAAGAACAACGAAAAGAGAAGCAGAGCAATGAGCAATCCTTGAATCGAGTATATAAATGAAAGGGAGGGGGGGAGGGGGGGAGATAGGGGGCAGGAGAGAGCGACTCGAGAGGACGAGGCAACTTGACAAGCATGTGAACCACCTGGTTGTCGACTGAGGAACGCAGGTACATTTGCCCGGCCTCCAATGGAAGGCACTGGCCTGGGGGATAGGCGCTGATGGTGTCGTCGGACGAGTTGGTGGCATTTCCACACGCCATCACCCCGATCAACTGGCTTTCAGGAGTCAGGCGCACGCCTGGACAAAGACACCACCCGCATCAAGCCTCAAAGTTGATGGCCGGTGCATGGTCGCCGCCGGTTTACGTACCTGCCACCGCGGCAGCAAGAACAGCAAGCGTCGCCACAAAGAACGCTCCCGACACCGGCATGGTGATGGTGATGGTGATGGTGCCGATGGTTTGCAATTTGCGCCTGCAGGGTCTTACGACGCACAGACACAAGATACGAGAGTAAGGCAGACCTGTGAGCCCCTCCGTGGACGTGCTGTATCCACACTGCCAGAAGAAATGCTGAACCACGGTGCCGGGTCTCATCGGCAGGTCAAGCAAGCGGGTGGACGCTTCCTCACCGACGCGGCAGGCAAACGTCACACTCGCACAATAGCAAGAACAAACAAGCACCGAGAGAGAGGCGCGCCGATGGCCACAGCACCCAGCCCCAACAGCAACCGCAACGCACAGTCCTACTGACTTACCGTTGCCCAGACCACGTCTCGAAGCGCCACACACGCAACACGCCCAACCACCACACGTATCAGCAAGAGCGCCCACGGCTTCGTCGCAGCACAGGTGTGGTGTGAAGGGGCCCCAAAAAGAATGGCGCTGCGACACGCTCGAGAGAAAGGAGAGCGGAGTGTGATTGAGAGGGATGAGCTGCCATTCTGCCCTTCACGCCAAGCTGCGCACCATTCACACCATGTCACCCCACCACGCACATGCAGTCCCACGCCCGCGCTCCGTGTGCCGTTTGAGGTTGCACCGATGGTCCGCGCCAACTGCAACAGACAACCCCTCCGCCGCCCCCACAACAACTCATCGGCACGGGGCAATCAGGCCTTCTACATGATCTTGTCATATATCTGCATTAACCTTGACGTATATAACGTTATTTGGTTAATGATATATAATATTATCTGCATCTGTTTCATAGATGACTTCATTAATGTGAAAACCAATCCTGTCCGGTTTGATCTATCTGACAACATCATCTGACAAGAGTCGACGCTAAAAAGTATTTCGAGCCAACCATCCAACGCCAACAACGGCTTTTGCCTTTCAAACATTATGTTAAATACTAATAACTCACACAACCCGAAATTTTGCCATGTTTTTCAAACAGAGAGAGAGAGAGAGAGAGAGAGATTTTTTTTTTTTTTTCCCAAAATTTTGGTCGCGGCGAACTCTGGGGGGCGCAGCAGTCTGGTGACGGACGATTGGGGTTGATGTACGCGTACGGCCTGTGGTTCAAGGGCAGCGACGGGAGGAAGACATAGATAAAGGGTGTGTTTGTCGAGTGCTCGCATTAAGGTGCTGGTCTTGTTCGGACTCGTTGGCGCCGGGTGTCGTTACCAGTGAAGCGCGCGCCGAGCCGCTGAGCCCTTGACCATGGCGGATGTCGACACGCCCACCCCGGCTCCGGCCGTGCTGCACGGCATCCTCATTGAACAGTCTTGGCAAGCCTCTTTGCGCTCCCTAACAAAGGCATCCAACTGGTACGACCCTCTCTCTGGGACTGGCACGTCTTGTCAGGCGGTCAACGCCTTGTTGCCAAACTTGTTTCATGCATGAATGACATGGCTGGCCGCTCTCTTCTCCATCCTGTCACACATCTAGGGCGGCTGATCTGGCCAAGGGATTGTTTCTAGAGCTGGATGCATCGTACGCCACAGAGGCTGAGGCTCAGATGGCGGGTAACACTACTCGTGTGGTCGCCCCTGTCATGGATCTCGGTCAATATCTTCAGCCCGCCGAAGTGGCTCCCTACTTTTTAGCCAAAAGCCACTTTGATGCACGCGAGTACAAACGCTGCGAAGACTGCCTCAAAAATACCACTTCCAATCTGCCCTTCTTCCTGCGTTGCTATGCTGCATTTCTTGCCGGTGAACAGACCAAGGAGCAGACCCAGCCTGATCTCTTTGGTACGCCCCGGGTGATCACCTCCGGCGTCTGCTCTCGGGCTCTCTTTGTTAATCTTCACTTCCTTGAACGCTCACATGTCATCAACTTACTCCTTGATGCAGCAGCCACCCCCACCACCAATCCAAATCTCGAGGCCCTCGAACAAAAACTCATGCAGAGGTACAAACACTGCCCCCTTGCCCGGTCCCGTCCCTCGCTCATCGTTTCTGCCTTTTTTTTTTTTTTTTTTTTAACCATCTTAGGCAGCAACAGCAGGAGCTGGACAGCTATCTGTATTACTTGCTCGGCCTGGTTCATCGAGAATCGGTTCGTATCTTGATCGCATCTGATTATAAGCGCAGCTGGTTCTACACGGACACCTGCACTCTTACCCGACGCAATGTTGAAGAATGCTCTCAACATCACCTCGTCCTTGACCCTTGCCGCGACCAACCACAGGGAAATCGACGCGCAGCCAAAGCTGCCTTTCTCAACGGTGCACAAGCCAACCCTTGGTTCTGGAACAATTGGGAAGAGTTGGCGCGGATCTGCGTGGAAATGGAAGACATTGATCGCCATTTGCAGGTCTGCTCCCAAAACAATGATTCGCACATCTTCAACACCACACACACACACACACACACACACACACACACACACACACACACACACGTCTTCCTTGCAAAGCTCACCTCAACTTTCCTTCGCAGGCCTTAGAGGGCGCTGAGATACCTGCCCTTATCCTCACACACTTCAAAGCCGAAGCATTTGAAGACACGCATTATCACGAAGAGGCCATCGAGCTCTACCAGGCACTCTTTGATCAGTTTCCCTCCAGCATCAACCTCGTTGGCGCCCTAGCAGCCGCCCACTACCACCAACGCAACTTTGACCAGGCCACCGAGTTTTTCGACACCCTTCTTGCCCATGACCCTTATCGCCTAGATGACCTCGAATTGTATTCCAACATGCTTTACGTCCAGGTAAGTGACAAGCCTACACCCACAGCCCGTGAATGGCGACCTTTTCGTCCTGGTCGTCCTCTCAACCTTTGCGCCCCCCGCTCTCTCATATTTTTTTTTTCTTTTCTTTTATTTTTTCTTTTGAATTGATATAGGAGCGCACGGCCGATTTGAGCCACCTAGCGCAGCGCGTTGTCACCATCGATCGATTCCGTCCCGAAACATGCTGCATTTTAGGTGCCCTTGGCGTTTGCTCTTTCTTTCCCGGTGGGGGCGCGTTGCGCTCGCTTGTCCTCACACTCTCCTTACACATGGTTGACAGGGAACTTTTACAGCATCAAGCGCCAACACCCAAAGGCCATTGAAGCTTTTCAACGTGCTCTCATGCTCAATCGTCGGTACGTGCTTTATCCGACATTTTAATCCAAGACGCTCCACGCCATCTACCGTTGCCTCACCCTCAAGTCTGTCACCTGTAAATTTGACACGTGCTATCGGGCGCCTGCGCAGCTACTTGGGCGCTTGGGTTTTGCTTGGGCACGAATATGTCGAGCTGAAGCGAACCACGTCTGCCATTGCCGCCTACCGCCGGGTCTTGGGTACGCTTGCTCAAGGCATTGCTTCAGTCACCCCTTTCGTTGGGCCACCTCAACGCTCATTCACGACTGCCTCTGGCTGGAATTACTATATTTTAGAAATCGATTCACGAGATTACCGGGCGTGGTATGGTCTCGGGCAGACCTATGAGCTTCTGGCCATGCCCCGCTACGCTGCCTACTACTACGGCTACGCTCAATCCCTCAGGTTTCACATGCTCCATCGACTGGTGCTGTCCCCGCCTGGACCCAGTCCTGACGCCCGTGTTCTAAGCTCATGCTTCGCGTTCCCCCTTCTGCTAGGCCTTCTGATGGTCGCATGTGGCGTGCCTTGGCCATGGTGTACGAGCAACTCCACCTCTACGGCAATGCGCTCAAGGTTAGGCAGCGTTTTTCTCTTCGACTTGTTTTTCTTGCCCAAGTACATAGCCTGTGCTATCCAATCACTTGATACGCTCCTTGCTTTCACTCGTGGCGGCGATCAGGCCTATCGCATGGTACTCAATCTGGCGGAAGAGCCTGATGCTGATGCATTGTATGCCATGGCAAACCTGTGTGCCTTTCGCTTCCCTTCCCGGGCAGAAGAGGTGCGTGGCCGATCGCCATGCGTTTCAGCGCCTCAATTTTGCTCGGGGCTTTTTCCGTTTTGCGCATCTCACAGTGTTCACTTCTCACCTGCCTGGACTGGATCAATGCCTGATGTGTGCCTGGGATCATCCAAACTCTAGGCAACGGCACTATATGAGCGTCTCTTGGCCGTGGATGAGCAACAAGGCAGCGTCTCTGCTGAGCGTTTGCTGGAGGCCCGTCGCTGGATTCAACAACGCGGCAATGGCCAGCCGCGTCTCGAGGTTTGATCTCGCGTCGGTTTCGTATAGCCCTTAACTCAGCGTGCGTGCTCGCTCATGACGCCTGTCGTCCCCTCTCCTAGCGCTCCTTTGGAGAAGAAGGCAACCAGCCGTTGCAGACCAATGTTATGCTCTCGCTTCCGCCAAATAGGGATGAAGAAGCTTCGAGTGAGAGTGACATGAGCATGGAGGACTAGCCGTTTCCCGTCACCATGCTGCAAGAGCTTAAGAGATGTTATAGAAAGGCGCCTGGCTGTTTTGTTGCGTAGGTCCCAGAGAGGGTGTATGTGCGTGCGTGCGGGCATTCCCATCCATGCCAAACGACTGGTAGTGAGCTGGCAGGCTCGCAAGCTGCGCATCACACTTGCGATGTTAATCAACACAAACACTTCTTCGGCTGCAATGTCGATTGAAGAATCGTTTTCCACGTATCAATCACGCCATGCAGCTATCCAGGCGGCAAGTCTTGCATGGAGCCTATCCCTATCTGCACCGAAAGCCAAGCATGTTGTTCAAGTCGCAACTCCGAGGTACTTCCAGGCGAAAGAACTCGGAAATGTGCACATGATTTTATCCATGAGACACAGCCTCTTCAGCCTTCACTAGCTGCGTAAAGTTCAAGTCGAGAGCCTTGGCCAATTCCGCGTAAGAGGCCAGCATGACGTTTTTGGCATCGACGGTCGTCAAAGCGATAATTTCAGGCGATTGCGCGTCCAACTAATACACATACCCCACAACGAAAACGGCGTGAGGAGCAAGGCATGTAAGGTCACATCATTACCACCGAGAAAAAAGAAAAGGAAAAAAAAAAAGACAAAACGCCAAAAGAAAGCAAAAAGGTGACACGTTGCTTGCGCGTGCACGAGTAGACACGGTGACGTTAGCCCAGTACCTTTGATAAGCACTGCACGACGTGGGCCAGGTCAACAAACGGCGCGCCGCTCACGGGCTGTGCTTGATGGAACATGTAGTGCTTGAATAGGCGAAGCATGTACGTGTCGCCCGACTGGGGAAGAAAGACATGACACACCCAGACACAGGTGGGAATGGATCAGATTCTGCTGCATCATCAAAGTTCATGAACTTGTTGGCCCTTACCTCCTGCCACTGGGCTTGCTCTGGGCGGTCCACAACCGTGTTGAGCTTGGATAGGAGACGAAACAAATGCCCGTTGTACATCTCCTTGGCCAGATCAGACTCGAGTACATCCACGTAGCTAGTGTCACACAAGCAAGTTGTTGGAGGCGGTCGGTGAGCACAATCCCAGGGCCAAATCAGCCCAAGCGCAACGGATGCGCACATGCCATCACCAGCGCATGCGCTCAAGCGCGGGGGCGTACTTTTGCTGTTGATCCAGCATGCCAAAGAAGCGCGTGCCCACCATAGGCATCAGCTCAGCCGCCGTCTTGAAACCGGGGTTCATGAGGTATCTACTCATAGGCAAGAAGGTTGGTCCATGAGACACATACATCAAGCCTTCAGGCGATGGCGATGGGCTATTCACGAAACACACTGAATCAGCGCAACAACGTCGCGCGAAAAATTGGCTTGAATGTAGCCCATATCCTGCGAAATAGCCGGCTTCGTGAGCTGCGGCCCCCACGACAAGCCATGCGCCGAGCAACTGTGGTCGAACAACACATGAACAGTCCACACATCGCTCGCCCTGACCTCTTGCAGATTGACGTTTTTGGGGTGCCGAGGAAAGCTGCTGCAGGCCAAGGCCATGACCAGGCGTGCGAGGGCGACAAAGTCATCTTGCTGCTCGACGTAAGGCACAAATCACAGAACGGAGTCATGCGTGCACATTAAGCAAGATAGGCTGGTGAGAGGGCGCAGCACACCCGGAATGCATGAAAATACTCGCCACGGGATGACACGCCGCACCTGGTGGGAAACAAGCATGCGCTTGTGCTCCTCGTCGTCAACCGCAAACAGAAGATCAAGTAAACATGGTCCGCCGAGCAGAATACTGTGAAAGCACGGTACACGCCATGAGAACGGGGAGACGGAGGCGGTAGCGGAGGCGCTGTCGTCAACATGCCATGCCATGCCATACGAACCGTGTCCGACTCATCAGCAAAACTTTTTCCGGCACGATGCACCGCAGAGCCAAGCCACAGCTGTGTGCAACATGCAAAGCTGTAACAAGAGGCAGGCATGGCGATGGCAAAGCGTGAGTTGGCGGTGCACTGGCCTCAAGTACAGCACCGGGCAAAATAAAGAGGTCAGAGAGCAAAGAACGCACCAGATGTAATTTGGACAATAATTTGCCAAAGCAAATTTTCCGGAAACAGAGACGGCGCATGCTACAATGCCAGACAGGCACGTCAACAAGCGATAGTAGTGATGAGCGTACTGACAGGCCATCGCCAAGCGCGGGCACGTATGTGGCCAAGAGATAAGGCACCTACTTGGCTCAAAAAGGCCTGTCGCAGAGTGCGGGCTCCAGGATAGTAGTCGCTCACGCACACCAATGCTGCAAGCAGGAACATGACATGATGAATGAAAGTGAATTGCGTGCGCCGCAATCACATTGGCGTGCAGTGCTTCTTCGTTGGTCAACAGGATGCACATTCCCAAGCGTACAGTGATCTCCAAAGTCCTTGGTGGTAAAAGCCTCGCGCAGCTGGGCGATGTTTGGGTGGTGCAACTATGCATAGACGAGCCCGATCCCATAGAGGTACCGGCACGAATGAGACCATGCCCCACTCAGATGTGTTGGGGATAAACAAGCCGGCTCATGGAGCTTGGGCATGGGTACTTTCAAGCGCCAAGCGCTATCTGCCAAGAATGGACAAACCTTGCGCCAATGTTCGACGCGCCGCATGGCCTGGGCGTGCTTCATATGAAAGTTTGCCAGGCGGCGTAGGCAGCAGGGCCGACCGTCCTCACGACTGGTGGCCTTGTACACGACGCTAGCCACACCGTACACCTGTGATTGCCAAAAAAAGGCGACCCGAGGATTTTTTTTTTTTCCGACGCGTGATTCACTTGTGAGGTGTCGAAAACGCTTTTGCACAGACGGAACGAGGTGCCGCAGCAAAAGCCTTAAAACCCTTCTCCAGTCAAGATCCGGCACACCTTGCTAGCGGCAGGCATTTGCTCCAATGGCACGAGGGTATGGTAGTTGTCCACTTCCACGGGCAGTTCTTTGGGAAAGAGGCGGGGGGCATTACGAAGATTAATGCGAACAGTAAAAGAATTGAAAACAAGCGCCCAGAATTCCAAGCCCCTGCGTTGGCGTTGGTGTCTGAACGTCACAGATGAAGCGGTTCGTACTTGGATCCACGGCTTGACTCTCGGCCATTGCACGTCGCGACAGGAGCTCCTAAGCATGGCAAGGCAGTGAAAGGCCAAAGGTAAGGAAGTTTGAAACACCTTGCTTTCAGGTTGCAAATTGAAGGCTGTGCAGTCTTGACCGAGGCCAAGGTGATCATGCATGCTGCATGAGCTTACGCGCTTGAGGTCGAATCCGACAAAGTACGACCCGTTTGGGCGGGGGTGTGGTGCAACGTAGGGCATGCCCATGCTGCCCAAAGAATGGACATAGCGCACGGGCTCTGATGGCTATCGGAGCGAGGCACATGAATGAGCGAGAACAAGAAATATAAAAGTGGTTTGACGGTCTTGATCCAAGATCAAGCAAGGCGTGGCCGTTGCGTCCTGGCGCCGATTTTGACGTGCGTTTCCGGTCTGGCCAGGTTGGGCTCACGCACCTGGAGGGTCTGGTTGGCATGAGCAAAGGCGGAGAGGCTGTCTGGATCCGTCATTCCATGGGCAGCCATGGGGTCGAACGGCATCATGGAGGGTGAATGCCCAGTAATGTGTGGCGACATGCCTGGCATCATGTGGTGCTGATCCGGCGGCATGTAGGGCATTCCACTCGGCATTTCGCCGTGGGCGCCATATCCATAGTGGGCTGCTTGGTGTTGGGAGGCAGGGGCAGGTGCTGCCGAGGTCGCGCTCTGGACGTGGCCAGGGGGATTAAAATTTTGAGGTACAAAAGCAGGCGCTGCACTGCTCATCACCAAGGCACTGCCATCGCTGTGGGCTCCCTGGCCAGGTTGCGGTCGAAACTCGGGATACCTGTCATTCATTGATTGATCAGGCGGATTGGTGAGAGCAACGTGTGCTTGCGCGCAGGTTGCGCTAGAGGCGAACCCTGTGGCGATGGAAACGCACGACTCGACGTTGGTAAAGCGGGCCGTCGTGGGCTCAAAGGCAGGAGCGTCCGTGTTCTAGCAGAGCAAGGGTGTGAGTGGCTGAGCCAGACCTGTGCCATTCATTCAAAGGCTTCGCAGAGCAAGGCGTGGCTCGCTCCTTACCATCCTTGCGGCAAGCCGTGCTTGTCGTCGGTAATCCAGCGACCTGAACCAGCGCTATCTGGCTTGTTTTCCCTCGTTTCCTCCAATGCACTCTGTTCCCTCCCCTCCACCTTCCGCACGTACGCGTGCACTGCACGCCGGCGTTCCCGTCAGTGACCGCGAAAGCGACCGAGCACGAAGAGAGAGAGAGAGAGAGAGAGAGACAACAAAAAGCAAGAAGGAACAACAACAACAACAACAACAACAACAACGGATTTTTATGTACGTGCGTGTGATTCAGCGGAAGCGAGACAGAAGCCACACTTTTACTAAAATTTGGTGGTGTGTGGCTCAACAAAATCAAGAGAGAGAGAGAGAGAAAAAACGTGCGATGGCACACAGGGGTTTTGGTAGGGGAAGAGGAGGCTCGCGCAGCGAGTGTGGCTATGTGGACATGTTCAGCTATCAGCTTCTTGCTCTGCTGCATGGGTTACCAGACAACCCGTTCGAGGACGTCGGAGAAGATGTTGACCACGTTAGTGACCGTCGAGCGGGTGACGTTTTCCTTCCACATGATCTCCTCAATGCTGAAGCGTCCGTCAAAGTACGGTAGAAAGCTAGAACCAACCCGCGCAGAAGAGTCGTGAGCAAGCCGGCGGCACGTGTTGTGCGAATATAATCAGTCGCCAGTGCACCAACCGTGCAAATAGGTCCAAGGGCTTCTCATCATCCTCAAGCTGGATGGTCGCGGCAGAGGCGAGCTTTTGGACGTGCTACGGGGCCCAACACCACATTCAAGCAGCAGTCCAGCGGCGAACCGACAAAACCGGAGGTGACATCAGAAAATTGCCTGGAAAAGTCAATGCAAGTGCCAAGGCACATCACGACGGAAGAATTATGAATGAAGAAAAAACAAAATATCAGAAAAACAAACCTCGACTGCGAGGGGCGTGAGCATCATCCTGAGACGTGTCACTGCTGGCAGCAGTTCCGTCAGTCGCGCCCCCAATGGAAACCGCTCGGCTCCAATGGACGATGCCCCCGAGGGCCTATCTGCATGATCTCGATTGTTTGAGGGACGAGTCAAGAGTTGGCGAGACGAAGAGTGGCTTCGCCCCGCCTTGGAGCGCTGGCGGCCCTTGCCCCGATCTCGTAAGGACGCTGACGACCTCGAGGATGCAAGTCCCCCAGTCCCGTCTGTGTCCACCCCATCATCATCATCATCATCATCATCCTCGTCCTCAACCTCGTCATCATCATCATCATCATCATCGTCGTCGTCCTCGTCCTCGTCCTCGTCATCATTGCCACGTGCATCGTTGCAGTTGCCATCTTGCTTGGGATCATCAACATCGGCGTCGTCGTCGTCATCGTTATCGGGGTCGCCAGCAGGTGCCCATTGGCGCTGTGCTCGCTTGTGCTCTCGGTTCTTTCTAGCGGCCCCATGGCGAGTACCATCCTCTTGACTGGCATTGTCATCATCCTCTTCGCTCCCATCAAGCCCATCGCTGCCCGAGGCAACCCCCGATCCCGATTGCGAATTTCGCCGCCAGTTGTCAAATTCGATGTCGCTCTCGTTGTCACTGGGGGTTCGCCGACGAAGGGCATCCCCAAAGGTCTCTGCACTGCTGGACACGTCATCCAGTTCCATGCCGCTTTCTGTAGGCAATGAACCCTCGGCTGCCTCACTACCCGTTGCCTGTGTTTGCGACTCATCGGCAATTGTATCCGTACCCTGTCCTAGTGAGCCGGCACTCGCCGTGCGGGGGCGCACCGAGGTTGCGGCATGGCGAGTCGGGTCGTTGCGGTGGTCCACATAAAGAATGTAGCTGGGAAACGTTGGCAGTATAACACAGACGTGAGTCACAGCAGTAGGCATAAGAGAGAAACAGTGTTTTCTTCCAAACGGCGTGCACCTACGTGTGCAGATCATCCAAAAAGTCGCGTTGCAAGAGCCACTCAATAATCTACGGCCCCAATCAGCCATTGACGGTAACAGTGAGCGGGTAGCAGAAAGGGGCTCCTCGCGCATGCCCGTACCAATCATGCGTTGAATAAACACAAAGCAAAGGCATACCTGAAGGCGTTCATGCTGCTCTTCCTCCGCCAACACGCGCAGATGATCGGTCAGAGTCTTGGGCCGGGAAAACATGTCCTGCCATTTCCAAAGCATTTGCAAAAGCATCCACACATTGAATGAGATACCCCCACTAAACGAAGATACCTTGACATGCCATGCCACCGGGCAGACGTACGAGGGCATTGGCTAGCGTGAGGGAGGGAAAGCGCCGGCTAAAGTCTTGCCAGATCTCTGGTGTCAAACGACTACGATCCATATATTTCGACACCACTAGCACGCTACTATGACAAACGGGGTAGATGATCTTGGCCTCTAAATTTGCAAAGCACAAGGTACAAGGCAACCATGAAGATGTTGTGCATGCGTGCAGGGCGAGACCGGAGAGCAAGCTACAAGGCCGGGGGTTATTCGTTTGTCGAACCATGCCAAACGACGAGATGCAACGCCAGCCGCAAAACCTGAGGATCAACCTTGTTCATGAGCAGGTGCATCGTATGCCGGCACAAAATGAGCGAATCAGCGATCCCAACCAACCTGCGCCAACGACACGTTGATGTCTTGTGCTAGCTCTGCAAACGTGCGCAAGAGGGAAGCTTGCTCCACCAAGCGCCGCAATGCTGGAGATGGAGCAATCGAATCGAATTAATTTGAGGGCGCGTGTGCGGCAGCATCAGCCCATCAGGATCCAAGGTCACACCTGGGTTGGAATCTGCTGGCAGCAGAGCATTCAGCTGGCTTGACGACGTCCTAGGGTCACCCAAACCCCAAGCGCAAGCGGCAAGCAAAGAAACGTGGCAAAATAAGGTTGCACCGACCAAGTTGTCGTGGCAAAGACCAAGAAGCACATCAACCACACAGGCCGAATGCTGACCGCAGCAAAAGGGCATGGTAGGGCTTGATATCGGCAAAGGAAGCCGAAGAGTTGCTCAAATCGAATTTGGCAATAGCAGGCATGTCATCAAACGTGGTACAATGAGAGAGCCCCACCCAGCCATTGATCTGTGGCCACCATTCAGCCAATTTTTTTGTTATGAGTAAAAGATACAGCCCAGGAGGTGAGAAAAGTGTGCCCAGGTTCACCAAGCACGCAGCATGCGAGTGGCTGTCGGGGCCGCGTGGTGGGCACCGACCTTGAGCACAGCGCGGCCATCGGCCTTGAGTTTGCTGTAGAGATCCTGAATGGTGTTGGCTAGAGCGTTGCTCGTGGCAGCAGCTCTGACTGCTGTGGCCTGCACATCAAGCCCTTCCTGATAGATTTGAACCGTCAAATTTAGTGGTGAGACTGGCGGACTATCAGTGCCACACTTCGCGCCGCCAGCGGGGCGCAACGACGCTGACCAGTTTAATGGCGTCAAGTTCATTGACGCGACTGCGGATGTGCTCCGAGAGATAGCCACAACGTAGCTCTTCGTGGTTGAAGGCGCTTCCCAGACGTTGTGCCAACTAGACAGGAATGGATGCAACATATCAGTGGGGTGCCTCAACTCGGCTGGGGGGAAAGTGCATGCGCAGGAACAAGCCCAGGCCAGGCGGGCTCAGTGGGCGGGCATGAATTGCTCCGCACCTGCTGATATCGCAGCTGGGCAGCTGAAGTGGCTTCCGTATTGAGAACCATGACAAGGTTGTAGACGTAGGTGGAGGGGACGGCCTGGTGCTGTCCGCCTTTGACCACCCGCGTGTAGCCGACCATAACCGAGTCGTCTACAAGCCATGCAGCATCGACGTTTGGTGAGATCAAGTCGCACGCGCGGTCAGGGCAGAAAGCGGAGAAAAGGGGAGGCACACCACACGCCAGTGGGCCTCTTGGAGCAAGCGTCTTTGATAGCCAGAGGCACCTCGATTCCTACCAATTTTGAGAAAATAGGGCCGATTGCAAAGCTCAAAGTCGGGGCAGAGCAAGTCGGCCAAACCCAATGCGCTGTAGCTGTTGAGAAGCAAAAGGCCAAGAGTCAACGAGAACAACATTCGTGAGCGCAGCTCAGCCATTATACTGGGTGTCTCTCGGGCGGCATGAAGCTTGTGCTGGCGAAGCAAGATGGCCAATTTGCTTACCCAAAGGGTGCAATTAGGCTATCAGCTGGATGGGAGATGGTTTGCCTATCAGGTGTGCACATGTCGAGAGCATGAGGGCCGACGATGGGTGGCGCGTCGCATCGAAAAAGAGCAGAATCATGCAAGCATACCGGTGCGACTGCTTGGGCCCCTCTTCTTTGACTGGCTTGAGACCATACTGGACATCCACGGCCATGTCGCTCGGGTCTTTACGCTGCACCGGGATGCATTTGTGTTCATGACGCGTCAAAGTGCGGCTGGTGCAGTGCACAGGCACAATGGTTTCCAAATGCAACGGGACATACTTTAACGGCCACGGGCAGCTCGAGGCGATGCGGCACCCAGCACACGAGCTTGGCCGGAGACATGGTATCCTATCGGTGTCAATGACCCTGAAAAGATGAGCGTGACTGGCCGACGGGTTCCATTGCAGCTCAAGACACGTACCCGATAAGCCATCAGAATGCACTGCAGGCTTGCCATGCTGGCGATTTGAACCCCCACTGCCGAGTCTGCACGCAAGATTGCACACAACCCTGCACCCTCCTCCCGCCATGCAGATCCCCTCGGCTGCCAGATGAATGGTCCGCCACCCAACGCCAAGGCCACTGACTGCCCTTCCTGCCGCAATGTGCAGGGCGAGATCTTGTTGTGTGCGTGTGTGTGAAAATCTGACAAAAATGCACAAATTGTTCAACACCAACTTGATAAAGTGGATGAAACTCTGGATTTGTACCTCAAAGCGGCATGTTCACGGGGTCGTGGGACTTTCATCTCAGCCGTCACACGCCTGCCTTCTCTTCAATCACAGTCCAAGCCTGTCCTATGTCAAGCAGATAGTAATGCCAAAGCAAGGAAAAAAAAAAAAAAAAAGGAAACTTCCCAGACTCGAGCACATGAACGCTACAAATAATGAACAAAACCCCATACAACAACTCATGCGTGGCATCCAAGTGGGCATTGTCCTTGCTATGCTTTGTGTTTGTGCTTGTGTTTGTGTTTATGCTTATGTTTGGAGGAAAAGTAGCCCGAAAAATAACCCATGACGGAACCGCGCGGCGCGCGTGCGGGGCTTGCTTCCTCCTCTTCCTCGTCTGGGAGAGGTTGGTCCAGAGCATCAAAGAATTCGTCATCGTCATCGTCATCCTCGTGTTGATGCTCGGGCACGCTCTCACCACCAAAATCAATGGCTTGATCAAGGCGGTCACGCAGTCGCGTCACCATGGCCGGTGTCATGTGACCCGTGGTCTCAATCTTGATGCCACGCGAAACGGGACGAATCATGGGCGAGGTGCGGCGAAAGCCTTGGCTAGGGGCATCAGATGCGGTTGGCGAGGTTGCGGTGACCAGACCCTGCGCACTAGAGATGGAGAGATGGCGGGACGTTGTCGATGATGGCGTGTGTTCCACGGGCCCCACTGCCGATAGAGACTGGGACTTGTGGAGGCTTGATCCTGTGGTTGAGTGCTCGCCATGGATGGGAATGGCGGGGGTGGGGGTGCCGTTGAAGAGGTGAAAGGCCGATTGTTCTTCCTCGCTTGCATCAACCATGTGTGGGGGTAGGCGTGCAAAGCTCTCGGCCACTTCCTCTGGCGATGAGGTGTAGAGGTGTGGCATGTACTCCTGCAGAGTAAATGAGTGGTCAAAGTGCTGGTCAAAGGTGGGCCACGTTTCATAGGCTACGCGCGGTGCGGCGTCATAGTCCAGCTCATGAGACAGGGCGATGCCAAGGAGCTGCTCTGGCATTTCCTCGTTATCTCTGGCCTCGACGACGAGGCCCGATTCAATCGTCAACTGATTCAGAACGGGCCTGGGCGACGACGCCCAGCAAGCGATGAACATGCCATGTGCACCAACATCCACAAAGGTGAGCTAGACACCAGGACATGCCATGCACGCGCAAAGGACAAGTTTGTCCAGACTGCCGAATCCCTTTGCCCCCTCTCTCTTGCTTGTCTTCCCAACAGGCCCAAGACTTCTCTTCGTGCTGATCTGGACCCTGCCCAAAGTGCACAAACGACAGGATCTCACCGCAGGCTGTCCCAGGTGGAGCGGGCTGGGTAGGCAAAGATGTGGACATCAACGTTCACCTCGAGATATGTGCGATGGTCCGTGAACCAGTGGTGCTGTGGTCGGGTCAGAACTGGTTTCATATTGTAGGACGAGATGAGAGACTTGACAAGTTTGTTAAATGGGCTGGACTCGACGTTGACTAGGTTGGCAATGACCTGGCAATGGCCGGGGGCGATGCGCTCATCAGAAATGGCGAATTTTACTATGACGGGTCTCGTGGCGCTCGAGGCAATACCAAACTCACCTTGAAGCGATCTTTGAGATCATCACGTTGGACAAAGTCGCGCAGAAGACGATAGGCTGGCGGTGCGCTCTCAATGGCCTCGGGTTGCAAATGATGCCATGTTTCTTCCTTCATCAAGAAATAGCAGGCCAAACTGTCCGAGCGCGTGGTGCGATGTGATGGGTAATAGGCATCAGGATTGGTGAGCGATTACAGTCAAAAGCAAGCACGGAGGGCTTGACAGAGATAAAGAAGCAGGCATGGCGGCCGAGCTCGCATAACTGACTTGAAGGTCTTGCCTTCCTTGGCACCAAAAAGGGGGGCCGCGTAGCTAAGGGACGATGAAACGGTTCCGTGAGGGCGCGAAAATCTGGGAGAGGGGGAGCGGATTGGGCAGCTTGACTCCAAACGAGGGTTCGTACTCTGGGAACATGACTGTGACGACCAGATAGGGGGGTACACCACCCGACGGATGGTCGCGGGGAGACGGTGGTGCGGGTAAACGCACGCGCCGGCAAATGTTCATGGCCTGCACGCACGTAACACGGCTCGGGTGTGACTGGCAACAAACATGGCATGGGAAGCTCAAACGTGCAGCAACTGCATTGATAACAGTTTGAAAAAAAAAAAAAAAAAAAAACGTACGCGCTTGTCAGAGACAAAAATGTCGTTGCCAATCTGCTCATACATGGGCGGCCCTGAGGGCGCTTTCTTCTTGTGTCGTTTGTAGTCAGGGCCAATGCGAGTTTGAAACACGGTTGATCCCTGTGACCATGGACGTGGGCGTGCCAAGATGAGAGCATGCTATGTTGGCAGCGCGCGAGCACATGTCTGTCTTTATGTGCAAAAGGGTCAGCATTGGCCGGGAGTATCACACCTTGGCCAGATCATAGTGTTCATAATCCCAGTGGTCCCGCGGGTCGCGCAGGGAGAAGCCGACGCGGCGGTCTATGGCCGAGCTCATGACAACGGGAGCAAGCCTTTGCTGCAGTGCGCAGCAAAGAAATGGGCTCACCGGCACCGGTTTGCGTTGTCTGGCACAGCAAGATGGGGATAGGTGAGCCGAGCTGGCCGAGCAACAAAGCCACGCGTCAGTGGAGCGGAAAGGGGGTAAATATCAACGACAATGAAGACTGACCTGGCACTCTGTTACGAGCAGGTTCTCCTCAAACACGTTTTACGCCTCCGTCGCGCGGCTGCAATGGTGGCCTCGGGTGGCCAATAAAACACACACCCCCGAAGAAAAAAACTTTGTGCCTGGCCCGCACTGGAGGAAATAAATGTTCAGCTGGCGTTGACCAAGCCTCACCTCCTCACACCGTGAATGGCTGTCGCAAAGGTAGTCACAGAACCCGACTTGAACTCCCCGGCAAAGCAGGCAAGCCTTTATCGAATCACAACGGTGAGGACAACCAAAGCCCCGTCGGCAGCGCGTGCCTCTGACAGAGAGACAGAGACACAGAGAGAGAGAGAGAGAGAGAGAGAGATGAGGATGAGAGAGAATTGGTTAAGAGAGAGAGAGAGAGAGAAGTGTGAGAGAGAAAAGTCTTTTTCTGTGTGTGTGTTGTGTTGTTGTTGTTGTTAGTGGTGTGGCTGTGATGATGATGTTGTCGTCGCCAATTCAAATTCAATCCCTGTTGCCGAGTGCTTGAGCCAGAGGGATTGAGCTCCGGCTCGTGTAGCTGGCTGTCGTGGCTGGCTGCCGTGGCTGATCTACCTCATCTGGCTGCCGGAGCTGACCGCCGTTCTGCAGGCAGAGAAGGAGCCTGGCAGCAGTCAACAGTACTTTTGAACAGGTGTTGACAACAATCGTTCAAGCATTTTGTCTCGGTGTTAGGCTTTTGTTGCAAAAGTACAACTTGTTGTTGTTTTACTAGTGTTTCTTTAGTTAGAAGTCGCTGCTGTACACACACTTAATGGTCCTAAGGGGCTGTCGTGGCGTTTTCACAGGTCGCCAGGATCCTCCTACTTGGAAAAAAAAGGGCAGCGCGTGTGGGACCAGGCCTGCTCTGGAGATTCGAACGTGCTGAGAGTTCGGCGTAGGAACCAATGGTTCAGATGCAACCCTTCTTACATCTCATGGGCTGGAGAGAATAGCAATGTTGGACACGTTCCACTGTGTCAAGTAGCTGCGCCGCCCACAAAACCCTACTACACACCTCTATCGGCTGAATGCTGAACGATGCCGTCATCTTCCCTGCTTTCAAGAACCCGCGCCCTGCCCAAGAGCCATCAATCCATCAAGTGGTCCTGCGTGTTGTATCACACCTCCCAGCAAGCGGTACACTCATTTGTCATTTCAGATTGACAGATGCCTCGATCGGAACCCTCACACATCAAGTTTTCGGCTTGGCTAGCAACCAACAGCCAACAAACAACACACACACACACACACACACACACACACACACACACAAGGTTTGATCGTCGTTTACATGGAGATCGGGTCGCCAGAAACAAAGTACTGGGCAAACAGCAACAAGGCCATAGACGTGCGCTGCAAGATTGCCGCTGTCTGCGAGGCACACGGTGCTGGTGCTGGCTCTGGTGACGTGGCCAGCCTTGAGAATTAGACCAGCAGAATGGCCAACCTATCAGAGGTCGACATCGCCGCCGCCATTCAGGCTGATTTGCGTGCGTGCAGCTCGATGCCCGGCCTTTTGCACTCAATACAGCCAGGATGATCTTGTCTAACATCTCGTCGCACCTGTGTTCTAACATCAACACAACATGGCTCCCCCGCGCTCCTCCAATCTAACAGAGACCTCAACCCCTTTGCACGTCGCCGCTTTCTTGGGTGATCAAGAAACCATCCAGTACTATATCCGCCCAGGTCTGCCGACCCACCCCGTACCGCATTCCTCGGGCTGCACGATCAATCCTGACATGAATCCGGTCGGGCAGATATTCTGCAACAGTTTGACATTGATCAGCCAGATGAGCATGGGCGGACCGCCCTCGCCTACGCCGCCATGGGGGGACACCCAGACATTTTGCAGCTGCTCCATCAAGTCGGCGCCCAAGTATGTGCCTTGATCACGCTACCATCCCCCCCCACCCCCATTTGTTGACCTCAGGCTTTCCCTGCTTGCCCCACAAGGCCTCACCTCATTGTTTGGTGGAGCCAGCTCGAGCAGAGTGATCCCTTCGGCCGTACACCCATGCACCAGGCCACCCTCTTTGAGCAAGTCAAAATCGTGAAGCTTCTCCTCATCCTTGGGGCCCACTGTACAAGCGTGGATAGCCAACAACGGTGAGAAGCTGAACCCTTGTTTGCCACCAAGCATGGCTCCAAGCGCCTGATCAGTATGAATGCTGTTTGCTACCCCTGTTTAGCACGCCTCTTCATCTGGCCGCCGGCACATCTTCCAAGGTTAGCGCGCCCCGCGCCCCGTCCCTTCCTAGTTCTTGAACATTAACGGTGGTGTATCCGTCAAGCACCTCACAAACACCCTCTTTCTCTTGCTCACTGAAACCAATTTCATCGAATAGCTCGTCAAGGCCATGCTCAAGGACCCTACCTGTCCTCTGAATGCCGTCGACGAGGATGGCATGACGGCAGCCCACTGGGCAGTGGCTGCCGAGTCTGCAAAGGCACTGCGTTACCTTTTGCAAGCGGTAAGGTCATTCAGACCCCTGGCCTAGGCTGAGAACGGCGGCCGCTACCCATGGTTCCTCATTATCAATCGGTGTGATCTCAGGCTTGTAACGCCAGCATTGTAGATAACGAGGGCAAAGCCCCAGTCCACTGGGTATCTCGCAACCAATCAGCTGCCATCTGCGAGCTACTGCGAGAAGTTCAGCCAGAAATGCTGCAATGGCCGGACCAAGATGGACGCACACGTCTGTTTCCCTGCCCTTGACTTGATCCTTCTGATCTGGCACTGCCAGCGCTCACACCCCGTTACTATTGGTTGGTATTGCTCATGGCCTGCAACAATGTCCACCCGTTGGCAAAAACGCCAGTCCTGCATCTTGCCGTAGCAGAGGCCAACGCCCCGATGGTGCACTATCTGATTGAGCAAGGCATCTTTGACATTGATGTGGTTGATCTCATGGATCGCACAGCCCTGCATTGGGCAAGCGTCATGGGTATGTGGTTGAGCTACCTGTGTGCACCGCTGTCCTCTCTGTCACTCTAGCATCAAAAGACTGAAACGGCATCATTTGCTGTATCACAAATCCTCTCGTCTCTGTGCATGGCAGGAAATGGCGAGCTTGTGCAGTTGCTCATCGATCTTGGGAGCAATGGGCTTGCCAAAGACTCGGACGATGCCACGGCGGCACACTACGCCGTGCGTTGCCTGCACACTGCTTTTCAGCTGCCTCCAGTCCAGCCGCGCGTCTCCAAAACTCATGGGCGGGCATGTCTGAATCTGCTCATCTTTACGTGTAATTGATCTAGGCCCAATTGGAGGATACAAGCGCACTTGCTGTTCTAGCGAAGCGGGGGCTCGCACACACGCAGGACAAAGATGGGCAATTGCCCCTTCTTTGGGCCATTACACAAGGTGTGCATTTCAACACATGCGTAGTGAGGGCTCACAGGATGCGCGGCCTCACCCAACCTGTCTCACTCGCTCAACCTGCTTTGCACATTCATCGGGGTCACTTCAGGCAACTTGCCCGCCGTTGAGATTCTGCTCCAGCATACACAGGTCACGCCTGAGAACAGTGTGGATGCCACTGGCATGACACCCATTCACGCTGCGGCGTACCTGGGCCTGGTGGACATTTTGCAGATCCTCCTTAAGGTCGGCAGTCCAATTCCTGTGCTGCCATCTGCCCGTGCAAACGGGCGTCGGAGCATCGGCTGGCTGTTGGGACATAATGTGTGTGCGGGGCTTTTATTTTGACATTCGATTCCTTTGATGCAGAAGACCGCCTTGCCTGTTGACGTTCGTGATCAGCGGCAGCAGACCGCCCTCTTTCGCGCCATTGAAGGCGGACAACCCGAGTCGGTCCGCCTTTTGCTCGCTGGTCAGTGCCATCTTCGGAGCAATGTTTGCGCTTGCACACCCCACGCAAAGCCATGTGGCTGTGCTTAACCGCTTGTCTTGTAGAGCACGCCGACTTGACCGCACAGGATGAGGAAGGACGCTCAGCTCTTCACATGTCAGTTCATCGGGAGCGCGCGCCTGTTCAACTTGATTCAAAAGTTGTTTGACTCTCACGCCAACCCCTTCCCGCGCGCATGTCATGACCATAGCGCGGTCCTAGAGCAGCAGATGGAGATAGCTGAACAACTCCTGCAAGGCGGTCATGACGTAGCTGCGCGCGATGGCCATGGGTGAGAATGTCTGTCGGCATCACGGCTGCGACGCGCTGAGCTTTGAGTGCGCTCTCACCGAAAATTTTATCTTCGCTCTGCACGATAGCCGAGAAAGTATTCACTGCGCCGCTTTTGTTGGCCACGCTGGCTTGGTTCACCTCCTGGCCCGCTACGGAGCTGACCCGTGCACCACGGATTCGGACGGCATTGCTCCATTGCACTGGGCTGCCGCTGGTAACCAGCTGGAGACGGTACAAGTAGGTGCATGGCATGTGCTTGTCTTTTGCAATCATTGAAGCAACCCACAGTGTACATCGATCTGATTGCTTGCTCTTTCCTTTGCCCTGATCTTATATTCCAGGCACTTGTCGACAGCGGCGCTGACGTCAATCAACTGGAAGGCACGGAGACGGCCCGAGTGGCTCTGGACTATGCCCAATTAGGGGATGGTACCACACCCTTTACTGAGCTGGTGACTTACTTGCAGGCACAGGGCGCCCGTTCATCCGCTGAGGATTGGCAGTCACTTGACACGCATCTAGCTGCCACGCGCATTCAGGCGGCATGGCGCGGCCACCGTGTTCGCCGCAATCGACAAAGCTCGAGCAAGCCGTCCACCGCCAAAAAACGCAAGTCTGTGCGCTTCAGCCGCACAGAGAGCACCAGCTCGAGGAATCTTGAGACCCGGGCGCTGCGCCCTCGCGGAGCTGGGCCCACTCGCGCACCAAACGACAGCCGGCACAGCAGCGACAACACAACAGCAAGCAGCCCTCGAACCAGCTCAGGGTCGCGCTCGTCCAACTTGAGCCCTCGCAGCTCGGTTTCAGGATTCCAGCAAGAATCAGGCGGCGCTCGGCGCATTAGCGTACAGAGTCCCCGCGCCCGTTCACAAAGAGATAGCCAGCAATCTGGCCCCCTGTCTCCGACCTCCCTGCGCAGCGAGAGAAGTTCAGCTCAAGTTGAAGGGATCAAGGGTAAGACAGCTGCCTTGACGGAAGAAAATCTGGCCCATGAGCAGAGTCCGCCGGTTTGTTCGCCAGACAGTCCCACGAGACAGGTGACGAGCCCCGGTACGAAAGCCTCCCGCCGGAAGCGGCGGTCAAAGGCGGACGCAGCTCCCACTGCCTCACACTCAACCAGCGCCAATTTGTCAGAGGAGAAGGCTGAAGAAGCCTCGCCGCCCGCGCCAGAGAGTCACGAGGATGCTGAGGATCCTGCATCAGAGTCACTAGTCCCTGCCCCACCATCCATCGCGTCTCCTGAAGTGGACGAGGTTCAAAAGACCTTGGCCGCCCTGCGGGTTCGCCATCACCACATGCTGGCAGAGCGACGCCGGCGCGAGGCAGTTTACCAGCGCGTACGTGCTGCTGAGACAATTCAACGGTGCTGGCGCCGGTAAGTTTTGGTTTGAATCCTGACGGTACAAACATGTTCTTTTTGGCACCTCGGGCTGTTGAGAAGCTGCCTATTCATCCTTACGGTGGCTCGGATGTTTGGATCGGTGATTATCGCTAGGTATCGAGCCAACGTACGGCCCAGGAGAAACAATGCAGCGCGACTCAAACCGCCGAAACGTGTTGCTCACGTACCCTCGACAACATACACACGCAAGCACGAGCTGGCGGCCCTGACGATTCAGCTGGCCTGGCGCAAAGTACGTCCTGAATAGTGTGCCAATGTGCCGGATAAGCTGTGGGGCTGCAGCTCACGGAACGTGTGGACAATAGTACCAGCGACGGCGATTAGCACGCACCAACCTGCGGTCGAAGCGACGCTTCAATGCTTGGTCCCCCCGGTACGTTTGGCCTCGTTGCTCAGTCCATTTGTGTCTTCCCGGAGTTTTAATCTGGACGTGCATGGTTGCCTGCCATCTCGCCACGCCAGCACGTTGCGGCAACAGCAAGACACTCGCGTGAGCAAAATTTACACTCTAAAGCCGCGTGGCACCCGCTCGTATCGACCCAAGCCGCGAGGACCCGTGCGCCAGCATACAAGCCTGCCCCCCATCCAAACCCCTGTCGGTATGTTCTGGTGGTACCTCCCTGGGGTGCATAGAGCGATCCTTGTTCTGAGCTTTGAAAGTTTGTCGTTCCAATGACCTTTTTGCGTGGTTTCTCCACACACCCCTCGGCCCCTCTTTCGCTCCCAGTGCGAAGCATGAACTCGGCCATCAAGACGTATGTGCGTCAGCCGGCGCCACAGCGGCGGCGCCCCTCGTGGACTCCGGCATCAACCATGTCGTAAATAGACATGATCGCAAGAAGGACCCAAAGTAGTGCAATGAGGCGATTAAATTTTCAAATTCTGAGAGGATCACAGTGTGCCAACCATCTTGAGTTCTCGCCTTGCGCGCAGACAAGTGGTGTCGCAACATTGGGGAGGAAGGGTGTATCATGCCTTGGCTTCGTCTTCAGCACGCGTGCTTTGGTTTTAAAAGAAGAATATCATGATCACAATACACGAGTGATGTGAATTAAAGCCCAACAGAAGTATGACGCGAATCAACTCAAGTGCAGATGATATGGCGCACAGCTGAGCAAACTGAACACAATGTGCACAAGTCTGGCGAAAGTAGTCCTATGACTGGCTGGTGGCCACGACCCGAGTTGGCGCAGGGCGGCGCTTGCGCACGCGACCAGGCTTGCGCGTGCGCGGTGCCGTCCATGTGATGGCATGTTCATCGCAAAAGTCTTGCAGATCCTGTGCCTTGACGCGCAAACGGCTGGCCACACAGAGTGCCTGTAAGGCTGCAAGAGACACCGGTTGTAGAAGTAGCGCTTGCCGATGCAAGTCAGGGTCGTTGCGGATTGCCGTGGCCAAGATGGGACGCCAATCAACGGGCGGGTCTGACTGAAGCGGCTGGGCTTGGCTGGCCATTGAGTTTTCAGGACCCTCCATCGAATTTGGCTGGTGTGAGCACATGATGGGCATCCCCTCGGCTTTGTCACTGGATGAAGCAGACGACGGACAACGCGTGGCTGAAAGCTCGTGCTGGGCTCTCTCTAACCCGGGTTGGGCAAAGGTCATCTCGCTAGCTTGTTCTTTGTTACGCGCACCATTGCTATCTTCGCGCCTCTCAAGGGCATCATAGGCAGCAGGATCGTCATCGTCACTGTCAATCAAAACAAGCGTCGGTTCGCTCCTCAGCGTGGGTACGACACTCCTTTTTGGCGCCGTGGCGTTGGGTTGGAACGCGGGTTCAACTACCCCGCCTTTGTGCGGGGCATCGACCTCAACGCTGGCATTGGCACTACAAGTCCAGTACCAGTCGTGGGAGTGCCTTTGCTTGTCCGTATCCGAAGCAGGAGCCTGGGCGGCATCAATGACAGATCCTGCCAGAGCTATGCCTAAGCGTCCCGCTAAATCCCGCAGTTGTATCATATCCTCGTGTGGCCCTGACACGCGTCCGCAATACAGCAGGTTAAGAAAGAGCGTGCCAACTTGGCGTGTTAGACCACGCCCATCCAAAACGTGGGGTCGGCCTGCGTGACAGCAGTGCTGAAACACCTTTGCCTCCCAAGAGGGGACCTGAAGACGAAACACGAAGCGGTGTGCCAGGAGGGGCCCTTCGCGGCATAGTAGCTGAACGTCTGCCAAATCCAGACTTTGGGGATATGTCAAATGCAAGAGGCCCTTGTGTTTGAGCTCAAGCCGCTCCATGGGTGGCGGGACGCTGGGCACGATCGGGGCAGCTGGGCTGGTGGCACGAGCCGGCGAAGAGGGCAAGATGTATGGGGAATCAGGAGGGCTGTGCTGCGGGGGCGATCGAGCTGGACTCGTGAGCTGTTCGGCCGGCTCAATGCCACCATGTTCTTGAAACTCGGGCAAGGATGCAGATGGAGTCTCGTGCAAAGCACGCTTGCAGGGGGGACTGCAAAGTACTTGCGGCAGAGAGGCATCGTCTGATGAATCCGACTCCAGGCAGAGCACCGAGTCGTGTGCGCGTGGTGGCGAGTCGGAGGGCAATGGTGACGGCTGGGTGCTCGGGTTTCGACTTGGCAAGGATGCCTCCGCTCGCGTGTCGGGCTCTGATCGCAGGGGCTCAATGCTCCAGGTGGTGAGATGGCCCTGTGATGCCGAGTAGTCGCGCTGTTCGTCGCTATGAAAACATTCTTGAAAGATGCCCGTTGAATAAGCCTTGGAAGCCAGCGGTGCACCTTGTCGCGCCAAGAGCCAAAGTCGAACGCTGTCTCCAGCATGTGCTCTTCGGGAAGGCCATGCACGACAAACGCTGGGCAGGGGCGAGACGGCATCTGCCGCATTGGCACAAAGCTTGAGAGCAGAGAAAATTCCCCAGTCGCAACCCAAGCACAAGTGGTGTGAGTTGATGCAAGGTTGTGACCCACGCCATTACAACTGTGGCCAAAGATGAGGAGAGAGGACACGGCCTTACCTGATCCAAACGCGGGGCTATGAGCGGGTGCACTTCTTCCGCCCCGGCCACGAGCTGACACGCATCTCGGGCAGCTTGCAGGCGGTCTTTTTTAGTAATCCGGTGTTTCTTCGGTTCGGCTTTGACGTCGGCTGAGGATGTGGTAGTCGGTGCGCTGACTAGGCCAAGACCGGTGGGGGAGCACTGTAACACTGCTTGCCGTGGGCGTGTTCGACTGCGGCTCGCCAGGCTTTTTGGATTTGACCTGCTTGTACGACGAATGAGAGCAAAGATGCGCAGTGAGCACGCAGTGTATGCTTGGTCGAGCGGCCCAAGGCCCGTTGCACAAAAGTGTGGTCTACAGTTGGCAAGGGACTGACCCTCTGAAGTCACCGTCGTTTGATGAGGGCGGTGATTGCAGGAGCGCGGCCGCTTTGGGATGCTCTTTGACGGCCTTCATCATGCGAGCCACGTCAATTTCGTGCCGGCGCGCACATCGCTTGAGATGTTGAATGCTGTGCACGTTATGAGTATTCAGGTGAGAAGCTGGTCGAATATAAGGCCTTTGTACGGGGAGGCATCATGATGACACGAGGGCGCTTCGTTTGCAGCTCGAGGTTACACTGCATGCACCGCCACGCACCGTGCAGGACGCTGACGCCCGCCCAGATCGCGCCCACAGAGTGGACAACAGGCCCCGTTGAAGTTGAGAATTTCTGGAGAGCAAGGTGAATGTGCAGCAAACGTGGGTGACGAGATACTGTGTTCCGTGGCGCTGGCGCCATCAGCGGGCCGGCGGGCTTGGTCAGCTCGCGGTCGATGCAGCGATGGTGAAGGGTCGAGGCGCGGAGTACCAATGGCTGTGGAGGTAGATTGAGAGGGCAGAGGTGTGGGGACTGCAAGACCACTGGTCGAGGGCGATTCGGTCGGTTGGCTGGTAGACAGACTGGTGTTCTTTTCATGGCTTGAACGGGAAACAAGCCGAGGCCGCGGTGCGACTGGCAGGCCGAAGGTGTACGGCGAGATGCTGCCTCGTGGTGATGAGCTTGAGCGTCGCTCGCTATGGGTGCGCAACATCTTGCGACGCTGCTGCAGACTGAGTTGAGTGCCCGAGCTTAAGTTGGGAAATGATTGCCGCAGGGCCAGACCTGGTCGCCCCTGGCCGCTCGGGCTTGGGGTGATGGGTGTGTCGCTCATCGTCGACCAAAGTTGCGTACACGCACCGTCATCCCATCCCTGCCGCCACACGACATACACACCCACACCCACCAAAGTTCCAAGCCCTGTGAATCACCACCTGCTACAACTCTATCCAACCAGTCCCGAACCCCCAAGAGTCCAAGCGCGCAGAGCAGCAGCACAGCGATGTACCACCGCCGTCGTGATCGAGAAATGTGTGTGTGTGTGTGTGTGTGACAGTTACAAAAAAAGAATTCAAATGCTTTGCTTGTTTTTTTCTCTGATTTTCTCTGATTTTCTCGGGGTTTTCTCTTTTTTTTTCCTCTCCCTCTCTCTCTCTCCTTTTCTTTTTCTTCGCTTGTTGCTCTCATAGGGAGGGACGGATGTGGGGCATGATATGCTGGCTGGGCCGGTGAAGGTGTGCGCCGACAGGTCTACTTTTGACCATCTTGACAACAAAGGCCAATGTTCACATTGTCAGTTGGTCAAGCGGCGGCGGTTGAATCCATTTCAATTTCAATTGCAAACTCTGTTTCATTGACATTTTAGCAGCTTGCCTTGGCTCCATCGCGGATGGCAGAGGTTGACGCAGGCGAGCGTGCTCGCCAGCTCAAGTATTCGAGCTGGGACGCGCGCTTGTTGCGGGCTGGCCGGGAATTCGGTCAAGATTAACCAGATGCCGCATTGTAGGCCGACCATGGGGGCAATTCCAAGGGTGTTCTAGCTGGCTCATGTGTTGTACCACCTCCGCCATCTCGGCTACCTTGAGTGCCTGCTCAGCGCCCGCCACAAACAACCGCGGGTAAGTACGCCGCGAACCGAGAGGCGGCCCGAGCAGGCTCACGGCCTTGTTACTCGCCCGGTAGCGCCCACCACGAGGTGTTGCATTGACCCACCTTGCCCACCATGATAGAGGAGCGACAGGCGCGCGAGGCCAGCATGGCACGAAGGCGCGAGGGCTGCACAAAAACGCCCGGGCGCTCGAGCAGTAACGCCAACATCTCTTCAATGTCTTCCTGGCCTGTGCACCCGCGCATGCGTAACCCAGCAAAGAGATCAGATGTCAGACGCGCACGGCCGATGGCTACGGCGTTTGGTGTACCACCGCAATTCAAGAGCCTCCCAAGCAGCAGAGGCGGAGTCACGCACCAAACTCCACATGCTTGCTATGAGGAATGGCCGTGAGCTTGACCTTTTTCGTCGGTGGGGCTCCCTCGTCCACGACAAACTCAAACCCATTCTGCTTGAAGATCTCCTCGTGGTCAATAAGCGTCATTTCTTGCACTGCAGGTAGCCGCAGGGCTTTGCCTTGAATCAAGCGCTGTCCAAACACCCACGATCAGTGAGAACACTTTGGCGCCAAGCCACAGCCCATGCACAGGAGGCGCACTGCTGGCTTCCCAGCACTAACCTGCTGCTGAATCTTGGTGCTCTTGGATAGCCGTTCAAAATTGTATTTCTCATCTGTCGCATGCTGAGAAGCGGAGGGCACCCAAGGAAACTTATCAAGTTCGGTCCTCCTCAATCAGAACACGAGGCACACTTGCGTTGAATCAAGGACAGACGTACCTGATCAATGATGAAAAGGTCACGGCCCAGCCGGGCAATGATAAAGCCCAGGTTAAACTGTCCAATGATGCGCATACGCAAAAAATCCTCTTTGCTGATCTGCCGTGCTAGTTCGGCCTCAGCCGCATTGTTTGCATTCCTGAACCAGCAGAACGAGGCATCTCAGCTCATCCAAGGCAACTCCAGTGCTTCACAGCCAAGAAAACTGGGGTGGAGGGCAATCATTCTTTTTTTTTTTTTTTTTTTTTTTCACGCTTGTCTTGACTTTATTTTTTCTTATGAACATCTTCCATCACATATTACTGACCGATCAATGCGGGCATGGAAAGCTCGCGAGGCCTCTTGACTCGCCTGAGAGGGCGCCTCTCTGCGCGCGTGGATGCACAACAGATGAGTCTCGGCGAGCACACAATTGTGATGGGTAAGCAAGCCGCTTAGCAAGCAAAGATCACAGCAACGCCAACATCAATAAGGGGCTGAGCAGGGGTGCATTGAAAGCGCACTTGGAAGAGGCGGATGAAGCACTTTGCGATGACAGAGGTTGGGCCAGGCACACGCGCCGGGCAGGGGGTCGAGGGCATGTCGCAAGAGCCGCAACGGCGTCCAGAGAGGTCACTTCCTGGCTGGCATCCGTCAAGACGAGCGGCAAATCTCCATAGCCCGTTTCTTGCACCGGCGCGGGCTCTTCCAAGCGCGCCAGTAGGGGATCGGGCAGAGGCGCAGCCTGCTCCACAGTTAAAGCAGCCGGAAGCGACACGCCACGGTGTCGCGACATGTAATGCGCTCGCAACAGGGCGGCAGAGCCCAAGGGCTTGGCAAATTTGCGGCAATTTTCAACCTCGCAGCAAAAGACAGCGGGACTCAGCTCGTTGGCGGACACAGGTCCGGTTGACGGAGATCGACCAAGCTCGTGGCCCGATCCATGACAACAACCACCATTGTGCTCGGGTGAGGCATGTACAATGGCGTGGTCTACAGTCGGCGTCTCATGGTCGAGTATATCCTTGGGCGAAACTGTGCTCAACGCCGCATCTGCCAGGCCATTTGCTGTGCCAGGCGGGGTCGCTTGCACGGCTTCATCGGCCTGCTCTTCCTCGTCCGACTCATCCATCAGGGATGCGTCGTTTTCTTCTACTTCGCCACTACCGCCAGGGGCAGCTGCCACAGGACGATGCAAAAACTGGTCTAGACTTGCGGTGGCACGTCGCTCTGCCGCTGAGCGTTTGCTACATAAGCAGAAAAGGGTTGGGTAGGTCAGAGGAAGGACCAATCATTATCGACAAGGACCATGCGGAGACCGACCTGCGGGCAGAGCTCGACGTCTTGGCGGTTGCAGATGGCGGTACGTCGGGCAAGAATGCTAAAGTCAATGACCGGGTCGCGAGGCCAGTTGTGGCCGTGCAGCAAGAACATGATGCCAATGTTCAATCAATCCAACGAACGTGTGAGCGTGCGCTCCCCGCTCTTGATGTTCAAGTTCAAATGCAACAGATAACACTGGCCAAGTGAACAAGTAACACACATACCTAGTTGCTCGTTCAAACCGTAGTGGCCTGCAAAGGGCTCAAAGACGGTCAGCATGTGTGCTCGTATGGCATCGCTCAGCTGATTCTCACGCTGCACTAAGATCTGCACGTGCTCATGGCCAAAGCAAAAGCGCAGACCATGAGCTCTGGCCGGGCGTGTGTCGGTTCTCACCGGATCAGCAGCCGTACAGCGCCAAAGGGCGCGGGCCGCATACCGTGCGTTTGTCAGGCGTGACGTTGACATCAACCGATTGTGTGGGCATCTGCGGTGGCGAAAAAAGCTCGTCAAAAATGCCAAAGACTTTGGCTGCAGCATGCAGCTGGGGCGGAGTGCACAACAGGCTCGTACCGTGATATCCAGCACCAGGAATGGGTATTGCGCTTTGTTCAGAGTATGAAAGGCGTCATTCACGGCACGCGCCACCTATTGTCCAGTCATGGGTGGCAAGGGTCAGCTGGTGTGTCGTTGTGAAGCTGGCGCGAAAACAAGTGCGTGTTACAACCTTGGTCAGATTGCAAGGACGCTTGTTAATGGAAATGAACTGGCGGTCGCTGGCCGACTTGCCACAGCCTGGCAAAGGCTTGGACACAAATCCTTTGATGCTCCACTCCGTTTCAGCCACGTCAGCGGTAAAGGGCACAAGCGCATCAAGCTGGAAAGGCGATGCCCCACGTCCATGCACCCAATCGAGAATACCAACGTGAGTTGACGCTCGGCCGGCCATTGATCACGAGTCAGGTGTGCGCGCAAAAAGTGACGGGGGCAGCGGTAACAGGTAACCTCATGGCCATGAATGCGATGAATCAAGGGTAGCGTAGCCACGGATGGGAAGGCATGCACGAGCTCACCTGTTTCTTTCCGAAAATGTGGCGGAGAACCGCCTCGAGCGTGCTGTCGCCGTTGGTGCGGACGAGATCGGATTGGCGGTTTGAACCAGCGTTTGGGATGTGGGTGAGCCGAAAGGCAATGTCAGGTCGAACCATGCAATATGCTTGCAGCATTTGTACCAGCTTGGCGAATTCCTGGTGGTTGCAAACAGCCATTAGTCACGCTGCCCACCAACGATTGCATGGCTGAGATGCCCGGCAACCCACCCGCTTGCAGTTTTTGTGAAACTCTTGTTGACGGACAGGCAGGGTCTGAAAGAGGTTTTTGATGCTGACGGTGGTACCCCGCTGTCACGCACGCAGACGTTTGGCAGGTCAGAGAGGCAAGCGCCCACCAAGTGACTCTGGCCAGTTAGACCCAAGTGCTAACATTACCTACCTCGCGCGCCACTCGCTCCTGACTGACGAGCACCCCATCACTGTTGTACACAAGGGCGTGCCCCCAACCTTCGTCGTTGTCACTTGTCACCACAGACAGTTCGCTGCACCACGCCCCAAGTCCAGAGTTGAGGCAAGCGTTCAAGGCTGCTGGAGTTGCGAGCGAGCGCCCATCGCGGCGGAGGGTGTACAGGGAAGCACCTCTGACCTGATGGCGCAGAGGGAGCTGAGAGCTTCGCCACGAAAGCCAAAAGTCATGACAGACTCGAGATCATCGAAATCCTGCAGTTTTGACGTGTAGTGTTTTAAAGCTGAGGCCACGGAGCGAGCCACCACATCGGTCGGTTGTGAGTAAATTTGTTCCCATGGCAGATGCAAGGTCTGGGCACGGGGGGCGCACACGCACCAATTTTTTCGAAATTCTCTTGATGGACACCACTGCCATTATCCGTCACCTCGATGAGGGTTTTGCCATACTCGCGAATCTTGATGTCTGTTTCGTCAAAGCGCAGCCAGCGCAGCGCAAGGAATGAGCACAACAAACGGCGGGACCGTCCTCGCCTTGGAGCGGGTCAAAAGTCAATCGAGGGCCGAACCAATCTTTGTCGCGTGGGCATCAGCGGCATTCTCCAACAGCTCCTTAACGGCGATGGCCAGGGATAAGACGACCTGCCCCGAGCAGATGCGGTGAACGCTGCCCGCATCCAGCGCGCGCACCGACGCCGCCATTGTTGTAACGGTCACTAAAGCGAAAAAGACAGCACACGTATTTGGGCGCGTTCAACATCCCAGGAGACTTTTTTTTTATTTCCGAGGCATAACACTCAAATAAATGACCTCGGAAATTGATGATTTTATTTCCCAGGTGGCCTCGTGGACGGCGCTGGGCAATTTTTGTCGTTGACGATCGTTTCGCGCATCGCCGCCGTCATGAAGCAAAACATGCTCAAGAGCAAGGTCGGCAAGGCCGGCAAGGCCGGCAAGAACGGGGGGTCAGCTGTATCACCTCGCGTGCACCAAAAGAAGCGGCCTGATGTGGAGAAGGAAGAAGAGGAAGAGGAGCTGGAAGAGGAGGTCCTCGTGACCGACCAGGCCACGGACGTTCAAGATGACGAGCACAGCTCATCTGAACAGGCCGATGGGGCCAGCGATGACGATGCCGATGAAAATGCAACCTTTGCCGACCTGGTGCGTGTGTCGCGCTAGTGGATCGTTGGGCGGGAGAGGGTCAATGTCGGGAGGCAGCAGCCATCTGTCAAGTTTCCGTTTGTCTGATTTTAAACATGCCCCATCGCTGTGTCTTCAGGGGTTGGCCGAGGTCCTCTGCGAGGCCTGTGCCACGCTCAAGTTTACAAAGCCCACCGAAATTCAGCGTCGCAGCATTCCTCTCGCCTTGCAAGGTATGGGCACAATGCCAGACATTGTGCGCCTTGCTCAAAGCAAGCCTGTATCCATCTCACTTGTTGGTGTCTTGTAAAACCAGGCAAGGATGTGATTGGTCTAGCCGAGACGGGTTCGGGCAAAACAGCCGCCTTTGCGCTGCCTGTATTGCATGACCTGCTGGCCACCAAGGGCAAGAAGGAATTTTTTGCACTCGTTCTGGCACCCACTCGGTTGGTCATTTGGTCGCTATCATCTGTGCTGTACTTGTACTTGATGCACCATATGTGCGTGCGTGTGTGCGTGCGTGCGTGTGATTGTTTTGTGTTTGAGCCACATCTTATGCTGTGAATGATCGTGCGCAGTGAACTGGCCTTTCAAATCCGTCAAACGTTCAATGCGTTGGGCTCACCGATCGGCCTCAAGTCGGCAGTTCTTGTGGGTGGCATTGACATGACCACCCAAGCCATTGCGCTTGCCAAGAAGCCACACGTGTTGATTGGTGCGTTTGCTAGAAACCAGCTTCGTGCCACCAGTTCATTTCTACTCTTATCTGCAAGGACCGCTTCCCATGTGCTGACCCCCGACCGCCCTCTTCTCCGCTGCTTTGCTTTCAGCCACGCCCGGGCGCCTCGTCGATCACTTGGAAAACACCAAGGGGTTTCATCTCAAGGCTCTGCGATACTTGGTGCGTCTGATTATGTGTGTGTGTGTGTGTGTGTGTGTGTGTGTGTGTGTGTGTGTGCTTTTGAATTTGCGCATCTGGTACAATCAGTGTGGGCACGATGTGGGGGCGCTTTGAACCACAGCGATGATACAATCATACCAGAGGCTCGACCGCTTAACAGCTGTGGGAGCTCAAAATAGTTTCAGCCTTGTCTGAGTGGTTCAGCCCCCCCTTTATCATTGCCCTCGAGCAAATGCAATATGCGCCTATGGCTGTAGTCTCCTTGCTTTGGCGGTGTTGCCAGTGTTGAACCCAGCTTGGTTGATGGCTTCTGATGCTCGTCCTTTGGGACCGTGTGTGTCTGCGTCTGTTTCTGTACGTGTCATGGTGTGTGCAGATTATGGATGAGGCCGATCGCATGCTGAACATGGATTACGAAAAGGAGCTGGACAAGATCTTGGCCGTGATTCCGCGCGAGCGTCGCACATTCCTGTTTTCGGCTACCATGACCAGCAAGGTCGGCAAGCTGCAGCGTGCATCGCTTCGCGATCCCGTCAAGGTTGAGGTCAACTCCAAGTACAAAACCGTCGACACGCTCATCCAGCGCTACATGTTTGTGCCTCAAAAGTTCAAGGTTCGTTCGCGTGTTGCATCGAGTATACGTACACCTTGCCATGTGAATAACCACTCATTTGTGGTGGGGCATGTTTTGAACACGACAACATGAAATAGGACTGCTACCTCATCTACCTGATGAATCAGCTGCGAGGCAACTCCTTTATCATCTTCTGCTCAACATGCAACAACGTCATGAAGGCTACTCTGGTGCTTCGTGACCTCGGCTTTGATGCAGTGTGCCTGCATGGTCAGATGAGCCAGGTACGGTCACGTGTGTTCACGCGTGCAGACTTTGGGATGGAGTTTGCCACCGTGGACAACACCTTTGTCTGAATCGTATCAAACATCGTTGATGGGCCTCACTGGTATTTTGTGTGTGGTGTGTTTGCGATGTTTTTGCACAGCCCAAGCGTTTGGGAGCCTTGGCCAAGTTCACCTCGCAGTCACACACAATCTTGGTGGCCACGGACGTGGCCAGCCGTGGTTTGGACATTCCCCACGTCGATGTCGTGGTCAACTACGACATTCCGACGCATTCAAAGGACTACATCCATCGCGTGGGCCGCACTGCGCGTGCCGGTCGCTCCGGCCATGCCATTACCATTGCCACGCAGTATGATGTGGAGCTTTTCCAACGCATCGAGGCGCTGATTGGAAAGAAGATGGAAGAGTACCCGACCGAGTCGTCTCAAGTGCTTCAGCTTTTGGAGCGCGTGTCTGATGCCCAGCGCAACGCCATCAACGAAATGAAGGAGCTCAACGACAACAAGCGGGGTGCTCGCGTAAGTTGTGTGCCGCAGTTGGCGTCTGCTTGGACTGACGCGGTGATTTTGGCTGTGTTATGCTCGTGGAGGTGGCTCGACCAGCTCACCGCAGCCACTCCTTGCCTCTCTTGCGCATCTTCTAGGGCGGCGGCGGCGGCAGTGGTGGTGCCCGGGGCAAGAAGCCCAAGCGCTCCTCTGCGCACTAAATACTTGCTAGCGCCCCTTTCTTGGCGCAACTTTTGTTTTGGGAGCCACGCACGACACATTATCGCAAGCCCAGCGTGCGCCGTCTCGCCAGGCGTATCATCACGTGCTGTCTGCTGAGCAGAACAAGCATGGCCGGTTGAATTGCGGAATGGTGATGGTGTTGGCAATTGTTCCTTGTTGTTCAGAGTACCAATCGATTCACGTGTCATGTTGTCACGTCTTGGCGAGTTTGCCGCTCGTATTTGCCCACCCACGCTGCGGGCCTTTGGGTATGACCGAGCTCACATTCATGAAAAGTCGTTTGTGCGCACGGCGTACAAGTATTTTTTTGTGATCCCAAGTATGAGTCTTTATCGTTTTCAGGGATGCGCGAGGGCGGGGATGTTGTCTGGACAGTGGAAAGGAAAAGCCACACGGGTTTGGCATTAAGATGCTCAATTATGTATTTTGTCTGACGGGTGACACTCAAACATGTACGCACACACACACACACACACACACGAGGAGAGACTATCAAGGGTTGTTTTTTGAGGAGAAGAGGTGTGAGAGAGGCCTCAGGGCGCTTCACACCCCCCACCATGGGCTGGTATAAACACAAGCCAGCTCAGCTGGCAGCAGCAGAAAAAACTAGCCTCTGATCGAAAGGGGTCGGGATTGTCGGAAACAGATATGCAGTGAACAACGCACGAGGCCTTGGGCCTTGCACAACAAAGATGGAGAAGAACAGAACTCGGCTCTGCATTGCGGGGGAAGGGGGTGATGATGGTCCATCCTCATGCTGTTAAAGGTCAGAGGTGGTGAGGTGGGAGACCCAATTGCGACGGCGCTGCATTTGGGGGGAGCCACTGGTAGAGGAAGAGGCAGAGGAGGAGGTGGAGTTGCGGTGGCGCTCTTCCTCAAAGAGGGCCTTGGTGCTGACGGCCCAATCGACGTCAAGGTGGCGAGAGGCGGCGGGTTGTTGAACCTCAATCATGCGCACATGGGTGTTGACGTGCGCGATTGTACGGTGGGTCTCGCAGGATCGTTGGGACTGCAATGAAGCGTTGGAAGAGCGACCACTGGACAGGGCCTTGGCACATTTGCGGCTGCGTCGTTGGCTGCTACCACGACTGCTGCTGGTGCTGTCCGAGCCCGATTTGCTGCGCTTGGACGTCCGGTGCGCGTCATCGTGCTTGTGGTGATGCCAGTTGAACAGACCCATGGTGATGATGGCGCGATGACAACGGCGACAAGGACAAGGAAAGGATTATCCGAGAGAGATCGAGAGAGCGTGTGTGGTTGTGGCGGCTGGTGGTGGCGAGCTAGAGGAGCAATGATCGGGGAAGAAGGCTGGTCAAGGCTGGTCGAGGGAGGCTGGCTGGCTGGCTGGCTGGTTGGTATGACGGTGGTCACTGATGTATCGAGGTCGATGCAGTAAAATGCCAGACCCAGCCAGGCATCATTCCACAAATCCCTCTCTCTCATCTCTCATCGCTCATCGCTCATCTCTCATCTCAGGGCGCACATGCATTTCAGGACGTGACGTGACGTGACGAAGTGCCATCCGGACCCTGAGCTACATGTACATGCACGTGGCACGTGTTGAACCAGCGGCGGCGGTGGTGGTGGTGGTGGTGGTGTGCACACTTTTTGGGGTGAAAGAGTCTGTCAACCGATGCGGCTAACTATACAAGCAAGCTACAAGCAACAAGGAGGTGGAGTGCAGTACAAGCGGCAACGACGGTGCGGGGACGGGGGCGGCAGCTGTGGGGAGCTGGTCAGATCATCCTGTGCCCGTTCAGCGTCATGTGGGCAGGTGTGGTGGGTGATGCTGGTGGGTGTGGTGGAGTGAAGTGGAATGCTGTTGGAATGGTGTGTGGGGGTGTGGTACTAATGTGTTATCGGTGTGGCCGTTGGGGGTGGGAGCGTGCCAATGCATGCACACATGGACACTGACGTCATCATCTCATGTCATACAAAATTCCCTAAAAAACTTAAGTCTACACACGTACACACTGAAAGAGAGAGAGAGGGTACATTTGCACGTGTGTAAGTGCGCAAGGGACAGTGTGTACGGATGTGCGCGTTATGATGGGAGTCCTTCCTGGTTTCTGACATTGGACGGGGCTGCCTGCTGGCTCGTGTCTTGGGTTGGGTTGAGGGCTGGTGTGCTGGGTGAGGGTACACCCTGTGGCTGCATGCACCTGCGAATACAAGGTCGGGTTCGAACCAAGACCAGCCTCTTCCACACGTGCCCCGGTGCCTGACCCCGTGTCCCAAATGACAGCTGTCCTGCAGCCTGCCCGACAGTAACACCCCCCTTCTAACATCCACCATAAACATCTGACAATGACTTTGTCAGACAAAGTGAGGGCATATCGTCAAAAGCAGTTTTTTGTGGAGGGCGGTGTGTGTGTGTTCGACGGCGACGGCGATGGCTGCGGATGGCAGAGGCGATCGACAGGCGCGGGCCGTCACGGTGCAGGGGGAGACTTGGACCTATCCGCAGATTACAGAGGAAACAGGTGAGAGGAGAGCAACGTTTGATTGAATGGCCGTGGCGGGGGTTTGTTGCGTTGCTGCCACTGCTAATAATTTTGCTGTGATCTTCATACTTTAGTCTACCTCGACAACGCCGGTTCAGCCGTGCCCTGCCAGGAGCTGTTATCAGCAGCCCACAAGCATCTGGCCACCAACCTGCTGATCAACAGCCATACCACGGCAGCAATATCGGATGCTCCCAAAGTTTCGCCGTCCCTCGACACCCAGCTGCGCACCGCCATTCTCACGTAGGCTCAAGGCTGGCCTGGTCGCGGCCTCGCTCACAGCCCAGCTCAAGCTGTTCAAGCTGGCGTATCCCAAAGGCCGGACCACTCAATCTCACCCCTGCATACACGCGCACACTCATGCTGTTGCCCGCGCCCTCTCGTCCTGCTGGTTTCTTTCTTGTCTGTGCCAGCCTTCTCAATGTGAGCGCCGCTAGCCACACGGTCGTGATCACGGCATCTGCCACGGCCGCGCTGCAAATCGTGGCCGAATGCTATGCTCCGGGTGATGCGACGGGCTCTGGCATGTTCATGCCTGTCACATGGAATCACACCTCCGTCCTGGGCATGCGCGGACCCCTTGCTCAGCGTGGCCTAACCTTTCAGCCCGTCGCCCCCGACCAACTCGAGTATCTGGAGGCCACGACAACGGCACTCGCTGACGAGGCATCCTCTCCAGCGAGCCTCTTTGCTTTACCCGCACAATGCAATTTCAGTGGTCGCCTTTTTGACCTCGATCTCCTCCAGGTTGGTCCATCGTTTGACCAAGGAATTTGCGCACATGCGACCGCACCCCTCAACTGCATCCACCCGTCGCCTTTTTTGCTTCCTTGTTTTCACCCAGGCCGCACGCGAGGGCCGCCTGACCCACGCCCCCGGCACCCGATTCCATGTCCGTACTGCAAATCCCTCCCCGGCGCTTTTATCAAATGAATGTCCGCAGCTGGCCAGCTCGTCACTCGGGCAAGCCGCCTCATATGCAACACATCCTCCGCTGGTCCCGCTCTTGCCAGACCCTCTTGGATGCCTCAGCCCTGCTGGCCACCGGAACCCTGGACTTGGCCGCTTGCTGTGCCGACTTTACCGTCTTTTCTTGCTACAAGCTCTTTGGCTACCCATCCGGCCTGGGTGCCCTTGTGGTCCGCAATGAGAGGTGGTGTCCCGCCCACGCCGCCTGCCCTCTTTCGCCTCACTTGCAGGGTGGGGGTACCCCGTGCCATTTCTTGCAAAACCCAGCTTGTTCCGTGTGCAAATCGTATCTGGGCTCATGTGCATGGATGCGACTGTTGCCAACGTGTTTAGCATGTCGGTGCTGGCCAACCCAGCCTACTTTGGAGGCGGAGGCATCGCGGTACGACCTTGACGGTGCCCGCGCTCTTCACAAAAGTATGGCACAGGTCTCAGCCCTCGCACATGATAGGTCTACGATTCTCGTGTCCCTCTGCAACGTCCACACAAGACCACCGACCCCCGTCGCTTTGAGCATGGCAGTCTACCACATACTGCTCTGGCAGGAGCGCTGGTGCGTGCGCATCCTCGACGCAGCCCACGCTCGCACGCGTCTTTCTAACCAATCAGGAACATTGAACATCGTAGGAAGGCTTTCGGCTCTGGCGGTCAGCCGCCATGACGGCACGTCGAGCAGAGGTCCGGAGATTGGCTGCCGAGCTGCGAACAGCTTTGCAAGACCTGCACCACGACAATGGACGTCCGCTGTGCCGCATTCACGCGGCTGGTGAGCCAACGGTAGGCGCGAAATCCCCGGCCAGGCCCGATCCACGCTCTTGTTGTTACTGCGCGGGCAGACCTAACGAACCGCCAAAGCCAATGCAAACGAGCCTTTCTTGACCCGGTTCTTCCATCTGTGGTGATAGGGTCCAGTAGTTACGTTCAACATGGATTGGGCCGACGGCAGCCCCGTCTCTGTGACCGCAGCAGCCCAGGAATGCCGCGCTGCCGGTATCATTATGCGAAGCGGTCAGTGTGGCACACGCCGGGGGGTTCATTATTGGGGTGCGGGCCGTGACGGGGTGCATTGGGATGGATTGCCCGCCTCACGTTTGCATTATTCGGTTATAAACCGCCACAGGCTGCATGTGCAATGCGGGTGCCTGTCACGATGTGGCAGGCAACGATCCAGCGATGGTACAAAGCCTCATCGATGCTGGCTATCGATGCGGCAGCCACGATGACGTCGTGGTTCGTCCTTTCGTGGCGTGCCATGCTGACACGTGCAGCTGATCAGGCTCATGGCAGTTCTTGTGCTTAGGATGGGCGTTGCATCGGGGCACTGCGGGCCAGCTTTGGCTTCCACTCCAACGAAAACGTGCGTTCCGCAACACAAGTTCCATCAACCTCTGCGTCATTGGGTGTTTCCACTTTCATCTTGCTGTTGTCGCTCAACAAGCCCGGCTTGTCGTTCTTTGACGTAGGATGTCGAGCGTCTCGTGGCGCATCTGGACGACTATTACGTGCGGGGTCGTCGTTATCAAACGTCTCTTCCCCATGAGGCGGCCCAGGCTGCTCAAGTGCGCGTGGCGCAGCTGCTGATCTACCCCGTTAAATCCTGTGCAGCCATGCGTGTCACAACTCTAACGCTGGGACCGGATGGCTTGGAGGGGGACCGTCTATTTATGGTGGTGGATGGGAATGGCCGCGCCCTCACCCAAAAAAAGTACCCACAGCTGGCCACCGTGGAGCCTGTGTGGTCTGCGTCCGAGCAGCAGCTCATCATACGGACCCATGCAGGAGCCAACACCATTACGATTGACGTTGCTACCCTTATGCCCGAGGCTGGGGAGGAGCGTCGCGCCGTTCGGTTGTGTAGTGACAGCGTTACCGCCTTGGACTGTGGGGACGCGGCCGCTCGGTTTTTCGTGGCCGTCACTGGACGTGCGGATGCGCGTCTCGTGTATGCCGACCGCGCACAAGCGCGGACGTGTCGTGGTGTGCCCGGGCAATCACCGCGCCGTCAGCTGGCCAATGAGGCCCAGCTCCTGGTTGTTAGCGCCGCTAGCCATGCCATGTTTCGTGACACCTGGCACCGTGCACCCGTTGAGGTTGACGTTTTCCGGCCCAACGTTATTGTTGATGGCCCGGGCCTGCCAGCCTTTGCGGAAGACCACTGGCGTGCCTTGACCGGCTCGAATGTGCGCCTTGAAGTCTTAAAGTCGTGCGAGCGCTGCTCAATGGTCTGCGTGCACCAGGCGACGGGGCGCGTCGATCCCGCTGTCTTGTCCAGTCTCATCAAGTGTCGCTCGATCGCGGTGAGTGAGGCTTGTCCATATCCGTGTTTGCGGTTGTGAATTGCCTTAGGCTTTGGCCACCTGGTCTTGTTGCAGTTGCCCCGTTCGCCCGCTCATCATAGGGGGCGACTCAACTTTTCACTTGTAGGGACGGACCTATTTTGGCCTATTGTGCGACGCTGCGCAATCTGAGCCTGGACAAGAAGGACTGCTGCAGGTTGGGGATCAACTGTCAGTGGCGCTCCGCACGACCACAACAGCCACTTCCGCCTAAACTTGGTTCTTCTGTCAAACCAAGGCGACAAGAGGCACAGTGCCGCTGCCGGCCGATCAGTCGTACCCCTTCCTTGACCAATCCCTCCGCTTCCACCCCACTCGATCAGTTTTCGACGCCGACACCTACGCCAGAGCGTCTTCTGGACCACATGCCAGTCGTTAGGGTTTGTTTATTATCGAAATTCAAGTTCAACCCTCGGATTTTATGATGATAGAAAGAGAGAGAGAGAGAGAGAGAGAGAGAGAGAGAGAGAGAGAGAGAGAGAGAGAGAGAGAGAGAGAGAGAGAGAGAGAGAGAGAGAGAGAGAGAGAGAGAGAGAGAGAGAGAGAGAGAGAGAGAGAGAGAGAGAGAGAGAGAGAGAGAGAGAGAGAGAGAGAGAGAGAGAGAGATGATTGAATTGGTTTGGTCGGTCAAAGACACAAAGGAAAAGCACAACTACCACAGAGAGAGAGAGAGAAGAGAGAGAGCTAGAGAGAGATTTTGAGAGAGATTTAGAGTTTTGAGAGAGAGAGAGAGAGATTGAGAGAGAGATGCTGCTAGCCGTTGGAAGCCCGGGGGGGCGTACACGCGTGTGTGTGCGGTGATCTAGCCAAGGAGACGACGGGCATTAGCAGTGGGAGGATGGCCGTGGTAGTGGACGGCCCTAGCCGTAGGGCTGCTCCCTGGGAGGCGGATCCGCACCGGCTGATCTTTCAAGAGTGGGTTTTGGATCCACGCCTGCTGACAGCTTCTCCTGTGGCTGCAGGGCCAGCTCACGGCCATGCTGCTTGCTGCTGTCACTCGCTACCGATAGTTCCCATGATCAACAGTGGCACTGGTTACCAGCGCCAAGCCAATGGCCTGCTGTATGCGAGGAAGTGCGTGAAAGCAGAGCATGCTCAGTCTCTGCCTGCGCCTTGCCTCTGCATCGCCCTCAGCGGGCAGCTCGAGCGATACTTGCATGTCACGCTTGCCTTGCCGACTCGCAGGAGGGCATCGAATACGGATTTGAAGAGGCTGCCACAAAGAGCCAGTCGATCCTCTATTACCTTGAGTCAGTGCCATGCTTTCCTGAAAAGGCGTTCATCTCCCGTGCACCGCCCGTCCAATGGCGCCTCACTCATCCCAACCCCGTTGGCACCGTCGTTGCTGCTGGCTCGGATAAACGTTTGCCCCGTTCTTAGTCATGTACGGGGTCGCGTGACGCTTGATCCGGTGCGGGGTCGCTCCACCCCGGGATCTCGTCGTCAGCGCCAGTACAGTGCCGCGCAACGACCCGAAATTGCCGACATTGCCGCCCACCGCACCGTGCGCCTTCTCCCACAATCGAGTACTGCTTGCCCAACTCCCGCCCACAAGGTGCGGCTGTCTTCGACGTCATTGTCATCCTTGAACCTGGGCTTTCCTTCCTCAACCTCGTTTTTGGTGGCAGCCGAATGTGAGCTCATGTGTTGTTTGCTACATTGCAGCGACCCCCGGCCGAAGGCATCCCTGCAAACCAGCTGGAGCTTTGGTGGAACTTTGGATTCATCATCCAAGGCCGAGGCCCTTGCGCAGTCGAGCGCGTGCGCCCTGAGGGGCCTGCTCGCGCAAGTGGTATCGTCGTGCCAGGTGCTCAGCTTTATGAGGTTAATGGCAACGATGTCCGATCTTACTCTCCGGAGATGGTCATCAAGGCTCTGAGGTACAACAGCATTACGTTTCCACATCTACCCGCATCATCACACGCGGGATGCAAATGAGAACCGCTTCAAGCCAGCCAAATATGCACTTGCGATCATTCATCATGTGCAAACCAATCATTGGGCCCCCGGCATGCATTGCACCCCCTCAACTTGTTGCTGGCTATCCACTCTGCCTCCTCACAGCGAGCGTCATGCCGAGCTGCGCTTGTTACTTGCCATTCCGGCCCGCCGGCCCTCACATTCCGGCAATCAGAATCGCCTCAAGGTCTACCTACCGCACCAGGCCTACGTGACGACGAGCTATGCACGCAACACAACCGTCCAGGTTCGATTGCGCACCTTTGCTTGCTTCTGTCGCCACTTCACAATGGCTCTCCACTTCTCACCCATCCACGACGCCGTCCTATCCACATGGGTTGGTCGTCTGTTGACAGGACATTCTTGCCAAGGTGGCGAGCAAGAAAGCCCTTGAATGTCCCGCACGGTTTGCTCTCATTTTGAGCGTAAGAATCCTCTCTGACTGGCTTGCGTTGAAATTTGCTGTACCCATATGACTTTTGCAAGGCGCATGGTTCGAGTTGCATGGCCAATCCCTCACGTGCGATTGGGGGCCGTAGGACTCGGGGCGACACATGCAGCGGCTGCTGCCCATGGCATCCCTGATCCAAGCCATCGTCGATGACATGCGTCCCGAGCATCGCCTGTACTTGCGCCTTTGGTCCGTTTTTTCCCCCTTTTTTTCGATTAACATTTTGCGTTGAAAAAGCCCATTGTTTGGTGCTGACCCACGCTGCTGTCATCAGGCATGTGCCTTGTCAAGCTGAGCGCTTTGCTCAACGGTGTCCAAACGCCATGGACTATTTGTATCGTCAAATCCAGTCGGATCTTGTGGTGCAGAACATGCACCCACAGCTCTCAGCCGACGTTATTATCAAGTCAGCCTAGCATTACGGCCTTGGGAGACAGCCATGTCTTATTCCTTTATGCGTGCGCGCACGCGCGTGATGGCTTGTGAGCAGACAGGGCGTTTTCACCGCTTCTCTAATGGACGACCATCTTCGGGGATGCTCTCGTGCACACAGGCTCGCTGCAATTCACGTCAAGTGCTGGATGCTTGAGCATGATCGAGATCGAACCGACATCAAGGCCATTGCGTATGTTGGCTGCGTGCAGCAAATGGGCCCTTGGCTCGCCAAGCCTCATTCTGATCCCAACTTCATTTTGCATGTTTGCAGAGCGGACGTGGGACTGACCACGTTCTTCCCTTCCCACTACCTGACCGGAAAACGGATCAAGGATGTGGTCAAGCTGCTGACCAACGCGTGCAAACTCGTCTCGGTTCGTCGATCATTTCACAGAACATCTCACGCCAGGCTGGTGCCGTTCTCAGCTCACAAGCACCTGACCCCAATGCCCAGCAACCCTCGAGTCTCCCGGCTCTGCAGCTGCAGTATATTGACGCCTGCCTACAGCAATGGGTTGTTCGGAGCCAGATTTTTCGAGACCTGCGGCTCAACGACGTGGATGCCACTCTGACCATTGATGGCCTTGATGGCATTGTCCTTCTCAATGTTGCTGGTGGTCGCGAGGTTAGTTGATTTCGACTTGCTTTGGAGCACGAACCACGCGCGGGCGCTTCTTGGGGCTGGCTGTGGCATTCACTGCCGGAATGGTCACAATGTGATTCGAATCCCCTCGACTGGATCAGGCACGTTCGGTGATCACGGCGATTGGTGATGTGACAAGCATCATGGTTCTAAGCGAGCCACAACGCATGTTGCAAATCAAGTTTGAACATGATGCCCCTGACTCCTTCACCATTGAAGGGCCCATGGACGCGCTGCAGCGGTTTGCTGCAACTCTCGACGGTTAGTGTCCCATAACATTCTGGCCTGATAATCTACCCTCTGGTTTGCAGACTACCAACTCATCTGGTTGTCGATAGCGCAGGGCTACATCAAACCATCTATCCCAATCGCCCCTCTTCGCTCCTGCAAGGTGTTGAACAATTGGTAAGCCATGGGTGCTCTGATGTTTTGTGAGGTCAAGCCATCAAGTTTGTTTAAGAAGAAGACCAAAGAAGGCTCGCCTGCCTTCGTCAAGCACCTCAAGCTTGACATGCACTGATCTTGTTGTCTGTGCTGCTTTCTCAAGTATGATATACCGCCTTATCTTGGGCCACATCGAGTGCTCGAGGCCGGTTGGAACTATGTGGGAGAAAGCGACACATTTGGGCGTGCGAATGGGTGGTGGCACGAGGTAGTTTTATGGCATCCCACCCTCAAGACCTTTCTTTTATTTTTTGAGTTTGCTTGGCATAGCTTTCCACCAGCCCTTGGGTCGGGCCGTGCTCATGATCTTTCGTGGCATGCTACTGCCCAGCTGGATACTCGCTTGCCGCTTTTGCCTGATGGCTCCGCAGACTTGGAGGTGGCCTCCAATGCGCTTGGTAGCGCTGCGCAATCACGTTTGGATCTGACGGACATGTCCGGTGATGAGGATGCCAATGCCTCTCGCACAGATGGGCGGTACAGCGGAAATGGGGGCTCACCGTCGGATCAGAGTGTCTTTGCCCCGTCGCCCGTCTTGGTCTTTGATGACACACGGGTCTCAGCATCAATAAGCCCGCACCTGCGGTTGGCGTCAGAGGGCCGAGAAGAGCTACGATGCTTACTCAATCTTGATTTTGAGTCAATGCACCTCCTTGACCTTGACTCCCTAACCGTGGCCAGCCGAAGGGAAGCGATCGAACAGGTGGGCTACACCTTGAGGCAGCAACCATTCCTCAGCAAAGAAAGGTGGCATGAAAGATATCGGCAGTCCATGACATGTACGGTGGCGATGTGCAGCGTGCTGATTACGTTTTTCCTGGTGCGGTTGCCGTGGTTCCTTTGAGCAGATTTGCCGGCGCAGCACTCAGCTTTGCGAGTTGCGCGCTCGCTCTCTTGCCGGAAGCCTGCACTCAGTTCCAGATCCAGCTGATTACTCCCTGCAAAAGGTTGGCGGAATTAGTCATTGGCCATCGCAGTGGACATACGTCGCCGACACTGGTGGTGAGCAACAAATGTCAACATCGAGAGCATGTTCAATGGTTTCTCCTTGTGCTTGTTGGGAATCGCAGTCGCGTATGTGGGATGCCTGCTGTGAGCTGAATCGCTCCACCAAGTTTCTCATTTCCGCGGTGATTCATAACGAGGTGCGCCGCCTGATGCCAGCCGCAGCCTGGCCCGCCTGACGATGTGCGAGCTCACGTGGCTTGGGGATTTACCATAGTCTTTCTTAGATGACGACATTGCAGGCTCGTCTCTTCTGGTGTGCCACCTTTTTGAAGCCACCAAAAACTGTGTTCGAGCCATGCCTCCCAATGAGACCGAGCTCCAGGTGCGCGCTCCGCTTTAAGCATCACATTTTGAGCCCAACCAAAGTTGCCCTCATGACAACGGCTTTGCGTGTGCCCGAGTAGGCCAGCATATTATCCGGCTGCCTGGACGTGCATGTGACATGCTGTGCCATGCTGTTGGCAGCTGTTGCCAACGAAAATGTATCAAGGGCCGACGCCGACTTGTGGCGGCTGTCAGCTTGGACACTGCTCACCCTTGGGCAACAGCACGTTGACAAGCTTCAAGCCCTTATGAAAGCCTTACTGCAGAGCGATGTCGCCTGTTAGACCTCTAAGCAAATGGCCATGCCTTCAGCCCTTGTCGCCCATTCATTGAAGTGTTCAAAGCCCTCCTGTACATTCCAATCCAACCGAACAAGCTCGCGCCATCCTCTGGCCAGATGAGCGCCTTTTCCAAGCTTGCGACCATTCGGCAAATGATTTTGTCTGACAATGTGACCGTTGCGGCAGCGCCATTTTTCACACACACACACACACACACACACACACACACACACTCTCTCTCTCTCTCTCTCTCTCTCTCTCCCTCTCCCTCACTCTCTCTCACTCTCGGACGGCAAGATGGATCCGCTTGATTCGGACGATGGTACGAGTAAAGTGAAGGCCAAGCGTTGCCATGGCATGCTGCCGGCGGTGTACAGGATGAGAGGGGCGCAAGGGGGGAAACGCACCGACGACGACGATGAGGATCACGGCTCTCAAATTCATTCTTGCTTGCTTGTGTGAAAACGGCCGGTGCAGAGCTGCACTTGCCCGCCGCTGAAAGCGGCGATTCGAGTGATGAGGATGAGTTGCCTGACATCAGGTACGTGTGGCCGGCATTCTTCTACTGGCTTGAGTTTTGGCTTGCATGAGGCAGGCACTCACTTGATTTGCGGTCACTGGATCACCAGCTTGGGACCCGCCAAGGCATCCTCTCCCCCGCCAGCTGCCCAACACCAGGATGGAACGACGGCCCCTGGCAATCTCACGCTATCCCCACTTAAAGCCAATGCTGGCCAACGACATTCGTGCGTGGGCTTTCTTGTCCTACGCAGGACCCAATTGTCGGCGTGATAGTGCTCTGTGGTGGTCGAGTTTGCCGCTGGCTTACCCTTGCTGCCCTATGTCGGTCTGCAGCTTGCGACAAGAGACCCGCGCCTTTCAAGCAAAGACTGACCACGAACTCCAGAGTCTGAGAACTCAGCATGAGAGGGCCTTGTGAGTGTTGGCTCATGGGCTTGTTTCATATCCTGTGCAGCACCTCATTTCTCGCTCCGCGCGCCAGGGCGGCAACCGAAAAGCAAATCAAGGCACTGCGCAAACACCAGGAACGGATGGCCAACGTGGAACGGCTACAGCAAAAAGCCCAGGTACGCGGGTTTTGTCTGGATTGGCAATGATTCACGCTTTTGGTGTGAAGCAATCTTTGACTCTGCTACCATTGGACGCAGGACGAGATTCAATCGAATCGTGAGCAGTTGCGCCAGGCCGAGCTAGATCACGACCGAGAATTGACCGAGGTACGCGCCTTTTGTTCTCTCCGAGCCTGACATAGCTCTGCCGGTCCTCTCAGCGCGTCCATGGGTGTGGGTGACCTTTTGCTTGAGATTCAAACAGTGTGCTCACCTTGACACGTATAGATGGACACAGATATTGCCGATTTTCCAACCTCTCACCCAGGCCTCAATACGTTACAATCATCGCCAACCATGCTTGCGCTCGATCCAAGTCTTCTGGTGCCCCCTAGCGTACCGGCTGCTGCCGTCCATAGGTTCGCTCGTTCATGCCCTCGCTGGAGTGACTCGAGCTGCATTTCCGTCACATCCGCGCAAAGTCTTGCCTCACGATGCTCCTATGCTTTCGCGGCACACTTTAGTGACGTGTTGAATTCCATCCGCGAGCGGCTTGGTACTGTCATCAAGCCTGCAAAAACCGTTGCTGTCCCGCTCATTCTTACAGCCCAAGCCCGTGAAATCATTCACGGGGGCTGGCTAGCCAATTTGGCCTCTACTTGCGTGCTGCCCCCGACCTGGTTGGAGTGGTGTTTCTGCCTCGGTGCGTTAACTTGCAACCAAAAGCTGGTGATTGCATGTAATTTCTGTGTTTTTGGCTTTACTCATCGCCTTTGATTGGTTGGGTTGGCCAATCAGCCTTGCTCGGTGACAGTGCCACAAGCTGCAACATGCTCGATGTTTTGATTTTACACGCGAACCAGAAAGTACGGTTCCCTTTGACCGTCTGCGCTTGTGCCTCGATCTCAGGACGCTCTTATGTTCGCTTGAAAACGTGTTTTGATTTGTTTGCCCAGAAACAGCAGCCAGACGGTCCAGAGAAAGAGTCACCGACGCAGATCATATCCCTGATATGGACTCTCCTGCCGGCGCTTGGTTCGTTCCGCCCCCATGCCTTTGCTCCACCCCCGCCAACCCCCGTCGGTTGAGGTCCTTAAACCCACCCTCATTGTCAATCACACTTGGCGTGCTATCATAGGGATTGATCTGCAAAGTCTGGTGTGCCCAGCTCTGCGGCCGGACAACATTCCATCACTGGTTCGTTCTGATTGTCATCTTTCATCGCTCAGCCCCCGTTGCACGCTCACAAAACTCACGTGCATACTTGATGCCGGCAGAGTGGTTGCTCAGAGACCAATAAGGAAGTTCCATGTGATGTGCCTGCCGAGGACGCTTTGCAGGGCGATCTGACCCAGGATGAGGAGAGCGACGTTGACGAGGCCGTTTCTCGTGTCACCACCGTATGTTTTCAAGCACACACGCTCACGCATCACACACCAAGCTTGCTCTGACCTGGCCATTCATCATCTTGGTCAACTGCGCAGTTTTTCCAAGCCGTAGATGTCATGTTGACTACCGATCAGACACCTTTGCCCACGGCGGATGTTGGCGTGCGTTCAAAGTGCTCATGTTCATGCTGTTGCGTCTCATTTCCTTCACCCCCGCTTTTCCAAGTATAATCAGACATCGTGCTGGCGTGAGGAGGCATACTCAATGCCGGCATTTGCTTGCTATAGGCGTTGGTGGCCTTGATCTACCGTTTGTTGCTGGACAAGGCCTTGTATTGCGCAGTGCCAGCTGCCATGGCGTGTATCGGCACGCTCTTACAGCGTCTGGAATCCACGCAGCTTGAGGCAGCGGTAAGTCGATTTGGCCTGCCTACATCGCCCTTGCACCACGGGCTTGGGGGCTCATGACGTGTCGCGTCCAAGCTGCCTGCCCTCTCACCTGAAACGTTCTTGCATTGCTCTCCAACAGCTTCGAGAGTTGGCTCGCATTCTCGCTGGCGTGGCCGAGCACCACGACAACATGACATTTTTGCTGCGCTTGGTGGCGCCGACAGGGCGCGCTCGGTACGTTGCCGTTTCGTCTTTTTCTATCGTGCCGCATCCCTGCTTCAACGACTGCAGTTGGCGGTCGTTGCTTTGCCCCTTGTTCGATATTCGCTCGCTGATGCAGCACGCGCATAGAACTTTGCAACGCCACTGGGCCTTTGAAATCCTCTACTCGCCTGCCATGGCTGTCTTTCGCAAAGAGGACCAGCCCCTCAATTTACCAACAGACAAGCATACTGTCCGTGCCTACTTTTGCTTGTCTGCCTCTCCATTCTTGCTCTGCATGGCTGTGCTGCCAGAGGTCAACTTTTGCTTTCTCATGGCATGACTGTTGGACACAGGTGGCCGCCTTGGTTTCGTTGATGCGAGCCAATCGAGACACCCGCTCAACCCAGGTGGCTTATCGCACCCATAGCCTTTATTCTACCTTGGATGTCCTCGTCGTGGATGAGCCGTGGTTCCGCGATGCCAAGGTCTGCGCTTAACACCGTCTCACAAGCGCGAGGCGCGCATGGTGATCGGTCGCCCGCTTACCCTTTTTGCTTCCCTGTTGAGCGTTCTCACGTGAATCCCTTTCATGCATGCAATGGTCAGGACGACATGTCTGCGTTGTATCGCTGTTTATGCCAGCACCACCACAAGTCCCCCAGCGTTCACACCATGCGTGTGGACTTGGTGCGTTTAGCTGCGTTGATCAACCGAATCATCGACAATCTGACCTTGATCCTGGCTCGATACAATCGCTCGGGAATATCTCACGCAAAAGATCGCAAGGCCCAGAGCCTGTTTCATGGATCACCCGCTCCCACCACGCCATCAACGCCAGCAGTTCCGCAAGACACACCAAAGAGGCGAGAGCCTGATGAGACGAGTTTGCCGCCCAAGCAAGCAGACACGCCCAAGGGGTCGGAAGGAGCGGCGTCTATGTCAGATTTGCCCACCACAGAGTGCGCAGAGTCTCTTGAATCTCAAGCCTCGATAGAACCACGGGATTCTTCCGCTGAGGCTGAAGGCTTGCAGCCGAAACAAGACGCGTCTTCGTCGATCGACCAAGCTGGCGCTCTACCTGGCCAAGTGCAAACCCAAGGATCTGATGCAAGTGCTACCACCACAGCCACGTCCAATGTGGCGTCATCAAATCTTGCACCACCTCAGCAAGGGTTGACTCCAGACTCTATCTCAGCCCTGCCACCGAGTGACACCCCCACAGCGACGACTTTACAGTCCTCACCAAAAGCAACTTCACCCGCGTTGGACAGCTCGTCCGGTGTGGAAGCCAAGCATAAGTCCATCGCGCCAGCCAGCCCAGGCTCGCACTCGGGCATTGGAGAGGATGGCAAATCGGACTCAGGGTCAGCCGGACAGCATGGGGCCAAGGGGCAGTTGCATCTTGCGGCTGACTCTACAGTTGCCAAACAGCAGGGTGCCAACTCGAAACCGGCCATCCCCCCGCAGGCGGGCGCAGTGCCAGCAAATTCAGACGGCTTGTCACGGAACAAGAGTACAAAGAATGGCCACGCCAAGCGAGCAGCGGCTTCTGGACGACAGGTGAGTGCTTTTGAGAAGCTTGTTGATGTTGCGTCACAATGACTTCTTCGCTGGTTCTGTAGCTAGCTCACTTGCAAACAATTTTGGTACTTTCTGCAGCAAAACCTTTTATCTTTTGTAACCATTAAAAAAAGACCCCCTCCAACATAATACAGGGAGCGGCCACTGCTTTGCTGGGCACAGAGCTCGACCGTGTCCAGAGAATTAGGAATAGAGATGCCAAGTAAACAATCGATGACTCATGCAATTTGGCTTTGTTCAAGCAATCGCCAAACAACAATGAGCAAAAAGCGACAAGTCCAACAACCTCTCAAACCAGAAGAGCAAAACAAGAAGAAGAAAGACAAGGCAAAGAAAAAAAAAAAGCCGAGGGTGTTAGAAACAAAAGAGAGCATCAAGCACAAAAGAACAGCACATGCAGGAGTCGCAGATTGAATGCGACCCGGCAAACCTCGGTCCAAAACTAGACAGCAAAAGGAGACTGCACATGGCTAGAACCCAGCTAAAGTGACCACAAGTGTCCAAGGTCAGGGCAAAGCACTTATCGGAAGACAGAACCTTGGGCGGCGCCGTTGTACATGTTTTGACCACCGTAGTTCATGCCCATGCCCATCATCTGTTGTTGCTGCTGGTGCTGTGGCATCATGCCCATGCCACCCATGCCCGCCATGGGTTGCTGCTGCATGCCGCCCATCATGCCGCCCATCATCATGGGCTGTTGCTGCTGCATACCACCCATCATCATGGGTTGCTGCATGCCACCCATCATCATGGGCTGCTGCTGCATGCCGCCTCGTTGACCCATTTGCTGCGCGCCATAGCCAGAACTCATGGTGCTGGCTGCCGCATTACCGCCCCCCATGTCGAAGACGCTCGTGTTGCTAGCGGCAGCGGCACGACTCTGTTGCGCTTGCTTCTTGGAGTCCATTGTGAGGTTGTCCAAATCAAACGTCACACCAGCGATGACGGTGGGGCCAGCTGCCTTTTTGGGCGCAGCTGAAGAAGCTGGGGGCTGGCTGGCGCTTGAGGATGATTGCATCTGAGAAGCGACACCATAAGAAAAGGAAAAAAAGTCTGGTAAGACTATTGTCCAACACTTGATGCAGGCGCATCGTCGCAAACATTCACAAATGTCGCGAGCGCGGGCAAATCTTACGAACCGGAGCAAGCAGGTCACCCGAGCCCGACGACGTAACGGGGGCAGCAGGGGCTGAGCCACCCATCATCATTGCAAATGGATCATTGTTGACAGCAGCCGGAGCGGAAGCGGGGGGTGCCGAGCCAAATGCACCAAAGAGGTCTGCGGAGGAATTGGCAGGCGCTGAGGTTGGGGCACTGGGTGAAGAGGCACCCAGCAGATCAAAGCCGGCGGGGGCCGCTGAGGAGGTGGAGGCCCTAAGACATGCACAACGGTAGGAAAAGGTTAAATAAGCAGATGCTACCAGGATGCTAGATCACTGGTAGGTGGGGCATCGAGAAATAAACGCACGAAGCAAACTCAGCAAAGTCGTCAGTATTGCCAGCCTTGGCAGATCCGCTGTCGGCACCGGCAAACGCCCCGAAATCTAAGCGGCGGAATATGCATGTGGGTGTTAGAGGAGGTTTACGCTCTTGTTTCATTTCAGTCAACTCTTTTCGTTCCTTAAGTAGCCGTCCCTTTAGCGAACCAAGCCTTACCGTCATCGCCGCCGGCACGCGGGTTGAAGTTGGCAAAGTTGGCCGCTTGAGATGAGGCCGGGGCAGCAGATGTAGAAGCACCGCCCAGGAGGTCAATCAGGCCACCGTTGTCGGCTTGCGACGCTGGCTTGTCCTCAGTTTTGCGCAGCGTCGCAAAATCATCGTCAGCACCATCCTCGGCATCGCGGCGGCGGGAGCTGGAATGTTGACTGAAACGAGCGTACAAAGACGATCATGAGCAAAGAGGTGAGCAACCAACACGGATTGAAGCGAGGGATCGTTTGGTCTGCGAACCTTGGTCCGACGTATGAATCATCGTCCTCGTCATCATCACGGAACCGACTGCGAGTTTGTGTGGAGTGTCGGATAGTAGAGTCGGTTGAGTCGGCATCGTCGTCTTTATAGCGGCTGCGGCCGCCTTGGCCGCCGCCAAAGCCGCCCGTGTGATAATCATCATCATCGTAGCCTCGGAAGTTGGGATTGGCAACGCCCTTGTAGCGCTTGCGGTTGGTCTTGGCAGTTCGACGTTCAGCTCGGAGACGCTCGTCATCTGCGAGCAGATCGCAAAGGTCCTTGGACTTTTGGCGGACATTGATGCCCTGGTCCTTGCCCATCTTATCTAGAAATTCAAAGCGCTCGAGCTGACGCAGGTCATAGACATGGTCGCGGGCACTATCAATGACACGGCTGCTGCCGTTTCGGATCAGGTGTGCCAAAACCAGCAGGCCCTGGTGCAAGTAGAGTTGGGGGCAGCGTGTGGTAAGAAGGGATAGGGGTTTCAAATGCGCGAGATATGAGGGAGAGGCGGGGCCAATCAGAAAAGGTGTGTCGGCAGGCCCTGTACCTTATAAATTCGGCGCCAGTTTCTGCCCTCGCGGTCCTTCAGAATGCGCTTCCAGAGCATGTTCATGGCTTCAGGGTACTCTTCATAGGAGTAAGTCGCCTGTGCAGCACGTCTTGGATGAGATGGCATGGGTTCAGAATGCCCAAGCGCGAGCTGCGGTGTGACTCAGCAAGGGACTTGGGGTTGGTAGAGGCAAGCAAGCAGGGCGAGCGGGATGTATACCTGAGCAATCTCGCTCATGAGCGTGCCGTGGGGACCCCAGGCTTCGTCCGGGTTGGTGGCTTCACGAACTTTGACCTCGATTGGGGTGTAGTTCATGGCCACATCCACGCTAGAAGCATTCGAAACGGCAAGGACGTCAATCGATTTCCACAAAAGAAGGACGTCGGTGAGTTGAACTGGCCGTGGGAAAAGAAGCTGAGAGTTTGAGCTGGCAGCATGATGGCAGGTCTTACGCCTTGTTTTTGAGCTGATTGACCTTGGCCATAAAGCTCATGATGGTAGGTGTTTGATCCCGCTTGGGGATGCCGCAAATTCAGTCCGGGCAAGTGCCAAACGAAAGACAAGGGACCCAGCTGCTGCGCGCCGAGCTGGTGTCGACAACAACCAGTGGTGCTCGTTGCTTCCGCCAAGAGTATCAGATGACGCCCACACACGGCAATCTGCGAGTTGCGGGGCGAAAATGAAACCAAGAATGAGACTACGTCCGTGCCAGGCGCGTGTGGCCAGGGATCAGATACTGGGCAGAAAAGGCACGGTTGGTGCGCCAGACAACCGCGGCCAACATGGGTGCCGATGGCAACTCTTGGCGTCGGCCCGCCATTCAGTGAGTTGATCCAAAACAACGCACAAGCCAGAAGAAAAAAAAAAAAGAAATGCATTGCCCTCAAGCCCAGTGACACTCCCCCCCTTTATCCCAGATACAAATGCAGTCCAAACAACCCTCGACACAGCGAGGCAGAGAGGCAGAGGGAGAGGGAGGCAGAGAAGAACATGGCGGCGCTGCCAAAACGGCCGGAGCGAGCGACTGACACATCAAAAGCTTCTGTGTGTGTGTGTGTGTCTGTCTGTCTCTGTCTCTCTCTCTCTCGTCTGTCTCTCTCACCTTCTTTGAAAAGAAAACGCAGAGACAGAGAGAGGGGAAACGTTGTTCTAAACAGACTTTTTGCAGGTATATTTCACATTAATGTAGTTATTATGAACAAACACCTTGTAAATCCAGTCGTCTTTTTGCAGATTATATTAGGGGTTTGTGTAGCATATTTTGGGGTTATTGTAGCGATCGGCACATTGGCACGCATTCAGTGAACCACTGTCAAGGTGTTCTCAACACCTGTTCCAAACGAATAACAATCAGCCGTTTCAAATGGTAGCGCCTTTGATGAGAGACTGGTGTTTTCACTGCGTTCGACTGCTGTTTTCGCATTTCGGATTTTTTTTTTTTTTTTTTTTCTGGCACAATCAGGGTCAGTGGGCGGATGAGTGGTTTGGCGGCGTGCTGTTGGCCTCGGTGCTTCCTGTTGCCGTGGGGTTTCTCAAACGCATCTGTTTTCAAACACAGCATGTGTTTCATCAACTCACTCTGCCAATGTGACTTGCAATGCCATGCAATGTGTTTGTCGAAAAATGCTTGCATCGTGGACGGCGCAGGCTCAATCAGCAAGATGCAGGCCGGCTTGAACGCGCACCCTTCGCTGGGTTTGACCTACACTTATGGCACCGCGGGCTTTCGAACATCGGCGGACATCCTGGACCCCGTCATGTTTCGCCTGGGTGCCCTTGCGGCTTTGCGATCCCGCGCCCAAGAGAGCCGTGCGTATTTGTGTGCTCGAGCTTTTGCTCACGAAAAGGCTCGCAGCCACTCACCCCTGTCCATTGCGCAGGATGGATTGGTGTCATGATTACAGCTTCGCACAACCCCGAGGGAGATAACGGTGCCAAACTTGTTAGTGGATCTTTCCGTCGCCTTGATGCCGTGCTTTAGCAGTCCCCGCTCACATCAGCACGCCGCAGGTGGATCCGATGGGCGAGATGCTGCAAGCCTCCTGGGAAGCTCATGCCGTTGAGCTCGCCAACTGTGCTGATGAGCAGGTGGAAGCCACTCTGAAGGTAAAGCACATTTGAACTCTTTTTCGTGCACCAACGACGCTGTGCCTGGCCAGCACCGTGGTCACACACGCTCGGCCAGATGGCGCCATCACGTCTTTTTTTTTCGTATACCTAAACTCTTTGTGCTCGTGCACCACCACCCCTTGATTTGCAAAGTCCATCGCTGAACGCGAAGGCGTGGATATGACTCAGCAGGCCAAGGTCATGGTGGGCAGTGACACTCGCAAGAGCAGCCCTGCTCTTGTTCAAGCCGTCAAAGACGGCTGCTTGTACGTCCCCACCCGCCCCCCCTCTTGAATCAGAAAAGCTGCCTCGACGCTTCGAGAAACTCGCTTGATTGCGCTTATCTCCTTGGATCATGCAACGCGGTTTGAATTTGGTGGCTTGCAGGGCGGTTGGAGCCCATTGCGAGGACTTTGGCAACCTGACTACGCCCCAACTGCATTACCTTGTTCGGTATGTGGCTCGCACCAGCAGCAAACAACGCCCGATCGATGCGGTACCTGGCCTTCCTTGCGCTCATCCCAGCCTTGTCATCTTGGATGCAGTGCCCACAATGATTCCAGCTTTGGCGAGCCGACAGAGGCAGGCTACTACGCCAAGCATGCTGCCGCTTTCAAGCGACTGCTGGCCCATGCCAACGTCTCGTTGCCCATCAAGCTCAAGGTCCGCTTCCGAGCCACTCGCCAAACGCATTTCACTTGTACCAAAAGCGCAACGCCTCAAAATATGTTCATTCTAGGTGGATTGTGCCAATGGTGTCGGTGCACCCAAATTTGCCGCTCTGCTGCCCTTGCTGGCTGGTGTTTTCGAGGTAGGCTTGCTTCTCGCTCACCCCGACAAATCTTCACTCCTCAGTAAACACGCGCACACAAGAGCCACATTAGACTGGCGGAGCAGTGCCAGTAGCCTACAACTTTTTTTTTTTGACCAAATGCAGGCTTATTTTTTTTGCCTTTTGTCGGCATTTGTCCTCTTGCAGGCAGAGCTGTGCAATCAAGGCGAGGGACCACTCAACGAGAAGGTTGGCAGCTGCGTTCCCGAGAGGCCTTTGCTGTTGTCGGGTGTGCGACATATCCTGATAGCCAGATCACATGTGGTACCTTCTAGTGCGGGGCCGACTACGTCAAAGTGCAGCAGGGGGCTCCAAGCAACATGACCTTTGAGGGGGATGAGCGCTGCGCTTCTTTTGATGGTGACGCCGATCGCCTCGTCTACTACTTTCAGCGGGCCGGTCAATTCTGCCTCTTGGTGTGTGCTGTTCAAAAGTGTGGCCATGCGGTTGTGACAGTGGCCCTGGTTTTGAGCATCTCACGTCGGTTTCTAATGACCGGGGCAGGACGGCGATCGCATCGCCAGTCTAGCGGCCGGCTATCTCAACGAGCTCGCCGCTGCAGCTGGGCTCAGTTTGGACCTGGGTGTTGTGCAGACTGCGTATGCCAACGGTGGCTCCTCAAACTTCTTGCAGAACGAAGCCAAGGTGCCCGTGGCTTTTGCCAAAACAGGTCGGTGTCAATATGCTGTGCGAGGGCCGCCACGTGACACTGGCCTAGTCTTAGTTAATACCCCATTGGCAAACAATGGTTCAGCTCAATCGCTGTGGGTCAACGGTAGGTGTCAAGCATTTGCATCACAAGGCTCTGGACTTTGGTGTTGGTGTGTATTTCGAGGCCAATGGACATGGCACGGTATGTCTCCATTGGCTGCTTTCCTGTTCTCTAACAAAGGCAATGAAACACACTAAAAGTCCAAACTTGGGTTACTCACGCCATGTGTGGACCCCTTGCAATGTCGAAATAAACCCGGCCACTGTTTGCTTCAGGTGCTGTTCAATGACAAAGCCCTCAAGACTTTGGAAAAGGCCGAGTACGCCACGGACAGTGCCCGCCAGGCCGGCGCCATGTTGGGTGACTTTGTGCAACTCATCAACCAGGTCAGCTCGGTTGTCCGGCTAATTTGGCAGACCGTGCATGCCATTCTCACATCAAACTCGGGCCGTTTTGTCGGGTAGACTGTGGGGGATGCCATCTCGGATCTCCTGATGGTTGAGGCCATCTTGGCGCTCAAGGGCATGTCTACGGAGCAGTGGGCAGCCATGTACAACGACCTGCCCAATCGCCAGCTCAAAGTGAAGGTGGCGGATCGCACCGTCATTACAACAACCGATGCTGGTGCGTGGATGAGTTGGACCGCATGTTCATTGGGCTTGAGAACGCCTTTTAAGAGCCGATGAGCCGCCTCCTTATTGTGCCACGCTCCGTTCTGTGTCCTCTAGAACGCATTTGTGTCACCCCTGCTGGCCTGCAGGATGCCATCAACGAGCTTGTTGAGCAGACCCCCCAGGGCCGCTCCTTTGTTCGGTTTGTCTTGCATAAATCCCACTCTTATCTCCACCTTTCTAGCTGGACGGATCATGCAGCTGACCATTCTCGGGCTTGTGTGTTTCAATCAATCCGCGATTTAGTCCGTCGGGCACGGAGGATGTGGTGCGCGTCTACGCCGAGGCTGACACACGGGTACGATAAATTGTGTGCTTCCTGGCATGTGTCCCACAGCCTTGCCCTCAAATTCTTCTCGACTTCTCTTGTCCCCAACGCGGCTTGCCGTGGCGATAGGAAAACGCAGATAAATTGGCATACGCAGTGGCAAACAAGGTGTTCGAGTTGGCAGGTGGCGTTGGTCAAGCCCCAGCCCCCTGAAATAACACAATGCCGGAGACGAATTGCCACGACAGTGCTGGCAAACGCCAAGCTGAATTGCACAATGGCGACCAGCTTCAATAATTCAATGAAAGATGGCACGCGAGGCCGGTGCTCACGTCTGCAATCTCTACGCCACATACTTGACGGGTTTGGCGTGACGTTGCACAATCTGTTGCGGCGCAAGACAGCAAGGTCAATGAATTGGGGCGCGATGTGCACACCATGCGAACCAACGGGCTACACACCACATGCTTGTTGCCACCCGACGCGGCTGCCTGACGGGGCCTGCGCAGCAGCCAGTCAACCGTACCACATGAGACAGGGTACCACCAAATATAACACCAGTGGCCTCCGGGCTTGATGGACATGGATCTATGCTCCAACGCACCTGGATGCCGCCGCAGGTACGGCAACCGGACCCGGCGCAGGGGGTGCGGGTGCTCGCGTGACAGGGGACGGGGCCTCGTGAAACCAAGCCTCTTCTTCCCGCTCGGGGTAGGATGGAGCACGGGCTGACGCGTCATTGCCCTCGCCCGAACCATGCAAGGCACCAAGCGCCTCCATGTTCAGCGCAGAAACACCTAAGGCGAGATCGCAACGGGTCAGCCGTGCATCAAGATGCCGAAAACGACGATTGACACGGTCAAGCCAAGGTCAGAATTCACCAACCGCGCATAAAGGCTTTCTTGACGTCCTGTTGAAAGGCGGCATTGCGCATTTCGGCCACTTGAAGCTCTTGATGCAAGGCTTCCAGCTCCACCCGCCGCTGCAAACAAAAAAGAGCTGAGAGACGGGCTAGACAGCCGTAGGATCGGTTCATGATACAAAGGAGCCAGGGGCTCGAGGCTTTAGGATGTCGACAAGGTGCGAGCTCGCGATAAGTCAGTAAAAAACCAGCTCAACGCCAACAGACCTCGTGCAGACGAGCCTCGTAATGTTGGCGCAGCTGCATGCACACTTCTTCTGCGCGCGCTTGGCAGGCGCGATCGATGCGGTCGCGGTACTTGTTTTCGATGACGCTTCGCCAACCCCGAAATGCCTGAACAAGCACGCGGCAGACAGGGTCGAGCCATGAGTCAAGGCAAGCCGGCGCAAGCCTTATTCCTTGAGGCGATCGGTGGCCTGCAGCTGACCTTGATCATCTCGGTGCGTGCGTGATGGCGCCGGGCCAGGACGGATGTAAAGTGCTCTCGCTTGCGCTCGCTAAAAGATTCGTGGTGTTGTCAGGGTGAACGAGGACCTCGAGAGTAGGCTTTGCAGCCGACACCGCACCAACCTGAGCTGAAGTTTCCATTGAACCATGTTGTGTTGCAAGCTGCGGCGTTCCTGCTCCTTCTCAAGAGCTTGAGTCAGACTTTCAATGACCGCTTCCTTGCCTTGCATGTTCTCGTTGTAGGTCTGCGAGAATTGCTGCAATGATCCAAGCTGCACACAGGTTGGCGGCCAAGTGGACCAGCGTGAGGAAAAAGCCAGGCAAGATGCCGGGGGTCGGGAACAAGCAAGGGCCGCCTGAAAGAGTGGTCAAGCGTGGGCATAGTTTGACGAGCACACGCACCTCGCCCTCTTGCTCACGGAGGCGGGCCTCAAAATCTGCTCGCAGAAGCTAATGTGGCAGGACGTAGGTAGAAAGGAGAAAACGACGAGCCCGGGAAGGTGAGAATTCAACGACCTGCACGCGCAGAACAAGGGCATGACATTGCTTGCCTGTTCACGAGCAGCAAATTGAGACTGCAGCTGCTCCCGGGCACGGTTCACTTCGTTCTAACGAGGCGTTGGGCAAAACTTGGTGGTCAGGGGCGGTCGGTCAAGGACAAAAGGCGAAGCCCCCCCTTTCCCGGGCTGGAAGAGACGTGTACAAACCAGGACCATCTGCTTGACGGAAGCACACATGGTGTCCATGTTGTGGGCAATGTCGGCTGACGCAAAGGTGACGGGCGGCAGCTCTTGTTCCAAACGCGACGCATGGGCACGAGCGGGCACGGTGACCGTGGCAGAGGAGCGGGCCGAGCTGCCCTGCTGATACGCTCGCGTGGCTGAACGCATATTGGTGGATGCTGTGCCGTGCTCTGGCACACGCCAGAAGTCATTTGACGGACCCGATGGCTGGCGAGGGGCAGCCTGCTCTGCCGTGACATGGCTCTCCATCTCCTCCTCATTGTCATAGGCTTCGCTGCCCTCTTGATCCGCCTCGCTGCCCTCTTCCTCAATGAGGGATTGATCAAAGACATCTTGGCCATCGGGGTGGTTGGTAGCATGATCAAACATGGCGTTGTCACTGGTGGTGTTGGCGTCTGGAACACCGTCACTCGTGGCTTGCGCATCCCAATTTTCTTGTGTGAGGTCACGAATCATATCCGCAACACTGGAGCGGCGCCGACCATCGTGGGCGCGCCGCGATGCGGGACCGTCCGGGGGACTGTATGTCACCTCCATCCCCAAAACTGGGTTTGCGGGCATACCAAACGATTCGCGAGCTGGGGCGACTGTTTGAGGTGCTGGGGCCGCGGTAGGTTGTCGTGGTGCCGAGTGTGGCCCACGGATCGGGCCGCGTGTACTGCGCGAGCTACTGCGCGGAGTCATCAACGCGTATTCCAATACTTGCTGGTAGTCTTCGTCCGTAGGAGGCTACACACACATGATCACACGAAAGCAATGAGCGCCCGTCAGGGGTTGGTTCAGGCGCATCAAAGCCTCGATGGACCTCTCATCCACCAACTGACCTGGGACGGCGCCGGTGTTGAACCGCGCGAGGCATCCGCCTCCCACAGCGCAGGCATGGTGTGACTTGCCATCGTGCCAGTCTTCCTTATACCCCCCCCTTTTCCTGCATCGTCTCCACCAGCCCCTTGTACCCCGCCAATGGATCGAAACCGCAAAAATAAATGTGTGAGAGAGAGAGAGAGGCGTGTGAGATCTTTGTCCGCGACCCAAAAAAGAAAAAAAAAAAAAACGGTCACACTGCTTTTTGCTCTCTCTCTCTCTCTCTCTCTCTGAAATTTTTTTCTCTCAAAACTTCTGTGTGTGTATGGTGTGTTCTTTGTCTGTCTTTGTCCTTGTCTCTCTGGTCGCTGCCTCTCTCACACTCTCCGTCTCTGTTTGTCTGACTCGCTGCCCGTCTGCCCATTTGCGTCTGTCTCCTTGTCTCTCTCTGATCTCTCTCTCACACACACACTCTCTGGTTTTATATCGGTGACTTATTCTTTTCGGACAATTTGCTAGAATGGGTATCAGTTTGGGGTGAAAAATATGGTTTCAGTAGTTGGCAAAAGGGAGCAAGATTGTCAGATATTTGATCGCTGTTCGGTGCACCGTTTTTTTTTTTTTCAATTTCTCTTGCGAGACGGCAGCGTGAGCACTCCGTTCAGTTCGGGGTCTGGTTCGGACTTTGAAGCCTTGCTCTCACGGAGAGGCGACCGCCTATCTGCATGACTTTCAAGAAGCTGTGGGATTGTGCATTTGTTCAAAGCACGAGCTTGGGTTGATATCGCACTTGTTTTGGTTGACGGGGTCGACGCTCCCATCATGGCGAGCCACGAGTCGACCGATCCGGGGGCGGGGGAACCACCCTTGCCCTCGGTGGACGCCATATCCCCCATGGAGATGCCTCCACCGCAGGTGGTGCACCCGCACCATCCGCATTCGCACCCCCACTCGGACCCGCACCCGCATGCCCATTCACAGCATCAACACCCACATCACCCACATCACCCGCATCAACACCATCAGCATCATCCGCCACCGCATCATCCCCATCAGCACCACCCTCAACACCATGAGCCCCCGCCCGAATTTCAATCGGTCACGCCCATGGGCACCCCGTCCAACGTGCGAAGTGAATCCAACCACGATCCTTCCACCAAGCATCGATGTGATCTTTCCTTTTGCCGCCGCCGCATGGTCAACATGCGGAAAGTCAAGCGACCCAAAAACCAGAAAGCCATGCAGCGCTACGCCGATATTTGGGTCCGTGTGGGAGGCTATCCAGAGAATGTCAACGATACAGGTCGCGTCGTAACGCACAAGGCCCAATTTTACTTCTGTCCCGAGCACATCAAGCCTCGTGAGGATGGTGAGTCATATCCGCTGGTATCAGATCAGGGAAGCCGGGCGTGGTCGGGTTGTCAGTCTCGCTGTCCCATTGGGTGTCTGTATGTGCGCACGCCCACAATACGCGAGTATCGCGAGGGCTGACGCACAGCCCACGGCTCACATTTGCACACACACGCGCGCGCGTGCGCGCGCTCCCTTTCATTGACACATCGCGGCCCATCTTACTCTGTTCTGCTGGTTTGACTGTGTCGCTTCGTTTTTGCTAGGTGGTCTGTATCGTGCTTACACAGTTGACGACTTTCTGCCTCGCACGTTGGCTCCCGGGGGGGATCCGATTTGGCGCACCATCACACCACAGGCCCGACAACGGTATCGCGGGGACAAAACCAATGACCCTGAAATGATTCCCAGCCTGCATGACAGCACGACCGGTCTTGCCTACCCGGCTCTGCCCACCAGCATAGCTGCCGGTCACCCCATCCCCTTTGGTGCAACAACAAGTCCTGGGGGTGAATTGCTGGTCCCGGTTCCAAACCCGCAAACATTGATCTCTCCACAAATGCATTTTCATCACCCGGGCACCTTGATGCCAGGCAATGGAACGCCACAAAATGGCTCTGTCACCCAAGAAGGAATGGAAACAATGCATGCCAATTCCGATGATGAAGTCGAAGACGTGGACGTGGACGTGGATGAGGGCGATGAACATGACGAACAAGATCGACAGGAACAGCAGCGCATGCTCGCCCTCCAAGCCGGCCTGCCCTTCATGTCTCCGAACGTTGTACTTGGCCGCGTGGTGGATCACACGGAGCGTTTGCAAACCCTTCGCATGCGCCACAACATTCCTCCCCTAGTCCCCGACGAGTTTGTGGACCGTTTTAGCTCCATGGCCTCGGATTGTGCTGAAGCACTTCGTCAAAAGGCAAGGCTCGAAGCTGAGCTCCGTGAGGTCCGCGCACAACTCGACCACTACAGAACACTGGCCGCGCAGACTGCTCCCCCGGCCATGGCCAGTATGACGGACGAGGCGCCCAGCGTCCATGCCGGACCATGAGCCCGAGCGCGTCAAGAGAAACCTGTGCGGCTTTGATTCACCCATACCCACAACGACACCCTTAACCTTGGGTGATATCACCTACTCCTTCCGCTTCCCTTCCTCTTCCTTGCGACTAGTTCACTTGTGCAGAAGCTGGCAGAAAATGAATGTTTTGCGTTGGTTGCTTGTTGATGTTTGAGCGTTGTCGTTTTCATTTTCGCCAGCCTTGCCATCATTTGAACGTCTTTTTGCTGGGTGCAACCAGCAACCAGCTAGCCCCTGCCCGAGTCTCTGAGGACTTTTGAAGCAGAGTTTTCACATCCTGTTCGGCTCCAGCATGAGGTTGCATTGTTTTACTCTGCTGCGACGCTGCGACCGTCTTATTGATTGGTGGAGAGAGCACGCGCTCACGTGCCCTCACTCAGCAAAGCTGACCACTGGCGAGACCGGTGTCTAATGTATGCATAGTAGTCTTGTCAACAGGGTGCGCGTGTCAATTGACGTGGATCATTGCATGGGCGTGCGTCATGGAATATATCTGAACATCAGCCTGTGGTTGTTCACCTGTCACCCAAGCCTGGATGCGCTTTCCCCTTGAAAGAGAAAGCACCTCGATAAAACCCGGTCCCAATATTATCCTTTTTCCACTTATGGAACGTGTGTACCTGCATGACCGTATACCTGTCTGTTTGACTGAAACCGTGCCTGTGCCATCCGTGCGCTGTGCCCATGACCATGATCGCGCCCAAATCGCTGTCCTCAAAAACTCGCGCTGACAATACACAACACAAGAAGCAAAAGTGAAGTATATATCCTAGATATTGCAGATAGCTACACATATAAAGCAAGATGAATAAGAGGTATTTGCATAAAATATCTCAGTTATTGCATATATTGTTCTTGTTGTGGTGTATTTTTTTTGTTTTGTTCGCGAAAGAGAAAAAACGCGCGCGAGAAACAGTTGATATGGCGGATCTGAAGGGCTGGGATCAGGAGCGGCGGCGGAAAACACCACTGCGTTGCGGATTGGGATGGAGTGGGTCGCTCCTGTGTCTTGCCATGCTGTGCCATTGGGTCACGGGTGCCCAGCTGCGGTTTGGAAGGCCTCAGCTGCTGGGACCGACGTCTTGGGGCATGTCTCACAACGTGCAGCTCAGCTTTGACCGCTTTGGTTACGACCTGGGGCATGTGGTCGCGGTGACATCGGATGGCGGGCACACCTATGTCAACTCAACCATGGATACCTTTGACGTTGTAGTTCGTAATGCCACACAGGTCACGGGCGATATTGCACTCGCCCACAACCTGGGCAATGTGGCCCGCAATCGCCCCAATGGCAGCTTTACAGACTTCTCGGCCACCTCCTACGTGGTGGGTCCAGCAGCCACCCGCCCACCCGCCGTTTCAAACAGGCCTTTCCTCTTGACCCATCCCCTTCTGCTGCTCCTCACTTAATTCTCGTTCCTCTTTTGCTGCTTCTTGCTCTCTTGATCGCTGATTGGCGGTTGCCCACGGCGTTGTTCAAACCCACCACTACAGACTTACAGTGGCGATGCGTCAAGTTCATCTTGGCAAAGCAGCCAGATTAACAGATCCATCGACTTTCAGGGTCTGCCGATCCCTGTGTCGTGTCATAAGTTTGCCTGCCCTTTTCGCTTTGGAGGAACTGCCTCTGCAACCCTGCCGTCGGGCACCATGGTAAGCCCCGCTTGTGCTGCCGTCATTCATCACCGGCCTTCACACACGTGCCGCTGGGATCCCGCCAGCTGCAAACGGCCATCGTGGCTTGGGGTGGTAATCCAAGGTCACCAGAAGCCACGAGCATCGTCATCTACAAGTCAACGGGTACGAGAACGGCCGTTCAAGTGATTTCCTCTTACTTGCAGTTCTTCCTAGTGCCTACGGGCCATCTGCCGGCTACGCTTGTCTAGTGCATGCGCTCACAGACCCCATGCTGCACCAATACCTTAGATGGTGGCTTTGCTTGGCAATACCTTGGTGTGGTGGCTAATGCCAGTGACTACAGCTTTTCAGAGGAAGGGTATGCATGTGTTTTACTGTGCTTGGCTCAAGTGCCGAATCGAGCATGCTGACTGTGCCAATACGATGCATGGTTTTGATAGACCCAATGAACACGATTTGGTGCTGACAAGCAATGGCACGCTGGTCATGATCGTGCGCCTCGATGCCGGAGATGGACCCATTACGCACCCATTCCTCAACTACTACCGCACCATCAGCGTGGACCAAGGCTAGTCGTCTCCACCCTCATGCTTGCGTTGTTTTGGCTATGCTGTCAATAATCGGCGCGAAACTCTTCAAACTAAGCTTGTCCAGCATGCTCATTTGCTCCACAGGGCGCACTTGGAGCCGGCTGGAAGAGCTTTCAGGCGTGGGCAGCGCACGCCCTCGAGCCATGTTTATGGCCCAAGGTGCGGGCGCTCTTGTCTTGTCAGGTGGCCGCCACAAGAACGCCGGTAATCAGGGACCCAAGGTGTGGATCAGCTGGGATGGTCAAGGTGCCGCCTTTGACGAATATGATATCAGCTACTATCACAACCAAGGTGGGCCAACAGCCTATGACGGGCGCATTTTTATGTACGCCAATCAATGTATTTTGACTGACCGTTGGGTGTCGTAGGCTACCCTGCTTTGCCTCTGCCAGCTGCCGTGAACGCAACCGGCTCTGACAGATTCACGACTTGCTACACCTCCATCATGCCCACGAGCAACAACAGCTTTGTGGTGGCGTACGATGTCATGGACGCCACACGGACTACTCACCACGGCTTTGTCATGCCAGTAACGCTACAACTGTGACCCAAACCGCAACCACCGGCATGACTTTTGAGTCGATGGCCACCCTGTAATGCGGCAAAAGCTTCCGAGCGATGCGATCAACGTGTTTGTCAAAAGAGTGGTGTGCGCGTGCGACAGCACAAAAGCATCGTGAGCAAGGCAAAATCGATTGAGGTGAAATTGAGCACCAGTTCCGTGTCTTGGCCGGCCCGGCGAGCCAGGAAATTGAACGCAAACGAGGCGAGGGAGGGGGAAATCCTTTGAAGAGTGAGAGCACGGCACAGAAAAACACCAAAAGTCCTGGCGGAGACGCAAAGCATGGCACGGCCTCGGAACGGCACACTCCAACAAACAATCCCGCCCTGCTCGAAACGGTTGCATAAGCAATAAACATGACTGCAAATGCCGAAAAAAAAAAAAAAAAAAAGGTTGAGAAAACGGAAAAAGCAGAAGCAAAGGCAGAAGCACACTTGCAACGCAGCAAACGCAGCGAGGCTGCCAAGGAGGCCTTTAGTTGGAGAGCTCCTTCATGCGGTTGAGGGCAGAGCCAGCCTTGAACCAGGCAATCTGGCCCTCGTTGAAGGTGTGGTTCAGCTTGATCTCGTGCTGGCTGCCATCGGGGTTCTTGATCACAGCGGTGAGAGGAACACCAGGGGTGAAGTCGGTGAGGCCGACGATCGAGACCTTGGCACCCTCGGGGGCGATCAGATCGTAGTCGCTCTCGTTGGCGAAGGTCAGAGGGAGCAGACCTAATCACAAGTTCGAAGCATGAGATAGAGATGGAATCCCAACAAGATTGGAGAACAAGCAAATACGCAGCAGAGCAGAAGGCACCATGCACCAGCAAAGAGACAAAAAGAACACGGGCAAAGCTAAAGGACGTACCCTGCTTCTTAAGGTTGGTCTCGTGGATACGGGCAAACGACTTGACAATGATGGCGCGGGCGCCGAGGTGGCGGGGCTCAAGGGCGGCGTGCTCACGGCTGGAGCCCTCACCGTAGTTGGCCTCACCGATGACGCACCAGGGCTTGTTGTTGGCCTTGTAGACGCGAGCAACATCGGGGACACCACCGAAAGATCCATCAATCATGTTCTTGACATTGTTGGCCTCGCCGTTGGCAGAGTTGATGGCGCCAATCAGCATGTTGTTGCTAATGTTGTCGAGGTGACCGCGGTACTTGAGCCAGGGGCCAGCCATGGAGATGTGGTCGGTGGTGCACTTGCCCTTGACCTTGATCAGAACCTCCATGTCTTCAATGTCCTTGCCATCCCACTTGGTGAAGGGCTCAAGGAGCTGCAGGCGGTCCGAGGAGGGATCGACGTCGACGCTGACACCAGAGCGGTCCGAGGGAGGAGCCTGGTAGGTGTCCTCACCGGCGTCAAAGCCACGGGAGGGGAGCTCATCACCCGAGGGAGGCTCCAGCTTGAACTCCTCGCCGTTGGCACCGGTGAGGGAGTCGGTCAGGGGGTTGAAGTCGAGGCGGCCGGCGAGAACCATGGCAGTGACAATGTCGGGGGAGGCGACAAAGGCGTGGGTCTGGGGGTTACCGTCGTTACGGGAAGTGAAGTTGCGGTTGTATGAGGTGATGATGGAGTTGGGGGTACCCTTGGGGACGTCCTGGCGATCCCACTGGCCGATGCAGGGACCGCAGGCGTTGGCGAGGACGAGGCCACCAATCTTGGTGAGGGTATCGGCCTGACCGTCACGGGTGATGGTAGCGCGAATCTGCTCCGAACCGGGGGTGATGGTGAAGGCAGACTTGGCCTTGACACCGTGGTCGAGGGCCTGCTGGGCAATGCTGGTGGCGCGGCTCATGTCCTCGTACGAGGAGTTGGTGCAAGAACCAATGAGGCCAACGCTGAGATCCATGGGCCAGTTGTTGTCCTTGGCAGCCTGGGCAAAGGCGCTGATGGGGTGGGCGGCATCGGGGGTGAAGGGACCGTTGATGTGAGGCTCGAGGGTGTCGAGGTCAATCTCAATCACCTGGTCGTATTGGCAGCCCTCATCAGGGGTGAGGATGTCGGCGTTGTCGCGGGCCAGGTCAGCAATGGCGGCACGGCCAGTGGACTCGAGGTACTTGGCCATGCGCTCGTTGAAGGGGAAGACGGAGGTGGTGGCACCAATCTCAGCACCCATGTTGCAGATGGTACCCATACCAGTGCAGGACATGGTCTCGACGCCGGGGCCAAAGTACTCGACAATGTGACCAGTGCCACCCGCGACGGTGGTGATACCAGCGACCTTGAGGATAACGTCCTTGGGGGAGGTCCAGCCAGACATCTTGCCAGTCAGCTTGACACCAATGACCTTGGGGCACTTGAGCTCCCAGGGGACATCGGCCATCACATCGACGGCATCAGCACCACCGACACCAATGCAGAGACCACCGAGACCACCACCGTTGGGGGTGTGGGAGTCGGTACCAATGAGGAGGACACCGGGGAAGGCGTAGTTTTCAAGGATGATCTGGTGGATGATACCCGATCCCGGCTTCCAGAAGCCAACGCCATACTTGGCACCGGCAGTGGCCAGGAAATTGTAGACCTCGGCGTTGCGGTCCTTGGCGACGGCCAAATCGGTGGCAGAGCCATCCTTGGCCTCAATCAAGTGATCGCAGTGGATGGTGGAGGGGACAGCAACCTGGGGCAGGCCAGAGCTGATAAACTGCAGCATGGCCATCTGAGCGGTGGCATCTTGCATGGCCTGCACGGTGCAAAAACGCGTGTACAAGGGGTGAGGACGCATGATTTGTGAAGCAGGCACAGATGCAGGGCCAAGCGCAAGGAAAATGCTGTTGGGTGAGCGCTGGTGCGGGGCCTGACGGTGGAGAACGTACCACGCGGTCGGGGCGAAGCTTCAGGTACGACACACCACGCTCAATGTCCTGGCGGAGGCAAAAAAAAGGTAGCAAGAGAGTGTTCAAGTCAGGCCAGGCCGAGGCAAACAGGAGCGAGCACCAAATGCAAGAACGGTTGGTGCGAGAACAAAATGGCAACGAGAGCAAAATTCAAACCGTTCCGCTTACCTGGGTCTCGGGCTCATCCAAGTGAGAGTAGAGCACCTTCTCCGAAAGGGTGAGGGGGCGGTTGAGACGACCACGAACGATGTCGAGGCGCTTGCGCATCGTGTCGTAAGGCATGGGCGCATCGTCGAAGCGGCTCATGGGCACCTGCGAGCAACGGAAGCATCGTCAAGGAAGCAATCAAGGAGGGGTCAGTCGCCAATGAATGCCGCTGGTATGGCCCATAAAAACCATGAGCAAATTCAATGGTAAGCGTCGAGCAAAACACATACCGAAGCCGCAGCGACACGGCTGGTGCCAAAGGCCCGCACGCCCACGAGGGCCTAGAAGACACATTCCGCCACCATCCCAGGTTCAAGTGAGGCATGCACCACATTAAGCGACAAACACTCCCCGAACCGAACCGAACCGAGAAATTACAACCAAAAAAAAAAAAAAAAAAAACTGCCCGATACCTTCAATTTCCCATTGCCTTCTTCCCACTGCTACCTCCCGGCTGCCATTTGCCCAAACCAAGGGGGGCAGCCCCCTCCCTTCCCGTGTCAGTGACATGGACCGACGTACCGCGCGAGAAGCGTTCACACGCAGCATCGTGAGAGTTCAGTGAAGGTAGACTGAAAAATGTGAATTGTTCTGGCCTCATTTTTCTCTTCTAATGCATTCACATGCCCTTTGCCTCTTTGAAATCCATTGGAAACACCTCCAAGAGAAGAGAGAGAGAGAGTGGGGTTTGTGTCACGTGCAAGTCCAAGCCCAATTGTCAGATAAAATAGTTTCTTCGGGGCTGGTGGCTCCTGCTGGCGCATTGGCTGGATGGCAGACGGGGCGAGGTTGAATGCCTTCCTCTAGAAACCTGTGATTCGATTGCTAGGGCCACGGCAGACACCGGCTGCTTCAGAAAATCACAAAAACTCGCACAAACGTCAAGCGACACGCAAAGGGAAAGGGGAATCGGCAAGGCAGGCCGAGGCTATGGGCACACACATGAAGAAAATCAAAAGACTTGGTCACACGAGCAAGATGATTCGGGAAAAGAAGAGAAAACTAAAACTCTCATCCTGAAAGCCCCTGCCCAATGCAGACACTGGAAGGGACCACCGGGGTCCCGCCTTGAGTATCTGGGGTGGGGCGCCCGCAGGAAGACACATTGACACATCGGAGTAACCACAAAGAAGCACCAAAGGTGCGCAGGTCTACACAGATCAGACAACAAGAGACAAGAGAGCGCACAGAACGAGTTCAAACGAAGCACCGCCAGACGAGAGACACACTAAATCAACACGAAAGCAGTCAACGCGAACAACAAGCGCAACGCAAACCGTGGAAAGAGATCCCAGGATTTCGCGGCAAGGCTACGGTGCCCCGGAACGGCGCCTTTTTGCATATTTGCATTGGCCATTTGGTCCGTTGCGCACGACAGAATTTTGCAAAGGGCAGAGGGGTGAGCACTATGACAGCTTAAAAGGCCTTTTTGACGCGGCGTGTGCTGAAGGTGGGCATGAAAAGCAACCACGGAGAATAAACAAAAGAGGGCTCATAGCCTAGGTGATCGAGGCGACAGCTGGCCGAGAGAAGAACGTGTAGGTAGGAAGCCAAGCCAACGCCAAAGTGCCACCAAGCATGCAGCTGAAAGAGCGGGGAGAAGAAGCCGGCTTGCAGACGAAGGTGCTTGAGGTCAGGGCAGACAGCGTTGTCAATGTTCCAGAGGATGTAGGCCCCACCCATGAGCACGACGGCAAACCAAAACATGTACTTGTGATCGGCACATTCCGAGCTCTTTTGTCTCGAGTAGCCCAGCACCACCAGATACACGACCATGAGGCCGTACGCCGTCTCGTGGAACATGGCTTCCTTGTTGTAGAGGTACACGACGGTGACGGCAAAGGCATAGAACGCCAGCGCACCAATCAAATAGGCCCGCTTGTCGGGGTGGCTCCAGCGATAGTCCACAATGCCAAAGATCATGACGCTGGCCGAGTAGACCATGGGCAGCTCGTCCAAGAGCTGGTTCTCCCACCGGAGGGTCATGTGGAAGAGCCAGCTCCCGAGCCCGACCATGGCGAGGCTGAGAAATGCAAACAGATATCGCTTCTCTAGACCCAGCTGCAGAACATGCCAGGCACCCAGCAGCGATGGCACCATGATCCATAAATTGGACACCGTGTTCCAGAACTCGGCAATGTACGGGGAGACGACGTAGTTTTCCTCGCACCTAGATCCCAGCAGAGTACGTGGCATGAGCGGGCACCGCAGGTAGAGATCCGACACCGCGGCTATCGGACCGCACAGCCCCCACAACCAGCAGGCAGGAGGAAAACATAGCGTTGGGTTCACATACCAATCAATGGTCGAGGTGACGGGACCCCAATAAAGGTCATCCGACTGCTGCATCTCCATGGCGCCGTTTTAGCTCCGAGCCGGCCGGCGTCCAACACGCAAAGCAGGGAAGCCCAGAAAAGAAGAAAAAAAAAAGGAGAAGAAATGCTGCAGCGGGGCGTGCGTTGACGCGCAGACCCGCTGTCACGTGTAGGCACACGCTTGGACTCGTAAAAAAAAAAAAAACACGGACAACGGCAGATGGCGCACGGGCTGTCGACGTGTCAACACGCGTGACACGCGGTTTGTTCACCACCCGATCGTGACCGGGCAAGCCGATGTCAAGGCACCGGCCGGCAGTTCACGTTGACAGCCTACAAATCACCGATCCCTGACACCCCGCGCGACCTCGGCGACCAATCAAGCAAGCCGCAACTACACTCGGCGTGCGACGCCACGAAGACGGGGGGAGCGGTGAGGCGCAAACGCAACGGTCACAACAACTTGACAGCCCAAAATAAAATAAAATTAAAAAGGATCAAGTGTCCTCGTGGCGACACACACCCCGTGTGCTCCAACGGCACCGCTCAGTCTCTCTGCGATGGAATCGAAAAGTCGGTCTGTCTCTGCTTTCTGCTGTAGTTTATCAGCTTGCTGCTTCTGGTCTTCAACAGCTTCTCTGCAGTTTCCATCCGTCTCGGGTCGAGTCTCTTGAACTCTTGAGCAATCAAGCGCATCACGCGATTCCGCTGGTATCGTTTCCATATCGTCACTGGTTTCGTGGATCCTGCTCTCCTTCTTTGTCAGCGCGCGGTTGGCGCGAAAATTCAAATTCTCACTGCTTTGAAAAGTTCCAACGGACAACAGAAGAGGCTCACACCCATAAACAAGCTAGCTCACACATAGGTGTTTAATAAAGCATATAAACATTACAAAAACGCCACACACATACATCAAAATCGTCACACTTGGGTGGAGCGCCGATTGCGATCTGGCGAGTCGCGCCTTTGATGCGCACTTTGTTCGATTTATTGGCACCAGCACTTGTTTTAAAATTCCCTTTTTCAACCAGGCTGGGCTTGCCGTCTCTTCGTCGACTTGGGGGCGAGCAAACTTTTATTTCCGACTCGCACACGCACGGCCAACACCATTCACAATGACGACCTCGGCGCTCGCCGCGCTCAACGCGCAGGCCATCACCAGCGAAGTCCATCGGAACATGCGCGTGCAGGAGAGCCAGTTGCAGCTGGCCCAATATTGTGGGCCCCTCGCGGACCTGCGACCCCGCTGTGTCCAGCGTATTCATCGTCTCGCACGCGCCTTTCGCTTCCACCGCCTAACCCGGGATGCCGCCATCTTCTACTTTGATCGCATGCTCTTTCTCTTCCACATGCACGAGTCCCACCTCGAGCTGGCCGTTCAGACTGCTTTTTTGATGGCTGGTGAGTCTTGTTTGCACGCTGCGGCTGAGATCTGGCATCAACCACGCTCACTTTTGCTTCTTTCTGCGCAGCCAAATGTCAAGAGGCTGAGGAAGTGGTGCCGACACACCATGATTTACATCGCGCCGGCTGTGCAGTAGTGCCCACTGCCCATCTCAAAGCCTTTGAAGCCTCCTACCTCGAGCGAGTGGATTGGATCTTGACCTCGGTACGCTTTGCTACAGCGTTGTCACCTGGCAGCACACTTGCGGTCTCTCATGTGTAATGTGGCCATGGCGGTCTATTAGGTCACGCCGTCCGACTTTCTGGATTACTATGCGCGCTTCAGCATCTCCAGCCAAGATTGCCTGGCTGGCTTGCCCTTGCACAATGTCCACAACGTTGAGGCGTTTACTCTTGATTTAGCCGACCAGGTGCTACAAGAGGCCAGCATGGCCAACCACGTCGCCACCTTTTTGCCCTCCCATCGTGCAGCCGCTGCCATCACGACGGCTCGCCTGATCGTGGACATCAAACCTGCTTGGTCGCCGACCCTCCAAGCCGTCTCTGGCCTGACCTGGAGAGAGATCAGCCCCTGCGTTGATGCCATGTTGCAGCTCAACTTGAACCCTAGTTGCCACCGCGAGATGGCCGCTCTGCGCCAATGCCTACAGCATCAGGAAGCTGAGCCCGCGTGCCGTTCTCCCCACGCAGAACGCACGCTCTCCATGGACAGCGGCATTTGGAGCGCCCCCGAGAGCCCGATGTGCGCCGACGATAGCGTCTTTGACGACCCCCTGCTAGAGTCAAGCCACGTGCACCCGACCCACACACAGCGAGAAACCCAACCCGTGCACCAGCTACAGCAATGCTCAACACGGCACAAACTCGACCCAGCGGCCCACCACCTGCCCCATACGCCCACGAAGCAGTTCAGGGTTACCTATGGTCAGCCAGCGGTGGCGCATGCTCCTGTCCGCGCCCTGCGCTTGGGTGCTCACGTGCCCCTGCAGCGCCCTCCAACCGACCAACTTCTGACCCGGCCCGTAGCTCGCTACCCCGACAGCTTGCTGGCCCGTGCCTTTCGTGATTTGATAGTCTGAGCAACGCTTGCAGCTTCGCTTCAACTCGAGTCAATCTCGATTTGTGTGTTTGATGGCCATCTTCAGAGTCGGACGGCCATTGCTGAATGCGTGCCCAGGGCAGAGCCCTCGCATCGATGCCACGCATCTCACAATTTGTTCATAACTAGCGTTTGGTTTGCTGCCTGCTAGACCTCCTCCCTTAATCGACCATCGAACCCAATCCCATCACATCTCGCGTGCTGACAGTCGCAAACGCCCGTCATATTCCACCAGTTCTAAAATGAGCCTTTGCCTGCACACGAGCGCTGTTGTCAAAAACACCACGGAGCATTCAAGCCAAAAAAAAAATGGAAGAAGAAAAACGAGAAGGTTTCAAGACACAAGGCCCAAATGATTTGGCATACATGTTACATGTTAATTAGATCTATAATGCATATCTTTGCCGAGCCAAAGAACAGAGGAGGTGGTGGCTATGAGGAGCCATCACCTGCCTGGCGTGCTTTAAACGCATCCACACTAGCCTGCAGCTGCGCCGGTAGCCCCGCTTCATTCGGAAACGAAAGAATTTTCTGCACCAAGGAGTCAAGACAAGTGGTCACGCTCTCCGGCACTGGATACGGCGGATTGCACGTGGCCAGAGCCAGCTCCAGGCACCGAAAGAGGACTTTGGTCGTCATTGAGAGGCGCAGCAAGTCGAGAAAAGATCCACAGCAGCACGCAACCGCGTAGCGGACTTGCACCGGGGCTTGACGCATGTCATGCACCAATCGCTCAAACTCTGCCGGCTTCATTTCTCCAATGTACATAAGCAAGGGCACTGCGTAGGCAGGCATGGAGTAACTCTAAGTCGACAGACGCGGAGAAGCGCGCATAGCAACATGACAGCAGTGTGAGCTCCAAAACTCGAGAAGTGGCCCAAACAACGACATCAGCTGGGCTGCTCACACGCACCAGGTTGGCTAGCGCCCGATAGCAAAAGGCGATCTGGTCAGCACAGGGCCAGCCGGAGCGTTCTGCGTTGTCCGCCCACAACTCGTTGAGCCAATTGAGAATCAGGGCAGGCCCTGCATGATGTCTGGTTGTAGGACGTGGGGGAAGCGGAGGTGCCTCGGCCTTGACGGGTGTATTACAAAATGGACAGCACGTGCGATTGAGTCGCATAAAGCCTGTGACACACTCTAGGTGAAACGCGTGGGAACATGGCAGGCGAGCCACGAGCTGTGCTGCGCGATGTGTGCCTGTTGTATTGGAAGGGGCATCGCTCGGCTGCGGTTGCGATTCTTGCTCCTGCTCCTGCTCCTGCTCCGCCACCTGCGAGTTTTCAGATGCCACTGGCCCCTCGTCATTGTCGTCGTTGTCGCACTCGTTGTCTTTCTCATTACCAATGGTGGTTCCAGCTTCAATCTCGTCGTCATCGCGACCGTCAAAGCGGCTGAGACACACGCTGCACTCACCATCGGGCTCGACACCAATTGCCTCCAGGTCAAAGGTACTGCTTGCGGCCAGCTGTTCCAAGTAGCCATCGCTCGCTTGCAGTGCTGCTGCAAACGTGCTGCGCAGCTGGCTAATCACGGCCTCGCGGGCGCTGAGGAGTTGATTCAGATTAGCAGAGCCTGAGAAGCGGCAGATGCGAATAGCTGCCAACGCCAACTGCGAAACGAGTGGCTCGCGCTCTTGTAAAAACTCCGATTGCACACGGTGGCAAATGGGACCGGGAAAGGAAAGGGTGGTCACCCAAGGGGCGCCGCGCTCAACAAGCGTTATGGCGTGCTCTAGTTTGTGGGGTGTGCCGCTGGAGGCAATGCAGACGACCGGGGGCGATCCGTGGGAATCGAGCCAATTGAGCCGCACAACCTGCTCGCGCTGGTCCAACGGGTCCTCGGCGCGATCAAATTCGGCGGCTGTGGCGCGGACATTGCTTCCAAAGCCTCGATCATGAGCCTCGGTGCGAAACTCGTGCAAGCGATACATGAGGCAGTAGGCGGCATCAAAAGTCGCATCTTTGGCCAGAGCCGGTTGACGGGCAAGCCAGTCGGCCATGTACTGGCGCAGACCACGCACCAGACTGGGAGCCTCAGCGTTGCGGGCGAAGGCGTCCAACTCGATTTGCGCATGCGCAATTTCACGTAGCGCAAAATCGATCCATTTGCGAGTGTCGGGCGTGCCGCCCTCGTGGACAAGAAGCCAAGCCAAGTGCTGACCAAACTCGATCGAGGATCCCAGCTGCACCATGACGGCGCGAAATTTGAAAAGAGCCTCGGCAAAGGTGAGAGCAAACATGCGAGCGCACTGTGTGAAATGTTGCGGCTCGATGGTTTGCTGCTCTGCGTTGATTTTGAGTGTGCCGGCCAGGCTGCACAACCATTCGGCGAGCCTGTGTTGCGTGCTTGCAGCGACCAGGGTCGGGGCCTCGGCGCCAAGCTGTTGGTGCACCGGGAAGGGCCACGGGCGTGAGCATGACATACCAGAACGATTGCGAGGTTGGGATTCATACAAACGCGAGGTCTGAGGGGACCTCAAACCGCGATGGCAAGAGGCTACATCCACATACCACGACCAACAGCTCGTAGATGGCTTGGAGGCCTTCGAACTGGGCCTCGGCAAACATGGACAGGCCTTGCGTCCGGCGGACGAGCAGGAGCAAGATATCCTCGGCCATATCGGAAGCGCCATTCGCAGCTGCCTGGAGGCTGGCATCCCAAAGAATCCGCCCGCGTTCGCTGTGGCTCAAGCATTGATCCGCCACAGCTCGGGCGTAGCGGATAAAGAGGCGAAGGCCCATGTCCGCGTTCCGCAGCGCTGCGCAAATATGGCGAGCCAGATGTTGAATCGTAAAGCACCAGCGCTGAGCGTATCGAAACGGCTGCATTGAACCTGACACGTCCGGCCAGAGCTCCTGCATGAGCGTCGCCTGCAGCTCGACCGAAGGATTCAGGGCCAAGCGAGCGGTTAGGTCGCTCAGGTGGTTAATCGCGTCGTGGTGATGGCGCGCAAACACAAATGTGGCATTGTGGTAGCGAAACGGCAAGCCACAGGCAAATAGAAGACAGGCTGCGCGGCGAGCCACGCTCCGATCCGCGTACTGCAAGACGGTGATGGAGACGGGCACGCGCGTCCCATGGCTGGCACTGGCGGAGAGGAGGAGGCTCGAGCACCAGTCGTGGATCACATCTCCCTCGTAAGTGTCCAACATGAGCGTCTCCAACTCATCTGTACGAAGCAAAGACATGGCCGCAACGAGTTGCGAAAGCACGTGCTCTGTGGTGTTGATCAGGCGCATGCGCCACCCGTGCCACCAGCCGCTGGCCCAGACCGACCCCAGCTCACCAGCGCCATGCTGAGCCATGGTGTTGTCTGCACCCACGCCCACCCTCTGTCGCGAATGAAATCAACCCCCAACACCACCCCACACCACCCCACCAATTCCCACGAGCCTCCACTCGATAACAATATGCTATCCGGTGGTACTCTGACCCCCCTCCGACGCCGATGCAGTTCAGTGGGATGATGCCAATTCGACGTTTGAAAGATTTTTAAAAAAAAATGAAAAACATGAAAACAAACAAAAAATAAAAATAAAAAAATAAAAAAACTTGAGCGCCTGTATTATTTCTGTTTATGGAGGGTGATGAAGGCGAGAAGTGGCAGACGCTTGCCCCACACGCACGCAGAAGGCAGCAGGCACTTGGAGGCAGATGCATACACCTGGGATGCGAGGGCACGAGACACAAAGTCACTCAATCATCCACTCACTCGCCCACTCACAAGCATGGCCGCTGTGTTGAGCAACGACCTATGTGATTTTTTTTTTCCCCTTCGACATGGTGCCGTTAAAACATTTCGGCTCGAATATGTTAGTGGTCGAGATGGTGCGCGCTTCGGTGCGCGAGAGGCAACAAGTTTTCAATTCAACGCCTGCCATGAGGCATGGTGCCCATGAATGAAGAAGATGATTTTCACCAAACCAGCTTACATGACGGAGCCACGCACTCACTCGATGGCAAAAACACAAGACAAGAAAGAAGACACGCAGTGTCACGACTACGAAATTTGGCTCTCGCTGTTGAAAAACACCAAAGCGTAAAGACTACAGGTCCTCATCATACTGGCCAAAGTCTTCATCAAAGTTGGCATTGATGAGTCGCGTGTGGTAAACCTTGTCAGAGCCACGAAAGCGCCGCTTCCTCAAGAAGATGACCAGCACTCCGGCTAGAACCACTGCGGTCACCGTCAGTCCTGCAACCAAAGGCACATTGGTGCTGGGTCCGCCCCCACCCGATTGGATGGTGACAGCAGCTGCGGTCGTGGTGGTCGTGGTGGTCGCGGCTTTCGTCGTCGTTGGTGAACCAGGCGTGGTCACTTCAGTCGTCGTCGTTGTTGAGTCTATCACTGTCGCGTTTGTTGTTGTTGCGACGGCCGTCGTCGCTGAAGCTGTTGCTGATGTCGTTGACGATGCGTTTGCCGTCGAGTTGGCTGTCGTTTCAGGTGTCGTCATCGTCGTCGTCGTCGTTGCTTGAGTGGTTGTTGTAGGTGCTGCTGTCGTTGCCGGTGCGTTTGTTGTCGAGTCGCCTGTCGTTTCAGGCGTCGTCGTCGTCGCCGTCGTCGTCGTTGCTTGAGTGGGTGTTGTCGGTGCTGCTGTCGTTGCCGGTGCGTTTGCCGTCGAGTTGCCTGTCGTTTCAGGCGTCGTCGTCGTCGCCGTCGTCGTCGTTGCTTGAGTGGGTGTTGTCGGTGCTGCTGTCGTTGACGCTTCGTTTGTGGTCGAGTCGCCTGTCGTTTCAGGCGTCGTCGTCGTCGTCATCGTTGTCGTTGCTTGAGTGGTTGTTGTAGGTGCTGATGTCGTTGACGCTTCGTTTGTTGTCGACGCTGTAGTTTCAGGCGCCGTCGCCGTCGTCGTCGTTGCTTGAGTGGGTGTTGTCGGTGCTGCTGTCGTTGACGCTTCGTTTGTGGTCGAGTCGCCTGTCGTTTCAGGCGTCGTCGTCGTCGTCATCGTTGTCGTTGCTTGAGTGGTTGTTGTAGGTGCTGCTGTCGTTGACGCTTCGTTTGTTGTCGAGTCGCCTGTCGTTTCAGGCGTCGTCGTCGTCGTTGTCGTTGTCGTTGCTTGAGTGGTTGTTGTCGGTGCTGCTGTCGTTGACGCTTCGCTTGTTGTCGACATTGCTGTAGTTTCATTGACTTGGGCACTGGCCCCAAAGACAATGGTGGCCAACAGAATGATGGAGCAGAGCACTCCGACTGATGGAAGAGCACGCCCCATTGTGACTTGATCGATCGTACAGCTGAGAGGTGGAATGGATCGGATATGAGCACACGAGCTACACCAAGAAGAACAACCGTGGCGCATTGCTGGCACTTTGACAAAAGCTCCCCGTCGATACCCGGCTCGCCATCCAAGAGCAAGATACGACCTCCACTGGCCGACCCTCCAATCCCTATCCCGCTTGACGCACGCCTGCTTACCTTCAATGGCGAGTTTGGCAGCTAGGAATGCGGTCAGGCAGTACCAACAACCTCTCCAATCGACCAGAAATCCGGCCCAATACACACATACACGCGCGCACGCACACGCAGATCATGTGCTCCAGTCCGATCACTGATGGTGATGGTGTGCGTCCGTGTCCGTGTCGACGCCTCGCTGTGTGTGTGTGTGTCGCGGCGTTTGGAAATTGCTTCACACACACACACACACACACACACACACACGCGCGCGACTGCGGACAACATCAAAAGCAGAGAGATGACCGATGTGCTGGTAAACGCGCTGTGGTAATCCAAAGCCTCAAGCAGAGAGTTGCTTCAACACTCTTGATACTCACAAGAAGCAACAACAAAAGACAAAAGACAAAAGACAAAAGCACACACACACACACACACACACACACACACACGCACAATTTGTCTGACATTCCTATTGAAGTTGTCAGATTTTTCTGGTCACACGTGAACAACAGCAGGTCTGTGTGTGTGTGTCTGTGTGTGTGTGTGTGTGTTGAAACGGCAGCGCTGCTTCGAGTGCTCGATGCCTACGCTATGGCTGCTCCATCTATGGATGCTCTATGGATGGTGTCGGCGTTTGTGATGTGTTTGCAGTGGTCTAGCTGGGTGAGAGGGGGACTAGAGGCATGCCCTCTGGTGCTTTTGCCTGTGATATGCCCGTCCCTGTCGGCGGAAGGTATTGGGGGCAACTTGACTGATGGCGATCGTCGTGTGTGGCTTGGCGGCACTTGTTGACAGCATGGGTCGGGGCAGCAAGGACAAGCGCGACATTTACTACCGCCAGGCCAAGGAGGAGGTATGCGGCCGAAGCCTGTTCGGCTTGACGAGCAAGCCCAAGGCCCACGTCCACACCCGTTTTGACAATGGCCAGACCTGATCGTCGACTTTGCTCTGCGTGCTTGTGATCAGGGCTACCGCGCGCGTAGCGCCTTCAAGCTACTCCAGCTGGACGAAGAGTTTGACATCTTTCGCAATGTTGAACGTGTCGTCGACCTCTGCGCCGCCCCCGGCTCCTGGTCGCAAGTGCTGAGCCAAAAGCTGCGGTGGGTCAACAACATTGCTCGACAACGTGTAGCCCAGCCCGTCCATGCATATTTATTTCACGCGCTCGCCACATGTGCACAGACCCACCGAGAACGACCGCGTCAAGATTGTGGCCGTTGATTTGCAAGCCATGGCCCCTCTGCCTGGCGTGATCCAGATGCAGGGCGACATCACCAAGGTGTGCATGCCTGCCGTGTTCCACGTCCATGTGCCTGCCTGTCCACAACGCGCCCATTGACCCTGCGTTGACCCCATGCCTGATGACGCAGGAAGCAACGGCCCAAGAGATTGTGCAGCACTTTGACGGCGGCTATGCTGATCTTGTGGTTTGTGCCCATTTGTTTTTGATTCGCATACTAACAAAGGAAGCACTTGTCTGGGCAGTCTTAGCCGCTCTGTCCTCTGATGTCCCGTTGACTCCCGTGTTTGCCCCACGCCAGGTGTCGGATGGCGCTCCCGACGTGACAGGTCTGCACGACATTGACGAGTATGTGCAGTCCCAGCTGATTCTTGCCGCTCTCAACATCTCCACCCATGTGCTCAAGCGTGGCGGCACCTTCATCGCCAAGGTGAGGCAAAGATCAAAAGGTTGCCGCAGACAGGCTTGCTCGCCCTCATCTTACTGCTCTCACCTCTTCGTTGCCGCTGCGTCCCCATGCAGATTTTCCGAGGCCGTGACGTCCAGTTGCTCTATGCCCAGCTTGAAACCTTCTTTGATGTCGTGACCTGCAGCAAGCCGCGTTCAAGCCGCAACTCTTCCATCGGTTCGTCGGGGTTCACATGCATCCGCCCCAATACACCCTCCCGCTCTAACATGCTTTCCAAGCTACCGCAAGTCTCTTTGTTCGTCTGTGACAGTGAACTCACTCGCTCTTCATTTGTCTCGCCTGCTCCCTTGGACCTGCCGCTCCCATCGCTGCTTTCCTTTTCTTCAGAGGCGTTTGTGGTGTGCGTGGGCTACAATCCCCCCGAGGGCTACACACCACACATGTCCAACCCCCTTCTGGACCACGACTACGGTAGGAGACTTGTTTGTTTTTATTAATTTTTGTTTCTTGATTTGCTACATGTCACGGCTTTCTTCGCTTGGCCTTGCCTCCCCCCGCGCCCACCGTGCCTTGTACGCCACGGCACATGCAGACAAATACGAAAATGCGCTGGTGGGCGTCAACCGGGCCATTGTCCCATTCCTGGCCTGTGGCGACCTCAACTGCTTTGACAGTGACAAAACGTACCCCTTGGCTGATGGAGCCGTTCTGAAAGCCCCGACACAGACACCCATTAGCCCGCCCTATGCCAAGGTTGGCCTCTCAACCACTTGTTCTTCACGTTTGTCTGCTACTGGCTCTTTTTCTTCCAATGAGCCTAGCTGATTACTCTAGACTAGATCTGACTTTATTGTGGAGCATTGAGAACTTGACCAGAACACGGCGACTCATGGCATTTGTTTTATCGTCTCTTTCAACTCTTGGTGCCTTGTAGGCCGTGCGTTTGAAAAAGGAAGCCGCCGTAGGCTTGGGCAATGTGCATGTTGAACGCGCCACCGACTCGGCCACAGAGAACCAGTGAGAAGCATGTTGGACGATAGAATTGTTGTCGTTTGCACGTTTGCACGCTGCTGCCACGCATCCCTGCTGAGCAGGGCTGCTTATCAAGTGCGCCGCGCGTGACAAAGCTTTGGGCTCGATTCGGCGCCCATGCCGCGCCCTTTCCGTGTTTTGCTCTAGCCATGCTCACAAGAAAATCGCTTTCCCTCATTGCTTGTCTTTGCGTCGTTTGACATTCATTGATTTTGTTTTCTTCACAAGACGCTCTTTCTCAATCTCTGTGGGCACCAAGGCCTGCGCTGGAGCCACACACACAACGCACACAGCGCATTATCAACCTTGTTCCGAGTCAACATTCAACACATACAGACACATTACAAAGCCACACGCCAAAGCCGGGTTCAACAAGTCCTCGCAGGCTCTGGTTTGCACGCTGAACATGAAACAAGATTCAAACATTCATTATGACGCCGAGGCACATGCTCGTGGGCTTCATGCTAGTGGGCTTCGAGGGAAGGTGCACGGTACTCGTACAGATTTTGATGAATCTAAAGACAGAAGAGCAGGCCAACTGCTGTCAGAAAACACTAAACAAGGCTTGCTCAGCAAAACGCCATTGATTCACCTGTTGCCGGTGCAAGAGCTTGACACCAAATTCTTTGCCCTCCTTGGGAGGCACAATCTCGACGTTGCCGTTGTTTGCCTAGCAACGCAAGCAAACAACCCCGCGTGAGTCGTTTCATCAAACACATTGTCACCCCAAGCTATTCCGCGCGCCAGTTGTAGTCAGCCAAGTAGACGGACGTACCAGTTGCAGAAGGGCCAAAAAGTCTCGCGCCACCTGAAAGGACTCTTTGGGTGCAATCTCCGGGAATGATGTTTCTGGCCATTGGAACAAGAGCATTGGCAGGGCATGTCCCAATGAGCAACCAATGGCACACCAAGTTCAACAGTTTGGCTCGCGTGTCATTTTCTTGCATCGGCGTACCTTTCTTCTTGTTCTCGGGCAAACGCGTCATGAGCTTGGCACCGTAGTCGTGGATATCAAAGGCCGGGCGTTGATCCTAAGGGCAAGGCCCAAACCACATCCCACAGACATGAGCCGCTCGGTATTACAAGGGGCCTTTGTGCAATTCACCGCTCACCTCCTCCTCCAAGACTGGCTGGATGCGTGACTTCCAAGTTTCCACCCGGCGCGTCAAATCGGTCTCGATGCGATACTTTTCCGATTCGGCGATGAATTTTTGCTAAAGAAGGTGGGGAGTGGGCACACGACATGTGTGAGCAACTAAAGACAACGCTCAAACGCGGCACCATCAACAACGTACGATGTAATCTTGAACCAGGTCTTCGTAGGCTGGCTGCACCAGTGAAGTGGAGGCGGGCTGGTCACTCTGCGAGCTGATGTTGATGGGACCCACGTGCTCCACGTGCTCAAACTCGAGCTGCCAAGGAACCCCAAGATGAGAGAGGGGTTGGTATTTATCGAACCATGTGGCCACTGGCCAAACAGCAAATTGCATTGTATTGACTTGGCGTACCTGGGGTGCATCCGGCACGGGAGCGTCATAGCCATCGTCGTGATCAAAGTCGTCCATGTCCGGGCCGTCGGCATCGGGCATCTCGGCCAAAGCGCAGCGTGAGAGTTCCGGAGTATCGGGCATGTAGCGGACGCCGTGCACGGCCCACTGCATTCGACATGCCGGGTTGATATCAGTGAGACAATTCTTTTAACAACAGTCACTCATGGTGTGTTTCTAAACTCATGCTCTTGCGGGGGGGCTTGTCAAGCATGATTCGAGAAGCCAGACGCGCGATTTCACACCTGCTCTTCAATGGTATGTTGGGTACGGCGAGCATTGATGCGATCTTGACGCGCTGCATCTGCACGTCGCTGCTCTTCGGCGCGCAAGCGATCGGGGCACAGCTGGCTCAATGCCGGCATGAATGCCACGGTGCCACGGCGACGCTCACGGCGGGCGCCTAGCCACCCCAGGAGAAAAACAAATGAATGCAATGCGTAGTTGAAAAGACAGGTTGAACCGCGCAGGATATTACGCCGTACGTTGTTGTTGCAGAAAGGCAGTCAGAGGGCGCACGGTTGAGGCCTTGCTTTTCTTGTCCTTGGCAATGTGTTCGCCTCGAATAGTATAGCCACGCGGCACCTGCCACACGTCGACAACCAAAATGAAAGGGGCGCACCTTGCCCATCGCCCAATATTTGAACCAATCACCGACCTTGAGTGAAGTGAGACGCTTGTACGGTTGGTTGGGCGTGGTGTTATTGTTCTCGTGGGGATCCATGGTTGCCCAGGGGTCGTCCTCTCGCCTGTCGAAGCCATTGTTCGGTTGTAAGCGCATGCGTTTTGGAAGGGTCAAAAGTGACAGTGAATCGGTGCTCAGGCTTGAACGCACCGTGCAGCAAGACGAGGTGTGCTGAGACCAATCTGGGGCCCGCCCGGAGAAGCAAGACCGCTTGGCGAAGCCCCGCCTGGCGATGGCACTGCAAAAATGGCGTACAAAATAGAAACAATGCTGAGAGACGGTTGCAGGCTGGGGCGAGACGAGCCAACCAAGCCTTTTTGCGAAGACATGGCGAAGAGGACGCACTATCAAAACCAGCAAGATCGTCCGCGCCTCCGTCATCTGACAAAGCCCCCATGCTCACACGGCGGGATGAAGTTGGTGCAATGGCTGAGACTACGGAGAGTACAAAGAGTAAGCTTTGGCACCTTGGCTGACTTTGAGCTAGCACTGTGCATGATGCCAAGTGGTGCAGTGGTTTATAGAAGCAAACCTGCGAAACTGGTCGTTGGACGAATGAAGGAGTGATCCACGTAGCGGGAGGCATCATCACCCAGCAACAGAGCACCCGAGTCGTGCAGGATGCTGGTGTTCATCTATATGCGGAGAGCAGAAAATGCCAAGGTCTTGAGAAACAGTCGGGGCCGAGGACAAGACTGGCATTGGACGCACCTTGAAGTCTTTGCGATTGCCAATCACATCACCCTTCATGCTGTTGGTGCATCAGGTAAAAGGGTTGGGAGCAGAGCAGGCAGACAAAGTTGAGCGGTCATGCGGTCATGTACGAGGCCATGTAATCTGGAATAGAGTGCGCGTGCAAGACGCTGGTCCGCATACCCGAGGAGAGGCGCCTCGCCATAGGGAGTCGAGGTAACGGGCATCAAACACAGGGGCATGCGTTGCAAGTCCTGGGTTTCTTCCAGCTGTGCTCCATATCAGAGCCCGCGAAAAGCATGAGGCAAGCCTCAAATGGACGGTGCAGCAACGTCGCAGAGTCGCATCCCGCTCGGCCAAGCTTACCTGCTCTTCGTGATCCTGCAGATCGATGTTGGTGGCTTGTGGCAGGTCATCGAGACTGAGAAACTACATGATTCCGTGCGCCGTGCATGAGTACGAGCCAATCTGACACGATGAGCTGACTGGCTTTGAGCGGGCCACGCACCTCGACATGGTCCTCATGCAAGAGCTCGGCAGCATCGGCATCATTGCCATCCGCGTCCACAGACGACTTGTCTTGCACGCGTCTAAGACAAACGGTTTGAAATTGAGAAGATCGAAGCCAGGATGTCGTCTCGGAAGTAAGGTCAAGCTAATCATGTGTGTGTGTGTGTGTGTGTGTGTGTGTGTGTGTGTGTGTGTGTGTGTGTGTGTGTGTGTGTGTGTGGTATGGATCTACTGCAAGAGCGCGTTCAGGTGCACAAGCTCTGGGTGTAAACGGGGGCAACCTGTACGCACCGCTTGTCGGCAAGCTTGTTCAGGGTTTCATACACAAGATTGTAAAGATACTCAACCTATGCGTCCCAGGCAAGGGTAAGCACCATCATGCTTCCGCTGAGGAGGGCAAGTTCATGTTTTACAAACCTTCTTGCTGTAAATACATGCGGAGCCTTGGATGACCAGTGCGGCCTCGGCAAAGTTGAACGTCTCGCTGGACCCCTCGAAGCAAAACTCGAGGTTTTCAATCTAATCGTGGCATGGGCCGCGCCAACTCCAAGGTGAGGCCATACCCGCGCATGTACGTCCCGATATCTCTACATTCCTGCGCAAATGCATGTAGAGGCAAACGGTAATCCTGCAGGAGGTGCGTACCTCGCCCAGGTACTCCTCGAGCTCGCGGGCAATGTCAATGTTCCAGTTGTCGGCAATGTCTCGGATGGGCTGAAGGAGATGCTGAAAGCGGCTCTCCACCGGAGCGCCGTCCCCACTCAAGGTCATGGTACCGTTCTTCCAGATCGCGTATATCCCAGTTCAACACACCAACTGCCACAGCTCATGCAAAAGTATGTGCAAGACAGAACAGACCAAGGGCTGCCACCGCGCACCACCCCCAAAGTTCAGAGACGCGAGAGAGAGAGACGGACGAAAATGCACGAATTTGAATTTGCCGCCAAAAGCTCAAAACGAATGATACATAGTGTGATAAAGTGTAACCTCACAAAAATTTGAAATCAAATGTCAGATAAATTATTTATGCTGACAAATGGGATTACAGCATCAGCAAGCCGACGATAGTGAGGATAAACGCTTCATTTACTACCGTTGCATCTGCATTCATAACTGCAGAAAGTGCTGAAGTTGCAACAAAGACGCTGTTCTGCATTGTGGCCAAAGGGTAAACTTCCCTTTGCAAGCAACCTTTGCAAGCAGCTTTCTCATTTTTTTTTTCTCTCATGTTGGTGGACGGTGAATTGATGCGCGCACCACTGCCATGATGTTGTCTTGGGTCGCCTTGTGCAGTCTACTTGTGGTGATGGGGCCAGCAATGGTGCATACTGATGGCAATGTCATGATCACGGCCGATGCGGAGGGCGCGATTACGACTGATGCGGAGGGGAATTTATGGCTTCATGCTTCTCTAACCGACAATGAGGCACGAGTTCTGATTGACGGTGTTGACGTTGGACAAGAGCACCGCGAGCACTTTTTGGCCCACGTGTCAGAGCCAAAGACGATGAAGCTCAGCATCACGACTGCTCCCACGGACATGCCGGTGGTGTTCTCAGGCACAGTCGGCTGCGAGTTGGACAATGTCCCTCCAAATGTGAAGCATATTTTAGGCAACATCAGTCTGATTTCATGTCCGTCTCTGACAGCAGATGACCTGAACGTTTTTAACAAGCTCATTAACGTGAGCGGTGACCTCAAGATTCATGTGAGTATCGATGCGCCTTATTCTTGTGCATTTTATCGGCGCGGGTGATGACGGGTATACCAAGTTCCGCACCGATGCCGACACCCGGTGTCGCAAACACGTGACTTAGTCATGGTTTAGGTAATGAGCAGAGCACAGAACAGGGAAGGGGGTTTGGGTTGTGGTGGATAAGCAATTTTGGCGGCCTCATCCTTTGGTGTATTTTGGACAGGACAATGACGCCTTGACCAATGTGGATGGATTTGGAAAACTTGGCAATGTCGGTGGCAACTTGAGCATCCAAGTATGTTGCTGCATTAGTTCTATGCCGCAGTATGGTTGTGGATGAGCATGATTTATGTTTTGCATTTTTTTTTGGGTGCATAATGGGTTGTTGGCGTTGACTTGGACAGGGTAATGACGACTTGACCAATGTGGATGGATTCGGAAATCTCGGCACTGTCGGCGGCGACTTGACCATCCAAGTATGTTTTCAAGCCACTTTGCATGTGTAGATCATGTCATTCTGCTGTTTGCGTTCTTGTGTGCCTAATGGGTTGTTGGCGTTCTGACTCGGACAGTACAATGACGTCTTGACCCATGTGAATGGATTTGGACATCTCAGCAGCGTCGGCGGTTCCTTGAAAACCCAAGTATGTATCTGCATGAGGACGTGTCGCTTCGAAAGTCGAGCTTTTGTGAACGTGGGTGGGACAAACTGTTGCTCCAAAGGTCTGTTTGCACTCATTCGATGTCTTATTGTGCTGCATCAATCAGGACAATATCGACCTGACGAATGTGGGTGGACACAACAGTCCGAAAACTGAGGATTAACGCCACAGAATTTGAATTTTTTTTCTCTTTGTGTCATTCATCAGATCTGAGATTGGAGTACAAGCATCGATCACAAGGATCCAGCCAGTAACTCTTCTCGAAGTTTGTTGTGGCCACCGAAATATGTGTACGGTCCTGCTGGCCGTGAGTGGCATTTTGCCTTTGGATGTTTCCCCATGTTGTCGCTTTCTGTCGTGTGAGAAATACAATCGAATCACTTAACTGCTTCAGCTCAAATCACCTTCAATATCTGATCTAAATTTTGAACTTGCAATACATGGAGATTCGTTGAACATTCCCAAGGACGAAATGAAGTTGTTTTGCGAAAAGCTGTGAATTTGTTTTGTATTGCTTTGGACCTCCCTATGGTGGTTGTGTAACCCAGACATTCCAGCGTCTGCGGCTCTTGTTTCCTCCCCCCACGCCTCAGTCTCCAGTCACAGCCGAATCAAAACCCCCCACCTTCCCAACCCTCCCAACCCTCCAACCCTCAACAAAACGGAGCTTGGGGGGAAGTTGTTGCGATTGTTGCCCATCGGACTCGGTGTGAGTTGTACGCGTGTTTCTCCATGCTGGCCGGCAATCAAACGGTTATGGCCAGCGAGATCCCAGCCTTCAGACAGGAAGAGGGATCGCCAATCACGCTGAAGAATCGTCATGAGTGAAGTTGTCGTGAATTAAATTTTATCGTTGTAACGGAACGGAAAACATCTGTCTCAACTTGTATTCTTAACCAAATGAGCAGCACAGTCAATTTAGAATAATATTCAATGAATTTTACATGTCAAGCTTTGTGTCAGCCTCCAAACCGTCCCGCGGCGAGGGGGAATGGTATCTACCTCAGGCTCAAGATATCGTTAATTATAGTTTGAATAATTCCGATGTGGTGGGAACCCTCACAAGTATCCAACTCTTGGACTTTTTTGCATTTTTTCTACCACTTTACTTCCGAGCCGCCGAGGGGAGGGTTGCTGCTGTCAGACGGAGCTGCTTTTTGGCGTTGCTGCCGACCGGGGCAGAGTCTTGGCCATAGTCGTGCATAAGGGCGGCCAGCATCTTTGCCCCATCATCGTCAGGGCGGAGGGCAAGGACCGGTTGCAAGGCGGCGTGGGCGGCGGCAAAATTGTCTCGGTGATAAAACATCAAGGCCCGATTCCAGCCCACGAGAATGGTCTTATCCTCCGGATCGAGGTTCTTGCAGGTTTCAGCCTGGCACAGCAGCTCCTCGGCCTTTTGCCATGCCTTGCGTTGTAGCTATAACGAGGAGACAAGAGGATGGTGAGGGTTTCGAGCTGCATGGGCGAGAAGCGAGAACAGACAACAAGCTCGCCAGCGTTCGCAGAAGCACTAAAGGGGACACACCGCAATTTGTGCCGCGACGAGGAAAAGCTGGCCATCAAGATGAGGCAAAAGAGTGGCGTCACTAAGCTCATCATCGACGGCTTGTTGCCGCAAGCGACGCTGGGCGGCACTTCGATCGATGGCCATGGCGCGCGCGATGGTATCCTCCGCCTGCGTCAGCTGACGCTTGGCCACGTACATTAGGGCCAGGTTGTAGAGAGCCAATATGCATTCGGGGTCAATCTTCAGTGCCAATTGAAGGTCAGCCACGGCCACGGCCACCTGCTGCAGATACTGGGCCACCACGGCCCGCGTGACGCAAGTCGTGGCACTTGGGGCATGGTGAAGGGACAGAGATGCGTCACCATAGGCCTGCTGCAAACGCAGACCCTGTTGTGGTGTCCCGCCACGACGCATGGCGTGCCACGTGAGTCAGCCGCCAAATCGAGCGTGAGCGCAGACCAGCTGTACCAACATCAATTGGCGTGTGAATCAAGGATGGCGGACGCCACAACAAACCTGAAGGTTCACCACGGCACGCGCCTCCAATAGTCGCGCATGCGTGGGATGGTGCCGAAGCCCTGATGTCAGCACCTGGTGCGCCTGCGCCAATTCCCCGCGAGCTTGGAGCCTGCCATCACACGCCACATCCCATCATGACTCTTTGCTGGCGCAGGTTGCGTGGTGTACTAACAGACAAATACTTTTGCCGGCGTCCCGACTTACCCGATGCCCAAGTTGAGGTACGGCCTTGGATCTTCAGGGTCCAGGTGAATGGCACGCGCATAATCGCGGCGACTCAAGAGCCAGCAAGCTTCCGTATCAATATCCATAAGTACGTTGGCCCGGCCCAGGTATGCCACCATCATCTGCATCGAGCCATTGCAATGAAGCGGTGAGGTGCCATTTGTGGTATGGCAATCAGGCTGTCCATAGGCAAGGCCTGGGGGTCGGAATCGAGCAAGCTGAGCGCAGCGCGGAATCATACCCGAGGATTGAGGTCGATCACACGCGAGAACAGTTGCACCGCGCTTGCCAAGTCACGCCTGCAAGTCACACGGCAGCAGGCAGTACAACAGCAGACCCTCATGTTAAATTTGACCAGTATTCCAAGCAACAGCAAAACCAGATTCACAGCAAGAAGGGGGAAGGACAGAGGGCAGGTCACTCCAGTCGTCTTTGCTTCGTCTTTGTATCAGAGGCCTTGTATGCAGGCTTTGGCAGAGCAGTCACGCACATGTGATAACAGGTCAGAGCCATGGTGATGAGCGTGTCCACGTCCGAGGCTTGCTCCGGAACCAAGTCCAGGAGTTGCTTGAAGCAACCTAGCGCGGCGGCATACTCTTCTAGGTGGAAGTTGACGACGGCAGCATTGTGCAAAAGGCTGGCGTGCAATGACTTGGCGGGTGCATTTGGACTGTCCACGGTGGCATGCACCAATCCCAGGCCCGTTTCAAAGAGCTTCAAGGCCTCGGCCTGCTCGTTCAGCAGGGCCAAAGCCAAACCAAAATTGTAGTGAACCAGCACACTTTGCGGCTGAAGTCGCAGTGCGGTCCGGAAGTCCGGTAGCGCCACAGACGGCTGTCCCTGTTCGACGCGAAAACACGCCCGAAGCAAATAGGCTCGAGCAACGCGTCGCCGCGAGTCAATGACCTGCAAAGAAAAGCGATCGATTCAAAATGGTAGAAGCGCCATGAGAAAGTACTTTGATTCATGACTCGAGCGCCAACATGCAAAGCACTCACCTCTGTGCAACAGGCAATTGCCTTTTTGTACTGCCGCAGTGCTGCATGGGCCGTCGCAATGTCCAACTTGCACATCCAATCAGGCTTTATTTGGTAAGATTGAATCAGGTCACGCAGCGCAGATCGGTCCTGTGCCTCACGTTGCAACGTTGCTAGCCCGCGCTGTGGCGTCCCAGGCGAGGAGCTTAAATGTGAGCAAGTTGCCAAAGTGCACGTCAACGTTCAGCAAACATGGCTGCTCAAGTGCAGCACGACTTCACAGCCGAAAGGACCGTCTGGAAGAGACACGGCCTGTCACTTACCAGGCGGAGCGCGCGGGCCGAATCGGGCTTGGCTTCGAGGGCTTGCCCGCAAGCAATCTGAGCCAGCACCGTGCGGTGGCACTCGAGGGCGGCTGCAGCCAGGTCACAGCACAAATCCTCGGTTGGGTGCAAATGCTTCATCAGCTGCTGAATGAGTGTCACGGTCTGCGGATACATGCGCGTGGCCATTGTGGCTTTGCTCAAGGCCACGCCATACATCTGGGCCGGCTGCCAAGCACCGCGACTCCAAGAAGGTGAGTGTTTGAAGAGAAGTATGTACTGGAAGAAAGGAACGAAAAAAAAAAAAAGGCCTTGAAGAGCAGGCACGCACCCGGGCTTCGAGCTCTGAAGTTTCCAAAAGCACGTGAAGAACTTCCAGCTATGGCGCAAAAGCAAAAAAAATTAAAAATAAAACCAGATTGGTGAGGGCAGCTGGTTCCTAGCAGAGCTTCAACACGGCCAAAGCTGACACCCAAAGCCCAAAAGAACAAGTCAACCTACCGTGGCACTGTCATTCTTGGGATAAACCAGCTGACACAGCATGTCGCCGACTTCATGCTCCAAGCCCAAGTAGATCTGCAAAGTTGAGCCGTCAATCCATACATTTAGAGATGAGTGCATGAGTTGGTGGGGCTTTTGGTTGACTGAGACAGCAAAACGAAGACACACGGGACAGTTTGAGGCTTCAAGGCTAGACAAACGCACGTAAGCTTGAACGGTAAGGAGATTGAGGCTGAGGTTGACCTTGGCCGACCGCAGCAGGTTGGTGGCAGCCTCTTCGCGGCCCGCGTCCATGCACACGCGTGCGGCTTTAAGGCGGTAATGCAAGACTTCAGGACGAATATGCATGAGCCGGGTGAGATCACGTTGGGCTCGCAGCAGCATGGTGCTGTTGGTTGCAGCGTGTGGCATCAGCTTGTGCAGGGTGACAAAGGCTTCGGCCCGCGCCAGGAGCGCGGCCTCGCAGTCGGAGCGCAAAGAAATAGCCTTTGAAAAGTATTTGATGGCCGTTGCGATTTTGCCTGCTCACGCGTATGCCCAGGCGGCGTGTCGTGAGAGCCATCACAACAATGTGCGGGGAGCAATACCGTTGAGAGGACACAGCATTCATGGCATACCGAGCGATCGGAGGTAGACGAGCCCAATTTGGCAATAGATATCAATCATCAGGTTGGAGATGCCAATGTCAGATCTCAGGCACCGTAAGTCTTCGGCACGCAAGCATGCAAAAAGATCTGACATGGCTTGGACCTGCGGCGTCGAGGAAATGTATCGGCCCAGTGCGTAAGAAAGACAATGTTGCCGACGAAGATTGGAACGGGTTTCTCGGCAGATGGACAGGGCAGGACATACGTGTTCGTTGAGCTTGGCATAGAGGATGCCGCGCTGCAGCAAGGCACGAGTCGTAAGCTCGGTGCCCATATCTAAGAGCAAGGTCAGACTAAAGTCCTTCAGGGCCTGTCGCGGCCGTGCCTCAAGAAGCATCAGGGCACGATAAAAGTAGGCTTCTGCACAATTGGGGTCAAGGTGGAGGCACTGCACAACGTCCCGCAAAGCCTCGATAGCTGCCTTGGCGCCCACGTTGGCTTTGGCACGGGCCATGTAAAGAGTAGCCGAATCGGGTTGTTCCTCGAGCAACTCGGTGTAGGCGCGCACAGCTTGGCCGTAATTGCCGCGCCGATAGCTCAAGTCGGCAAAGTACAAACGAGCCTTCTCGTGCCCTGCATCCACTTGTAAGACCATGAGCACGTCTGACGTGGCCTGTTCAGCATTATCACGGGCGTCCTACACATTGAAATCGTGAAAGACAGATTGGTGAGCAGCGAGTGGCCAACGGGCACGGCAGCGCGATGCTATTCGGCGAGAGCAGAAATGGCGCGAACCTCTGATAGGGCCTTGTTGAAGAGTGCCGTGGTGTCTTGGTTGTTGTACAGCGTTGCTTGCTGCAAAGTTTTTGAAGAGGGAAGACAAGAGGAAGAAAAGCAAGGGCAGAAGGCTAGACATCAGTGTCCCTCAGCTTTAGGCGTGTGCGAGGATGCGTTGCAAAGCAGACCTGGTAGGCAGTTGCTGCTCCCGTGTAATCGTGCCGTGCAAAATAGATGTCGCCTTTGCTGCGGTGTGCAGCGTAGTCTTGGGTGCTTAAGGTGATGCGATCGGCTTCAATAATCGCATTGTGCACATCGCGCATGCCCAAGAGGGCCAAGTGTTTCTAAGTTTGCCACCACATCAAAAGACACAGGTTGAGCCGAAGTTTGAGGGGCAGATGTCACTCAAGCGAAGAAGGCTGATCGGATGTTTTGCACACGGCAATGGGCAATGGGCAATGTGGTGCAATTGGGCCTGTCATCTTTGCCGGGTGAGCCGTTGCTCACCTGCCATCGGGCGCGCCAGAGGCGTGGCTGAACCTTGATGGCCTCGTTAAGCGTTTGCACAGCTGCCTGTAAGCGACCCATCCGCAGTTCAATCTCGCCTAGGAAAGTCAAAGAATCAATGTCAGTTGAGGACGCCAAGTTGGGTGGTCAATGTCGTTATTCAGCAGAAGGAAGTCATTAAAATCACCGAAAGGGCCGATAGAACTCACCTTGCTCAACTAAAGCGCGGGCAATGTCATTGGGCATGGTTCCGGTGGTGTCGTGGCGTTCGACCACAAGGAGACGCGCTTGTTCCAGCGCTTCAATCAGCTCTGGTGTCTCTACAGCAACGCGTGGTAGTATCACGGTTGAGTGTGCGAGTAGACAGGCCTGGTAAATTGGGAGGCAGGAGTCGAATTTTGACGAAGCAACAGTCACACCGAGAGATTCGAGCGTGTCCGTCTCGTGATGCTTGCGTAGCTTTTCCACCAAGGCCATATCACGGTCGTATTGCTCGATCTGGTCACGAAAGCGCTTGGTCTATGTGCCAGAACCGATATCAGTGAGCGTGAGCTGGAACAAAAGTACGTCCATGGAAAGAACGCACAAAATCCCAAGCCCATGGGTTTACTGACGCGATCGAGATAGGCCTGGCGCTGAGCTTCGACTTCACGTTCGTGTTCTTCACGGCGGGTGCGCGTGGACCAAATGCGATGGGTGCGCGACAAGAGCTCGCTGCCTGGTCTAGAAGCGGCCAATGAGTTGCCATCCTCCATGTCTGGAATTTCGCGTGCAAAAGCAGACATGGCACGACTGGCCAAGCCAGTGGATGCAGCCGCATCTTGAGCGCCAGACGATGCCGCTCGTGCATGCGCATCACGCGCCAAAGCTGCAACTGTAGACCCGAGACAAAACACATTGCCGTCAAGAGCAGAGGGAGGAGGGGCCGCCAAGGATGCGTGAGAAGCGTTGTTTTCGAGCCACGTGGATACAGTCACTCATCGCGGCGTGTGAAATCAGCGTGCCAAGCTTTGCCAAGCATGACAAACAAGCAGTTGTACCTGCATCACGGGGCTTTGAGCCCTGCTCTGGCAGCGGGGGGGCATCAAGGGCAAGGGTTGATGCCTGGAGTTCTGCCAAAGTTGCTTTGTTGGTCGGCTGTGGAAGCGTCGGTACAAGCTCTTCCCGCTCGGGCCGCAGTAGCAGAGGGTAGAGTGGCGCAAAAGCGGCCGTGGACTATGTTCAGACATTTGGTGAGATTGATCTGGTGGCACAGCAGGCCGGCCAACAGCACAAGCACAAACTAGAAGACATACTGAAGAGGCTGAGGCAAGCGATGCTTGTCGCCTGGTGGCTGATGCAGTGGCTGGAACTGAGGTCGATGTCTAGATTGCCGTCAGAGAGTTGATGCATGTGTGAACACGAGTAAAGGTTAAAGTAGACGGAGATGAGCGCCTCGCGCGCTGCAGAAGGAGGTGCGTCTGATTGGGACAAGCAGCTGAGCACTCTCTCGCAGTCTACCTGGGTGGGTACCGGCTCATTTTCTTTTGCCGTCGCGGCGGGATCGGGTTTGGGAAGGGCGCTCACGGGCAGGCGTACGGGCTGGCGCCGCCGCAGGAGCAGCGTTTTGGCTGATGCAGCCCTCACATGGCTATGTCAAGCAAAAGATGAGGTGTAATCCGTAAAATCTGTTGGCATGAGTCCGTGTGACCCATTTCGAGAGCCAAAGAGGCATGTAATGTCGTGAACTCACTCCGAGACTGCCAAGCGTTCCAGTCGAGCTTTGGGAACAGCACTCCAAACGCGTGCCAGAGCCTCATTTGGATTCTGTTTTGGATCAAGCAAAGCAATTGAGCAATTGACCGAATCAGGGTGTGGGATGTAGGGCTCGAAGTTTGCTGAAGCAAGCAGCAAGGCCGTACCTGGGCAGCCTCGTGAATACTGTGTTCGGCCTCGGCAAAAGCGCGCGCCAAGGCGTCTGCTTCCTTGCCCTTTGGCACCGACCAAGCACTGCCCAGCAAGACCAGTGTAATGAGCCAAACAAGACGAAGTACAAAGGTCTGAAGGCGTCGCTACGTGGTGCACCCTACAAGGGTAGGCCTTCTCATAGACGGAGCGCCGGCCTTACCGAGCAAAGGAATCGGGTGCTCTGAGAGCGTTGCCAACAAGCAAAAAGCCCGAGTTTGAATCTAACAGCGTTGTGCCTCGCGTCGGCAATGTTTGTTGAGCGTCCGTGCTGGTCAGCGAAGGAGAAGGGTCATCGGGCCACGGCGTTGGGGCGGCAGACTCCAAGGTGACCGTGGGTAAGGATGCATTCGCTGGGCCCGAGGCAGTGGAGCGCCGACTATTGGATTGCTCAAGATCTGACGCGTCACCTTTTTGTGCAGTGCTAGCCCCTGCTTCTGAAGTGTCATCGCTCTCCGTAATACTTGGTTTGTCGGCCGTGGTCTCGGTCTGAGCGGCGGCTGATCCGGGGTGACTGACACGTGGGTGCATTTCCGACTCTGGCGGAGCCAGCTCTGGCTCTTCGGCCCACTCTAGCTCTTCAAAGGCACGTAGTGTAGCTGCAATGTCTTCAAAGCCATGTAGGCGTTCCGCAGCCAGGGCAAATGGGTTGACACTCAATTCCTCGAGGCGCGGTTCAGGCGTAGGTGTTGGGGGGACGGCATCCAGCACCTTGGGATCCGGCATGGGCGTCCGGCCCCGACTGTAGATGATGCGCTCCACCTCTGGTTTGGTCGTCGCCGGCCTGGCAAACAGTGCGGCGGCTGCGGCCACGACGGGGGCAGGGCCGCCCTCGGGGCTCGCGGTCTCATCGGTGACGCGCAATTTGGAGTCATGGCGCGTCTGCCCTGGAGCGGCGGCACTGGGATCCGATTTAGGGGCGGGGGCCAAGGTTTGGGCAGGCCGCGCATGTATATCTGGCAGCTTGGGCACGGCGGCACTCCGGTTGATATTGACCTGAGCTCCACTTAATGCCAGGCCCTCGGGAGGCACATCCCGCCGTGCCATGGCTGGGGATACCCACAGCGGTGTTGAGCTTGAGCCTCGCGCTCAACAATCTCTGAACATGCTGACGCGATATCAGCCTAAAGGCATCTATCAACACTCGCCACAATCCACACACACGCGCGCGCACAGGTGCAAGTGACCACCGTCCACTGCTCCAGCCAGAGGTCCCCGCGATCAGAGCTCAGACCCCGAAATTCAAGAGCGAGAGAGAGAGAGAGAGAGAGAGAGAGTGTGTGTGTGAGAGAGAGGGAGGGAACGTTTCCAAGGTCTACGCGGTAGTGTAACTTTGTGTGACCCAAGCTTGTGCACGTATTATGTAAATGTACTCTTTACTTTTTTTCTTTTCTTTTTCTTGGTGTGATGCACGTTCTGGGGAGTCGCATGCGGCGTTTCTGGGGAGGCGACGGGCATGCCTCGCAGCTGCGTGTCTGTGTGGCATTCCTTGCGACTGCTTGTCTGATTATCAATTCTCATGGGAGCCATCGTTTGAAAACGTTCGCAACTGGGAGAGAGCGACTTTTGAAACCCCGTGATTCACGCGAAGACACGGCAGCGACGCGGATCTCAAGGAAACAAGCGATGTTGCACAGCAAGACCGGAAAAAGCCAAAATACAACCAGCATCGAGGCATGCCTCGCCCGCCAATCCGTGTAAAGAAACAAGAAGAAAGAAAAAGGAAAGCAAGCTTGAAGAAAAGCACAAGGTGGGGGCGGAAGAAAAGCGTCCAAGGGAGAGAGTGTAAGAGACAGAGAGAAAGAGAGAGAGAGAGAGAGAGAGAGAGAGAGAACAAACGAAAACACCAACCCGCACGCACGCTTGTACTGAGACAAATACAAATCAACCGAGGAGAGACAGGAAAACGAAGCAGAGACAACAATGGCAACAACTACACTAACACCAGCAGAAGAAAAGTTGCAAGGCAGGGCCAGAGAGCCACGGCAGCAGTAGTCGCCAGTCGAGGGGGGCGTAGAGCTATCTGGGCTTGAAGCCGTACTTTTTCCGCTCGTAGAAGAGATCTGTTCGAGCAGCACCTAAATTCACAATTTTCGGGCATCCATCGCGCTATTGGAAACCGTGGACGGGCAGGGTGCATCAGCCAGCGAGAGGGGCATGCTTCGAGCGCATACAAGCACGAGGACGTGTATAGGAAAGGCACATACGTCTTTCTCCTCGATGGTGCACTCCTTGCAGTAGTAGGCGTCGGACACGCCTGGTCCACCACAAATCACGCAGCGACCTAGGATGGCCAGGCAGCGAGCAAGCACACAGGTAGGCACCGAGCATCAGCGTGAGCAATTGATTTGGCGAATCTGTACGTGAGTTTGGAACATGGCATGCGAAGCACATCCTACCTTGGTACGAGCCGTAGTTGCACTCGTCACAGATGCGTACAAGAGTAGAAGGGCGCACGTAGGAATCACAAACGACACACTTGCCATCACCTATCGAGCGTAGTGCAATCACGGGAACGACACTGGTCAGCCACGCCTGGTGTTGCAAAGCAGCGAGCGAAGCAAGCGCTGGCGACCAGCTTACATTTTTCACAAAGTCGGCCAATGGCTAAATGGCAGGGCCGATTCGAGACAGCAAATGCAGGGGGCAGGGTAAAATGGCCGAATGAGTACGTATCAAATAACAGCACCGGCACTCACTGAGAGCACCCACTCGTCATCGTCGACGAACGCGGCGCGAGAAAAAGCAGACAACAAGTAACACACAAGGTAGGCATTTGAACCCCCCTTCCCCCCGGAGCAAGTGGCACGAATCATGGCATGCAGCCGGCCTTGGCCTCACGGCAACCGCGCGCGCGCACACACACAAGCGATATCGAGAGGTCACACGTACCAACACCAGGCTGTTTGCGGCACATAATCAGATCCGGATGATGCTTGGCCATCGTGGCGGTCGCTGAGGAAATGCAACCCACGTCACACTTTAATAACCTCAAACTGTAATAAAACGTTAACTTTACAAGAAAATATTCCTTTGTTTTATTTATTTTACAAGTGTAATAGAACCCACACTATTGTTAATAAATAGAGATAAATTATTAATAAAAGTGTGAATAAGTTTACATTATGTAGTTTAATAAATAGACTGGTTTAATATGGATCAGGCGA